TTCTCTGAACGAACATTCGCGGAAATTCATAGCGGCCTGGAATTAAGAATTATCGATCAGATGTTGGGAATGAAAGGTTAAACTCTACATTCGCAGTTGTATCGTTGTTACTCGTTGGGACTGCGTCGTTATAGGATAATCGATAATGAGATTGGCGTTTCATAATGTGAACCAAATACTGAGTTTTTACAGATTCGGTCGCACTGGATGTGTTTAGTCTATGAGAAGGATCTCTGTAGTAAAATCATGGAATTTTTTCCCCTTAGAATTGAAGTGATCCGTAAACCCAGCGGACCCGACGGTACACGAGGGTTCACGTACAAACGGACTCTGCGTTCCCTGTCAGATACAGCAACGGATCTCACCCAGGGAACCAGCAGGCGTACTGCAGGCTACAATGCGGCTAAAGAGGGGAGCGAGTTTGAAGATCTTGTCTCCAAGCTATGTGATCAGGATTGAGATTTTAGTGCGATGGGGAAATTATGTATTATAGGAAATTGCAGGAGTAAAATAGTGGTATCCAACTTTAGATAGATAAATTAGTAGTAGATATTTGTCTTGTCGCTTTAGTTATAATCACGCCGTAGATTTCTCTATCTCATTTCTTTTTACCGTTTATATGACATTAATATTGTGGTGATCCTATGATGATTTTTATGTTCGTATCTCGATCATATCCGCACGTTCTCATTTTGGTTTTGGTTTTTTTTTTTTTTTTGGTTATATGTTTGATCATCGGTTCTTTTGAAAACAGAGGTATCAATGTTTTTTTTTCTCGCTGATAATGTGGCGCTCTAACTTCTGAGGATTTTTGGCATAACAACAGCGTATAGCTCTTGCCTTCTCACGGTGGGGTTCATGAAGGAGAACAGATTTTGTAATGGAACAGTTGAGGTATTACTGCAGCCTACACATCACGCAGGGCGAGATTACGCACCAGTTTTATTAACTTGCTGAGGTTTTGCGCACAAAGTGTGAAGTTATTACAATTTCGAAAACGGTAATTTAGTTAAATATGTAATTTAAATGAATGTACCACACTTATCAGTGAAACTAATAAAGATGCAACTCAAAATTTTTCAGTGTGTATATTGATTCCTTTTCATCTTTCCTTCATTTTGATTTAAGAGATTCCGTTTGAAGAGGAAGGAAGAGAGAATTTACAATTTTTAAATACTTTTTGAACCAATAGTTAAGCGAGAGGATCTTGTCTACAGAGAGTAAGTTGCTTCACGAAAAATCTTGATTCTTCTGAATGTAAACGGCGTCACAAAATTGGTTTCCTTCGAACAAAAATTATGGGGACGGGAAAAAAATCAGGCTTTTTCCATTTGTCATTTTTGACCTTTAAAACGCTGGACAACCAAGAGGAGAAATGTAAATTATAATTGCAGCAGACTTGTTAACTGCAGTGTACGATTGCGCTGCTCCTCGTTAGGACGGCTGCTCGTATCGTATTTTATTGTAGAATTTTTGTGTCTGCTGCATTTATAATGCATGCAGACACTTAGATAAGCTGTAAAACGCGCGACCAGCTACTTCATATACGACAAGATCTCGGATTTACTCTTGACGTTTCATTGCGGATTCCATTTGGTGATACGACACATGAAGTATGCACGGAGGGGTAATACTTTCGGCCTGTAATACTTTCGGCCTGTAATACTTTCGGGTGCAAACTTCGTTCCTCAGGGGAATAATCTATCCAATCGGATACGAGGAAAGGACAAAGGAAAGAGGTCGTGGCGAACTACCGATTTCCGGGAAGACTCGGAACCAATCAAATCTGAGAAAAGGACAAAGTCAAATCCGTCAAACCATGTGCTTTCGTAAAACGTTTGGGTTGCATCGTATCGTCCTGATTTCGTTCGTCAAGCCAGGGTGTATTATTGCTTGCAAGGTGAGTGATCTTTTCGCTTTTCATATTTGTAATGGATTTCTTAAAAGGTGTTTTCTCATTTTGCCACAGCATTCGCACTGGGTGTCATTCCGGCCGAGTGAAAGGTTTTGAAAGATGCTTTGAATTTGTAAATCGACTGAAGCTTTCTCGGCGCCAACACGATCACCGCCCGGCCATTTTGCAAGTGCTCAGGACGCAAAATAAGCTTTATGAGCCCCATTTGGGGAATGCAAAGTCCCTTCGGGGAACAATTGAGCCCCATTTGGGGAATGAAAAGCCCGTTAAGGGAATTATTAAGTCTCACTTGGGGATTATAAAGCCCAATGCGGGATATAATATGCCCTGTTTACGAAATGGATTTGGCAGAAGATACATGTATTTCACTACACACGTGAAAACATCTATCACTAGACAAACATGTGCGAAAGCTGTGGTGATTTTATACAGAGGAGAGAAACCTAGAACTAGTATTCTTCATGATAATTACTATCTAAGCATCGCTATGAACAGATCTTTGCATACAGTTGTAAGGTATCAATGCTTTCAAAAATTGGAATCCTTCATCAAGATGAATCAAGCGCTCAATTGCTCCTTCACATTTCAACTGTCCAGCATTTGAAGATTTGCTATTTCCTTTGCACTTCCTAAGTGCAACTTGTGATTTTCTTAAGAGAATTTTCATTTGAAGCTTTTTTGTTTTGAAGAATATATTTTCAACACACATAGCAGCTCTCCTATCTGATCGTCTTAGTTCAGATTTACAAATGTCGCTATAATGAACATTAGCTAGTCTATCTTTATTCTCTGGTCGACTTTGACCAAGGAATATACCAGGATATGCTAACTCTTCAGAATATTGATCTCTGAATATACTTAAGGGTTTGTTTCCCTCTCCTGGTGCAACATTTAAAATACGTTGAGGCAGACTGTCTTCAAAATAATGTGTGTCGGTCAACATGGTGTCAGTAACACCAGCAGGTGTTTCTGCTTCATCTTCAGTCCACTGATCATCATTATCATTACTGTCATTTCCATCTTGCTTATTGGAACCACTGCTCTTTTCTATTTCTTGTAATTGTTCACTTTGATTTTCAGTATTAGTATCATCTAATAAACAGTTTGCAGTATACTGCACTCCCCAACCTTCATTTAGTGTTATTCCTTCCTGTCTGTAGAGGCTGCTGTTGTTGATTGATTTATAATGAATAAGTAAACAAATAAAAAATTATAATTCACCTAGGTAAGTTTTTTTTTTTGGCATTTTGTTGTTATAGTTAAATTTGTAGTAGTTGTCGTAGTCGTTGTCGTCTTTTGATGCAGTGCTCCCTATGTTATTAGAAATTTTGAAATACATTATATTGCTATGAAACAAACTCAAAAGGTTCTTTTTCACTTGCAGGCAATGGAAGAACAAAAAGAAGAGATTGTTGGTTTCTTACACAATGTGTCTCCAACTAAAAAAAGTAGCAAGACATCTTACTTTGACATGTCCATACAAACCACCGATGGCTTAGTAAGAGGAGTCTGCTTCTCCGGAAGTAAACAGGAACACTTTGATCAAATGAGCAAAAGGAAATCTCCAATAAAACTTCGAAATTTTAGAATTGAAAGAGCGGGAGATGCAACCACAGTACTGATGAATAACAATGTACTGTTAGAGCCTACAAAAGAAATACCTTTTTCAAGAATTGAGTTGCCAAGTGCCAACAATATCCAATCAATTTCAGCTGCAAACACAAATCAAAGTATCACCATCACAAAAAAGCCAAACTTATTCAGATGTCATCAACAAAAAAAGTGAAGACAGAGGATGGTGAAAAAAAAAAGTTGTTTGCCTATCTTGTGGACCCACATGGAGCCATTAAGGTGACACTTTGGGAACAATTCTGTGGATCTCATTAATCCTGCTGATTATTTCTGTTGCGTTACATTTCTGATACATTTCATTTCAATTAAAAGACAAACACTTCAAAATACTTTTAAAAGTATATTCACCTATTAGTTACTTGAACACAACAATGTAAATATACTAACTTTGTTTTACCTATGTTTTGTTCCAAATTGATTGCATATTACCATTAAATGAAAAACATAATGATTTCCTAGGAATTATTACAACCAGAGACTTTTTCTTGCTTTGCAAAACTGCTACTGCGTTTGCATTACAGTTGTCTTGTGTTACAAAGACTTCAGATACTATTCAATTTTGTTAAAAACTATTGGCTGTTGTATTTCAATTCTTTGATTTAAATATTCTGCTACAAAATAAAAGAAACGTTCACTTTAATGTTAGATTCTTTGCAGTACCATAACACAATAAAAGTTATTTAAACAGTGATGAAGATGTAATCACAATCATGATATTGATGATCCCTTACCTCCAACTGGAGCATTGGACATTCACCACTTCAGTTCCCCATCTTTGTGATGCCTTGAGCATTCCATAGCACTGCCTTTCGGGAGATGTTTCTAGCCAGTTTAACAGTATTCAAAAAAATAGGCGCCTACAGCAGATTCCATTCCACTGTAGCAGACACAAGTACCCATTGGGTACCTATTTTTTATATTAGTGGCAATTTACAGAGCGCTCAGCGAAACAAAGGTGACTTAAATTATTTGGCATTTATTGAAATGTTTTGAATGTCTTGCAGCAATGATAACCTGTAATATGAAACAGAAAAGAGTTTATGGGACAGACTGAATTATCTTGCCGTTTCAGGTCGATACTAATGATACCTGGGTATGCTCATGAACTGAGAGCACGTCAATCAACACCAAACAGTGAAGAAAATGAAAGTGGGTACAAAAATATCAGAAAAAATGAGAAGATTGAAAAAAAAACAAAAAAAAAACAAGTTATTGACTAATTTCGTGCATTTTTTTTTACGCAGTCTGAGGGTGGACAGTTTCTTTTATCCCTCCCCTTTCGTCAACCGATCCTAGTTGTCAGACGATCCGAGCTTTTTGCATTCAACTTTGCCCCACATTTTGCGACATTAACGAGTGCATCTAGAGCGTCTCTGATGAAAGGAGGCTAAATTAAAAACATGTCCTTAAATTCAGTTTGTAAGGAGTATACTGTTTTTATACCACCTTCATTTTAGGCACACTGGTATTTGACTTGAATGTACTTGGAAGACCACGTTGGACAAGGATTTCCGAACACATCATTTGAGGCATGAAGTTTGCACGTGTTTTTCCCGTCGCAAGCTTCCTTTATCTTAACCAAACAAAAATAAAATATGACAAGTCATTTAACTTTTCATCAGATGTTAAAAAAAGAAACAGGAAAGGAATGAAAAAAGAGGAGGATTCTCCTAACTAGCCAGATCATGAACCCATCAGAAGACGCGGTGAAGACAACGGGGGCAAAGATCGCAATAACAACTATCACATTCACCAAAAATCACGCCGTAATAAATAGGACAAAATGAGCCAGAAAAAAAATAATGTCCGTGTTAGACAATAAAAAATTACCTTAGCCTCAGATCCTTTAGCTTCACAGTTTGTGTCCAACCCAAATCCACATTTAAACGCCTTCTTCATGCCATAGTAAGCACGTATTACCTTAATCTTCCTTTCATCCTGGCAGATCGATCTCTCGTAAGCGTAAGAATCTAGGAACAACAAATAGATTTCATTGTGGGAAGGATTGCCCGCCACGGATGATTTTGAATGGCTTAAAAACCGTTAACTTTACCGTTAGCTTGTGCTGAGAACATGCCTGTTACATCAAGAAAGTAAGGTGATACTTTGCCTAACTCTATTTATACTTGCCGTGTGGTATGGTGCTGATATTTTAGGAGAGAATTATTTACACGCTGTAATGTGGTATTATCAACTGAGTTGATAATACTAAATCACCCTGTTATACTCTTCCTTCGACGCAGCCCCACAGTTTCTTTAGAAAGTTACCCCCTCTATTTATTTGATTTATACTCTGTTCACTCCTAGATGTCACATTCAGAGATTTAGGACCATTTGGTGATGACGACATACAGCGTTGAAAATGATGCGCGTCAAAGGTTGAAAACTCCTTTGCGTCGTAAGACGGTGTAAAAATCCAGAAAGTATTCGTCACCATAACTAACAAACGATTGCTAAACATTGCATAAAAACAGTTCGAAGCTTTGCCTACTCGCGGGACAGTTGTAATGCAAATTGACTTGCTGAATGTCAATTTCACTGAGCTTCTCCCAATGTCCAAACTGCCTTGTTAGCAACTCGACTTTTTCCCGCGCTTTGGGCAGTTTGTTTGGGGTTACTTTGAGTTCTCATTGATTCCCAAGGTGGCCCAGTTCGAACGTTGAACTTCACATGAAAAGAACAAAAACGACGGAATTAAGTTAATGGTAAGCTCTACGTTTGAGTAAAATATATCAATTTTCCGGTTTTACAGTTGTTTCCCCACTCAAACTTATGCGTTGTATCTTTTGCTTTTTAATGAGCGACCAACTTTGATATGACAAAGTAACAAACATCACACGTAAATACGCTTCAAGCACATGGTAGCGCTGAAATTCCCCTGTCATCACGTGACTAAAAGTAACGTCATGTACCACGGGCACAACTTACAACGCATTTTAATCGATATTCCCCTCAAATACATTTCACAACATTAATATTCAAAGTTAATAGACTGTCATTCAGTCAAGCCGATCTATTCCCATGATGAATGCATACTTAAAGATACGACACAGTTGAGTTCGTTCCACTGAATTTGGATCGCTAACACGCCCTGTCCGTCTGCTTTGGACGGATAGAACGTTTGAAGATCGACCGTTAAACAAACGCCGATCTTCTCACGAATTGACCGTATTGAATAAATTATAAATTGCTTTGTTTGAAATCCCGCCGACCGAAAGATTCGTTTTTGCTGCTCTGAATTTTGTGTTCCAAATTTGAGCCAACGGCCGAACGTTACCCGTCTGGGTTGACTAAATTTGCAGTTTAGTTCGTCTCATTGGCCACCGTAAGGAGTTTCTAAAGCTGAAGTTTCGAGCGTTAGTCCCTGGTCGAACAGGTCGCGGAGTAGGCAGATAGCACAACTTAGTATTCGTAGGAATGTTTTACAAGTACAAAGATAAAGGAAGAACTTTCTCGAAAAGAATGGAAACTTGTTAGTCCTTCAACCATTAGAAGTGATCAATATGTTCCTTCTCGGCGGAAATTCGATACATTATCTAGCAATCAGGTCTATGAGAATTGACACATTGCTTTGATGTCATTTAGACTTTTTACCAACTTACAAGGAAATGTATATCACCTCATTGAGACCCTCATACAAGAGCACGGCTCAAGTTTTACCCTTATCAAGAATTATATAACTTCCATATTAATAGAGAAAGATGTTTTTCGTCTTGTCACGAGCGTGGGACAAAGAAAAAATTCTGAGTCCCCATGAGGAATCGAACCTCAGACCTTCGGATTTCGCGCTCCGATGCTTTACCACTGAGCCACAGAGACTCTACGGTGACCGAGGTCTATCACGAAGTTCATTTGACACGTGTCCTGCATACTGCTAAGATCAGCAATGTCGATAGCGTCATGTTTGTAATTAGAATAAGCCATACCATCTCTCTTATCCTTTTTTTACACATTAATGTTTTCCATTCTATGGGGCTTTGACTGCATGAGGGTTAGTTGTATTTTAAAATTTTTTGATTCTGTTAATAACTAGGTTTAATAATGATAACTGTACTGATTTTTTAAATTTTTATTTCCGGTGATTTAAAAAGAAACCTAAACATTTCCCTTTTATGTTTGAAGCTTAATGATATTTTTTCCCCTCCTATTTTTAGCGCTGTATTATCCAAAGAAAATCGTTTGCATCTGATTTAAAAGTAAATTTCCTTTTATGTCAAGATAAGGAACCAGCCCTCTCTGAATTCTTCCAAATGAATCTTCGGCACCATGGTACTCCAGGCGTCATTTCTGAAATGGTTAAATTGTACTTTTTTTAATTTGAAATTATTTCCACTGAAATCCAACCGACGGAGTTCTTGTTGCGCCATCCTCTCAGAAATTATGAGTTTTTCAGTTTTTTGCAGCAATGCTTCATTCCAAGACTCCCACGCCACCTTAGTAGTTGTTTGTGCTGGCTTCATCAGCAGAGATGCAGAGGTCCTCCTGCTTAAACTGTTGATTCCTGAAACAACATTTTGTAGACAAATATATTCTAACCATTGCTTTACAAGACAGGCGAGAAAAGGGAAAGTTGAGAACTGCAAAGTAAAGGTGCGTTATTACACCAGTAAAGTAGTAATGTAACTATGAATCTACCAGTACAATAAACGTTGGAATCTGAAGAAAAAAAAAAGAGTACGCATAATAGCTCAGGTATTGGAAAAGAAATTGCGAGCGAAAAAACCACAAGCCCATTCCTGAACCGGATAATTCAGTGGAATTCCATATAAGAGTTTTATTCTTTAGAATAACCGAACAAAAAAGAGCAAAGAGGGAAAATAGAAACAATCCCATGGAACAAATGCGAGCAGGACTGTGCAATATGGACTCGTGATTTTAGTCCACAAGACACCATCAAACATCACACCCTTACTTCCTTTTCATGAAATCAAATTGGTTTGTTTTTACCGTTGACGGCCTCCGTGTCATTCTTGTAGATTGACGTTCCTGCGCGTAGCCGCTGAAGGGAACCATCTAAAAAATATTTATAATAAAAACAAAAACTCCTGAGTCGTAAACAAAGGAAATAACGAGTGTACTTTCTTTTATTTCTAAGATTGTTTGTGGTTTATCATTCGCAAATAATTCTAAAAACAATAACAACAACAAAAACATATTTCAAACCGGAGTCTCTCTCGCGAGAGCTGGTTTTTCATCCGTAGCAGAAGTTAATGGTTTCCCAGCCGGAGACATTTCGGTCAACCTTTGATCTAGTCTTCCCAGCAAACGGATAATATTTTGTAACCTGTTGGGAAAGATAAAATCAGTTTATCGCACTCATTAAGATTCCTGCAAGTTATGTTATCTTAAACTTCCAAACAAACTTTTTTCAACCAGAAAGATTTTAATCGATGGGTTTTGTAGGTGGGTCACTCTGAAGTTTTCTTTATTACAGTCAAGAGTCACTCAAATATTCTTTATCAATATCTTTGTGGTAAAGAAATTGAAAGCCATCACAAAAGTGGTAAGAATACCATTTTTATGTCGGTTCGAAGGTTTAACAAGTACGTTTGCAATCTCCTTTCGTTTCTCGTTTCCTTTTTCTTCGCCCTATTATTTGCAACTCCACATTGATGACACAGACTGGGCAAAACCAGGAAATGAGAACTTCACAGGGATCTAATCGTGTAAACTCCCTGAGACGCGGTGAGGGGCGAGCGGCCAGTTGGCGATGAGTTTTAACTTTATATCTGATTGTTTGACTGTGGCGCAGATTTCCCGGACCATTCATGCAATCTTAAAAAACTTTCAAAACTAGAAAATGCAATTTAAAGAAATATATGATTTCCAGTCAGAAAAAAATTAACAGTGGAGGAAAACTAACTTGTCTTCTTGTTGATCAACTTTCTCCCCTAGTTTAGTGACTTTGTCACTGATCAGAACCAGAGCAGGATTGACATAAGTCTGTTGATTAGCTGTGTGCCTCTTGGGCGAACCAAATTCTACTAACTGTGCACGAAAACAAACAAGAATATTTTTAAGTATTATATAGTAAATTGCTTAAAATTCACCGAGAGCTATTTTTTCCCATATAAATTTTTTTCTGTTAGTCATGCTTAAGAGCTAAGTGTAAAATTGGTGACACGTGTTATGACTATGAGAGAGACATGCTGGCCATGACCCAGTTATTGACGAATTATGTTTCGTATATAGGGGTTCGGAGCCATAGCTGGTTTACTGGGTCTTGCCCTTGTGTGATCAAGGACGGGGGATGGAAGGAACCTGTTATGGACCACCTCATGTTGGTTGTAATGAAAAAATCGGAATAAACTCTCTTAGTGACGAGCTGCTAGGTTCGAAAAACGAGCCTTTTAAAGGTGGAGGGGCTTGTCGCCCGCATTTTGGCCTGAGTACCTCTTTAACGTACCCAAAAGTTTAAATGTTTCCCTAACATTGGGTTGTATATCTATTTCAAAGAAAACTCACCTTTTGTCTCCACGTACGCCTTTTGTTCGGGTATTCTACACAATAAGGGACCCAGATCTTTCTAAGAACTTTCCTGGGTGTGGCTCTTTCTAATTCTAGAAGCAATTCAACCTTGAAGGAATGAACAGCCAAATTATAGCTAAAGTAAAATATTGATATAGTTTTGTTGTGTTGCCGTTTATATTGTAAAGTGCAACGATAGAATTAAGTGATGAATTTTATATTTTCCATTTATCTCCTTCGGACTCCTTCTCAACTGTTGGAATAAAGAAAAACTTCGATCTTTTTTAAACCTTAAGTTTAACATGAATCTATCTTCAATTACCAGTTCCCGTCTTCGAGTTGCATTGCTAAAGCTTCAGCTGAAGTGTATGCTACTGAATAAAGTATACAAATTGAAATCTTTTCAACCGCAAAAAACGTATATCATCATGATTCTAAATGTCAACAATTAAAACTTTTGTTTATATATATGATATAAATATACGATGCAGTAGGTGGGAATCTGATCTAAAAATATCACAATATCAGACCAACCTGCATTCCATGTTGTTCCATTTTTGCAGATTGGAGAATCCTGTTAACGTCACCGACCGATAGACCGATCTAGGAGATAAGGGGACACTTCCGATCTAGAATAACTCAAAAATAGATGCTGTTCATTTTCTTTTATTGGTTTACCTATCAGAAATTTTGCATTGCATCGTGCATCGCTTCTGTGCATGATCGTCTGGAAAGCTATACTGAGAGAGAGTGCTATTGTGGAAGATTGATCATTGCAAGGAACTCTGAAGACAAGTGTGAGACTGTGTCTGTGGCGAACTTAGTTATAGTTTGTAACGGGCTTAGGTGAGTTTATTACGGCTAATTATTGTACTGCCTTTTGGAGTCGCTCCTCAGTAATAATATTTCACGTTTTATTACAAATTTATTAAAAGTAGTCGAGTGTAGGAGTAATGAGTTCTTTCTGTGGATTAAATTATACAATAACGTACAGTTTCAGTCGTTTCTCTTGCACCGCATTACACCAACATGTAAAATAACAGGAATGCAAACGAAAACAAACACGGCGACAACTTGTTCCTTGTTGTAAAGTACCGTTTTCCTATCCATGGCTATCAACTGTGCCAAATTACAAGAATTATTTGGATATCTTATCCTCTTCGAGGGAATTACCTTGAAATTATTATGCACTTAGTATTTGTTAACTTACCAAGAGATTCTTGATAATGATTGGCATACAGACACAGAAGATGATGTAGACGACATAACTTATCCATGGGTATGGTAACGGTTGATACTTGAACACGGTGTGCGGGTATTTCATTTCACCAAGAATCAACATGAAAGTTGTGAACAGTGAATATGGAAGGCGATCAAACAAGTACATTGTTGCTTCATTTGATTTATCCTGAAAATTAATGTTATATTAGATATCATGGCGACATGAATGGACAGAGAGTCAAATTAATCTGATTTTATTTACACAAAATCACTGAAAATTGAAAGAATTCCCGTTGGTAAAGATGACGAGGACAAAGAAATAGAAGGAAAAAGAAAATGCAAGTCAGCTACAATGAGTGGCGAAAGTCTTAGCCCGCTCTACTTCTTTTGAGTTTGCTCTAATACTTTCATCCATATCTCCTGCTCTTCTTCAATGTTGCCTGGTGTTACAAAATGATCACAAATTTCAGGAAACACTGACTGTTAAGGAGGGCGGGGGAGGGAGGGGGGGGGGGAAGGGCGGAGACGGGTTAACTTGTAAATAACCCATTAAAGATAAATGACAAGATTTGGGCTTATTATGTTGCATGGAGGGTTGTCGAACACCTTGTGCAAACTACTTTGCTACTCATTGTAGATCACTACGGAAAAGTAGATGTATAACGCCTGTGGAACACAAAAAAAGATAGAAACACAGAGAGGTAAGAGGACCGCCCCTTTGTTTTATTTCATTGATTTACTAAACTCACCTTAAATCTTTCCCGTAAGAGTAGAAAAAAAGGAATGCCAAAGGCAATTACAAAGGGAATGAACAAGATAATGATCTAGGGAGAAAAGAAGAAGTAAATTTCAGTGACCTGAAAAATATAATGCTTTCAGGAGGCATCGTCCAAAATACAAAACAATCAAAAGTTCCTACCTTTACTAATGTTTTGATAATATTTGTCATCATTATAATATAAATACCAAACGTAGAGAATCTGAAAGTAGAATAAACCCAAGAAAATAAATTACAGAGACAACAAAACTTTGTGGAGCAACTTTCTTCATCAGAAATATACAAATTTTAGAGATTAAATTAGGTGAGATTTTTTTAAGGTTAAGACTATAACGTCATACCGTCTACATATTCCAGCAAGTTAAGATTAGAAGTCGGTAAACTTCTAGGCAGAAGAACATTTTGAACGAAAAAAAATATGTTAATTTATTTAAAGTTCTTTTAGTAAATGGGGGCTTAAACATTATTTACGCAAATTTTACACTTTCTTCTATTTGCTTTCATTATCAAAACAGGACAACTTGACTTCATGTTTCTGAGTAAGACAAGTATTTACCTTCTTAAATAAAGGACAAATATAACCCAAGCGATAAAAATTGCAGTTGCAGCGACCGCCTTCAAGCTGTACGAATACTGATCTTTTTCACTGTTGGGATCAGTGTCCAATTTTCCACTGTACTGAAACATGTAGACAAGACTTGTCATGTACAAAAACCACTCCATCCAGTTATCTATCTTCAACAAGTACTTGAATTTCTGAAGGAGACAGAAATTATTCCCATAGTTCTATTATTGTTTTAAGGACATACTGATAAAAAAAAAAAACATTTTTTTTCAGGTAAAATTTACAGCTACTATTTTCCTTGACAAGGAAAATGATTAAAGAAAACTTATAGCTGATAAACATGAATAACAGTTTGGAAAATAGCATTCTATTCTATACAGCTGTGATTGTTTCCAATACTTTTTAAACTCTATCATTTCCCCCTCGATTAATCTCGTACCCAGACCTTCCATAGCCAAGCAGTACAGTTATAAGGTAAGATCTGGTTACGAGATTACCCCTTGATAACTCCCTCTCTATAAAATAAATTATCTACCTCTCTTTTAATAAGCCCCCTCCTTTCGTATAGCTTCTCTAGTCTCTGAAAGCCCCCCCATCCCCCCCCTTCCCGATTCACTTAATTACCCTCTTCTCTCCAATAACAGCTTTTTCGACTTCAATGGCCCCGAGCGGGCAAAATTTACGGGAGGCAGATAGGCAGGAGTTCAGAGTCCCTCCCAATCTTCTCCGGATGCCGTTTTCGGAAGTGTTCATTATCCTTTTAGCCTCACCTCGTCCCATATTTGGAATATTTCTTTCAACAGATGGAAAAGACTCATAACCACAATCGTGAAGCGTGGAATGTCAAGAAGAGAATTTAACTTCTCTTCGTCTGCTAGTAAAACGGTCATTATGGTCAACATGACTAAGAACAAAATGTAGAATCCAAGGTTCATCGTGTACGCTTTCCATCCCACACTCCTCCTAAAAGGAAATTATTAAAAGGAGTCTTGAGTCAGATGGCTTTAGTAATGTTTTCATATACAATTTATCTTTTCAACGGGAAACGCAATGGTATAATGATAGGCTCACTGGTATTTGGGTCAGGAAGTTTGGGTTCGAGCTCTGGACGAGGCATCGTGTTGTGTTCGTGAAGAAGAAACTTCATCTAACCCAGTGCTCCTCTTCTCTCAGGAGTACAAATGGGCACCAGTTACATGGAAACTCGACAAATTTCCTATGGTAGGGGGGGTGGGTGGGTTGCAACTTGCGATTGACCAGCATCCCTACCAAGGGGTTAGACGTACTCCTACTCCACCTATACTGCATAAACTATGGCAGAGGCCTCGTTTCCACCTTTTCAGTTGAATTTAGGGATTTAGAATTCTTACCACTTTATGTTCATCATCGCCCCTGTTACAGGATGTGACAGACAGTTGACTCGTTTGTACTTCACCATTGTCTAAAGGAAACAGTAACACAATGAAACACCATCAATCTCCAAGAATATAATATATTAAAGTTCACACGGCAACCAGGTGGACAATCAGACATGGTTTGATGCTATTCTGTGTAACGAGCCGCAAGATTACAAACAACAAGACATAAGAAGCTTCTCTCAGAACTCAATGCATATGTATTGGGAGCTCGTGTTCTTATGTCCTCGCTCGGTTGTTGCACCCACGTGACCTTTTCGTAAGGTCACCTGACGTAACACAATCCCTACTTTAATCCTATTCCGCCCACGCTCCATTAAATCGTGACGATGGCAGTTTGCTTCCTGACGCCTATTTACACCTCGTCAGAAAAAAAGGCCGCTAATTAGTGATCATATAAAAGGACCTCTTGTTGCAGCGTTTAGATCACCCCTGATGAAGGTACTAGACAGAAGTGTCGAAACTTTGGGTCAATGAATTGTAACTTCTTCGGTTACATTCATTAAATCTGTAAACCAGAGTAGCATCAAACCATGTCTCCAAGAATAAGTTGGTATAGAATGAAAATCTTAAACAAGGATCAAACATTTTCTCATAATCGTTGTGGGAAAGAAGTGGGAGGCGTGAGCGCACAATAGTAAGACGAAAAACGTCAAAAACTTAGAGTTCAAAAACCATTTCTTTTAAGCAACCAATCATGACAACCACAAATATACACATGCGAGATTCTTTTCAATCAGATGTTGGAAGCTTACATGAAGGCTGTCCAGATACTTCTTAGGATCGTTTTTTCTAAGGTCCGGCATGCCTTGTAACAACATAAAGTCGTACGTTATCTGGATAAAAAGATAAAAAATTTAAAGTATCAGTCTGTGACATCACAAGAACCATTGTCATGCATGCACACTGAAACGTATAAAAACCGTGAATATAATTAAACTCGGATAATGTTGCAATTTTACTAAAATTGTTCAAATACATCACATATGACCAAGAGATTATTAATCTCTTGATACGGCACATAAAAAGACCATCTTACCTGAGGTGGAAACACTTACCGAATAATCTTCACTTTTTTCTTTATCTCCTGATTCTTCTACGCATTTATCAAGAAATTTCTAAAAAGGAAAAGAATATTACCCTGTGACTCAGAACTTTCATTGCCTCGCGCTAGTTAAACGAATAAATCTTTTTATTTCCTCCACGACCGAGCTCAAAATTTAACATTTTTGTTCTTCTGTTTACAGGATATTCCTTGTTTTAATGATTTGCTTCCAATGTTTATGAGAAAACAATAAATCTCAACGCCACTGGCTCAAAATTTCTCGCCAAGTTAAGCTTTTTGAAATTCCAAACAGCCCTTTGCCCTCAAAACAACACTTTCTCCTCGGCAAATTAGCAAAAGGTTTCTCAGAAATCTCAGAATAAATTCCCCGTCAAAAAAAAAGCAAACGCGAGTTAATGGAATACAATGGCCTGCAGGAAAGGTTCTCCAACGTGTAGGCTAAGACAGTACTCTTGTTTCTTCCCACCCAGATCTTTAGTCTTTTTTTGGGTGTTTCCAATAATTTCTTAACAATTAAAGTACTGAGAGGTTTTGATTAAAAGTTGAATAAGTACCGAAACCGACCTCTGCAGCCAACGGCATCTTTATAATAAGGCTCTGTAGTTGAGTAAGGCCTTCTTCAACTCTATGACACAGTTCTCTCCACCTGATAGGGATGATGTTCATAAATTAACAAAATGATATTCATAATTTACGGGAATCTTTTTATCAAGAGAAACGTATATCCATCACTACACCATCTCACCGTAAATGGTCTCCAATGCACATCACGACAGGTTCTTTTCCAGCCTCTATCGCAACATCCAGTGCATTCTGATTGTAAGCGTTATGCGTCACGTTCTGGGAATCATGGGATAGCAGATACGTCACTATGGCTGCATGTCCATTTTTGGCAGCCAGGTGCAAAGCGGTGTCCTAGCAAGGAGTGAAGAGGGAGATTAACATGATAAGATCTCCAGGCGAAATATTTTGGACATTTTTTTTTCACAATGCTATGAATATATTCAGGAGTTTGTGTACCCATGTATGCGTGATACCACAGGACCAAGACCACCGTTTCATTTTGCAAAATAAATTTATTCTTCAAAGACAATATTAGCGAGAAATAGTTTTTCGCGAAATGTCTGAAATCTGGTTGACGCATAGCTAAGGGAAAGAGACCTGTGAGATACAAAAAGCCAGTTTTATAAAGCGGAGAGCTGCTTTCTTAGGAACTTACCTGGTCAGCGTTATCTTCAACATTAATACAGTTTGGATTCGAAGAGCAGATCAACTGAACACTTTTTAGTGATCCTTTTGCTGCGGCGAAATGTAAAGGTGTCCGGCCGTCCGTATCCCTTTGGAAAAAAAAACAACAAGAAAATTACGCAACACTTTTTTCTCGTTTCGCGTTTATAAATTGGGCACGGCCTCTGTCAATCTAGAGCCGTATGGGTCACCCTTACCTCAATAAAATTGATTTGACTTGTAATTGATTAATTAATACGATGTAAGCATACTCTAAGTGCTTGCTAGATTATTTTATTTCTAAGTTTTTATCAAAAACTTTAGGAATTAGATGAGTCCTGAGAACACTTCTATACAAAAGTCCCTTTTTTTCTCTTTTAGAAATGACGAGAATCATGTGTTTAAGCCTGAGAAATGAAAGTGGCCGTCTGAAATACAAGCTTTGTCATTTATTTCGAAAATTTCAGCGCGTGAATCTAGAGCCCTTTTCTGTCTCTACCCGATCGCTTCCTTGCGTGCTAATGCATGATTACACGAGTAGATCATGAGGGGTAGTGGTTACCTTTCTATTGTAGCTCCTCTGTCCAAGAGGAATTTGACGACCTTGTCCTGTCCGTTGGAAGCAGCCAAATGGAGAGGTGTGTGATCATTGAAGTTTCCCACATTCATCAAACGTGTCTGTCGACCTTCCATCAGTTTTTTAACGATTGGTAGCCAGCCATGACTAACAAAAATTAACAATCGAAGAAATTAACGGAAAGGTATTGTCTTATTTATGGTGTTGTATCAATTATATCACAAGTCTGTTTTACAGTATTTGCATTCGACAGTTACCTAAGCATAGTTCTGTCAGGACATTGGACTCAGCATGTAAAGAGCGAACAGGTTCTTGACTAGGTTTTTGGTTAGTTCTAGCTTAGTATCTGATTGGTTCAGTGGTTGTTTCTCACCGCTAAGTATGGCAAAAGTGATTACATCGCAAACTACATTTATAGCATTCAGTTTCAAATTGCCGTCCACACGTTCATATCTCGTCCATACCTGGCGGCTAAGTGAAGAGAGGTTTCAAGTTTATTATTCTTCAGACTTGCATCAGTTCCATTCTTCAAAAGTAAGAGCACGCTCTGAAAAAGGAAAAAGCCCGGAATTTAGGGAAACATGAGATAAAGTTTATTTCAGTGTGTGACATAGAAAACTTGATTATGAAAGTAAGTCCAGGTGTAACATCCCTGTACTACGGCTGAATCAGCAGAGCTAATCAATTATCAGAATGATGTTTTTTTTTTCAATTATTCAAAATAAAAGGAAAACACAAGCCACTGATACGATTTCAAGGTTCGTGAGGATCTGGGAGAAGCTGGAAAGTCACGGAGTTCCTCATCATCATTTTGAAGAGTAGTCAGAGAGAGAGGGCTAACGCTCGAAATTTCAACTTAGGAAACTCTTCAGGTGGTTAATATACAATATTAACTCAGTTGATGAGACTAAATTGTCTCCTAACACACTTCCCCCACCACCGACGAAGCACGGCAGTTTCTTTAGAAACTTACCCACTTTGTTCATTAACTCGTTGTTTTATAAAAAAAAAGGTCCTGGAAAAAGTCGTGTAGAGATAAGGGCGTGATGAGTTCGCTACTTCGAAAGGGTACGAAACCTAGATTTGTCGCCTTCTTTCGAAGTTCATTCTCTTCCAAAATTCTGTGGAATCACTAATGAAAATTAGCGACTATAAAACCAAGGTGAAATAAAACTAAGAACTTCATCAGTCGACTTACTAAGACTTCTCTTCACGCGAGGTAGAAAACTGACCTTTAGGAAACCTCCCTGTGCAGCATAGTGGAGAGCCGTGGCTCCTGTGATATCCTGTTGATTGACGAGTTTTAGTTCTTGCACCCGTGTATCCTGTAAAACAAGTTAAACCAGTCGGACAAGTTTAAAAAAAGCATCAAAGTTGATCTCCTCTTTACATAAAGTGATAATGGTTAGTGTTTTAATCTCGAAATCGAATTTTTCAGTTCGCGCACCGGCGAGGATCATTGCGTCATACCTTAAGAAGTCGTTCAATAGTTCTGTCCTGTCCCACTGCCCAGTGTAGCGCAGTTCGTTTTTTGTCATCCTCGCTAGTAACGTCCGCTCCACTTTCCAATAGTAGTGAGACAACTGCAGAACAACCATGAGCCGCTGCTAACAGTAGAGGGGTGCATTTCTCGCGATCCCGAGGGTTTAGATCCACACCCTGCAAAGGAAGATATTTTGATCAAGAAGTGTAGTGGTTAATAACTGCCTTGAAATTTTAACCAGTCAGAACAGAAAATTTGCAAGAGTTGAAAACGTCAGGGGGCGGGATCGGATAATTGGAAATTTTAGAAATGTTGATAGCAGTGGTTCAGAATGGTCTATACTTATTTACATAAACTTCATACTGTCTCCAACACATGTACAGAAACAAGGGAATATCAACAGTTAATACTCTCTTAACAGTAACCTCCTATCCAGGTTTCCTCAAGTTTATGGCACTGGGAGCCAATCGTAGATGAACCAAAGTCGAAAATTTTTGCCAAATGTTCAGTATGTAGGTTATTGCATGAGATATAACAGAGGCTTTGTACAGGAATTTCATTGTTTCAAATGCTCTTGAAAGAATATATGTAAAGCTAACACGAGTTACAATAAAAATAGCGGTTTAAAGAAAAGCATCATTAATTTGTACTTACGTGTTCTACGAGAAACTTTACAACGCTGATATGATTATACATTGCACACCTAAAGGAAAATTTGAGAGGTGGAGCTAGATGTTTCTTTAATTAACAGGTCTCAGTAATAGCGGAGCTTACTTAGCCCCATAATTATACAAAATGGTAGTAACCCATCAAGCCGAAAAAATTTGGATGTACGACCGTTCGACTGTACGACCGTACGACCGTACAAGGTGCTATTTTTAACATGAGTGGTCAACTGTACCGCGGGCACGCTAACGCCACGGCTTTGTCCAGTAGTCCAAGGGTCAGTGCACACCGGGTGGTTGACTTCCGACTACCCCACCCAATTTTATCCGCTTTTAAGGAAAGAAATATTGCTGATAAAAAAAGCAAGGGAGTTTGGTGGTAAAAGTGGCTTGGTAACATCTCCAACTTGTCAAAACCATAAGATTATAAACTGTTTATTATCTCTTGTAAAAACTCGATCTTGACTGTTTGAACCAAGCCACCCTAGTCCGCAAACTTTAAAATAGTTTAGTCCCACTTGTGTCCATATTGTGCCATAGGCAGATATAGTTTTAGATGATGATATTTCCAGTTTCGAAATAGTTTGGCTATCCTCAGAAAAGAGAAAATTAAAGGAAAAAATATTGTTTACTTTGGATGGCACGTGAACCCATTCACCAAGGAATTAGCCTGTTCCAGGCGTTCAGTAAGTTAAATGGAGCGAAGTAACAAACAGTGCGATGGCTGTGGCAAAGAGATAACTAGGGAGTTTTGGGTTGACGCCAACCGACCCGCACCTCCCTCGTTTTTTCACTCCCCTGCTACTATTGCGCCGTTTACCACCGCGCTTCGTTTTAGTAAAGGTAATAACATGACTTTTGAACTTTGAAAAATTTACAGGTACTTATTACACGAGAATTCATGTAATAACTTATCAATAATTTTGTAATATCATACAATCATAAAAAAATTTGCGATTGCCATTCGCGTAAGAACTTTGCAATTGTAATTTATGAAAAGGTCACTCGTTTCCAGCCGATCAGAAGCGCGTAATTTTTCATGTTTATCATTTTTCAGCCAATCAGAAGTGGGCAGTTTTTCGTGTTCATCATTTTTCAGCCAATCAGAAGTATCATTACCAACTTAATGCTTGGAAAGGCTAGCAAGGATAAGACTCTGAGACACACCCAGTTTTGACTCATGCTTATACCACGGAAATGGAGCTGATATCCAAAGAGAGTTACGTTCTTAATAAAAAAAGTTTTTTTATAATATTTTTTTCTTTGATAATGCCCTTTGTTTAGACTTAAAAATTACATCATGACATTTCTAGCTCCTAATTACCTGTGTAAAGGTGTCATGAATTCTTTGTCCAACAAAGCGTGTTGGAAAGCCGCTGGTTCATGTTCATATAAACACTGAAGGATCACTGGCGCACCAAGACGGCACGCGAAATGGATAGGAGTACCACCATTTAACCGCTGACGGTGAAAAATAGATCTTTTAGAAAAAAACAAGTCTATTCAGGAGAAAGACTTAATAAATAAAAGCGAAAGCCAAAAATATAGAAGCCTCAACTGAAACTAGTCCCAAACTAGGATACACGGCATTCATTACAATAGTCAGGTATTTTATTCTGGAACATGCTATTGTCTACCATATTAGGCCACTTTGTGGAAAATGTCGAATTTCTATGTGAACAAAGTACATTCAGGACGATTGGGGTAGATTTTGTGGCTGCTTACCTTGACAGCTGTCACAGAGCAACCATGTTTCAAACAAAGTTTAACAGCCTAAAAATGCAAAAGAAAATTAGTCTTTAAGTATAAATTGGTGGGCACATGTTTCGAACCCATTCGACCCTCAGCTGCTTGAATTTCTGTTATGTTGTTTAATTTACCTTCAAAACACCGCTGTCTATAGCAAGATGTAGCAGAGAGCTTCCTTCAGAGTCCACACCGTAAAGAAGGTCCAATTTCTGTTTTGTACCCCTCTGGACTTCGTAACCTATGACGCAGAAATTGCCACAAATTGTTGATAAAAGAACCATTTAACCAATTAGCCGTAAGGATGATCTGCAAATGATGAAAAATCACCGAAAGAAAAGGAACCTACGATCGAATCATGAAATAAACAGGGAAGACAATAACAGCAAAACTACTAAACAGTAGAAAAACACTTTCAACCGGCGTCTATTCTCTTCTGAAACAGAATAATGTCATCCCTCTTCAACCTCAACTCCCGAGGAGAAACCTGATCATTCCTTACATTTTTCGAAGAACAAGGCCATAATATCCGCTGACCCCTTCTGAGCGGCAACGCTGAGTGGTGTCATGTGATCAGTTGCCTTTGCTGTTACTTTAGCCCCACAGTCAAGCTGAGGAGAGGAAAAGTTTGGTTGTGATGGGAATTGAGATTGCTTCTCTCTTATGCGCCAAGTAATTCAATTTTCCAGAAGCTTCTCCTGATTTCTGCTAAATGAAGCGATTTAGGGCGTTGCAAGTCCGTCACATGCAAGCCAAGCGTAAGAAATTCTTTAAACTTTCTTTGACAGTTTGCCTTACGCAAATATCAGTGCTCTTTGGTGTAGAGAGACCCCTTGAGAATAAAGTGTCAGTCCCAATAGCGAAATACAAAGTCCATGCCTTATCAATTATGGCACCGAGTGTGACTAAAATAGTTAGTTCAGCACTTGTCGACGTTTCACAATGAATGCTTATCTTACCAGCTTTTGGCAAATTTCTAGGGCGTTTCGGTGTTCCAAATGAGCGGCATTATGCAGAGGAGTGTATTTTCCGCGTCCTTCAATGTTAACATTGGTGGTCTTGTGGTTCAGCAAAGCCTTTGAAAACATGGAGAAAATCAATCGGTTATATCAAGCAAGAGAGCCAGGAATACAAAAACCTCGGTGAGGTGAATAAGCATTGAAATGGGGTAGTAAACCAGAAAGGTTTGCCGCTTTAAATTCGGCATGCGCAAACCTACTCCACAATGTCCATAAATTTACCTCCACCATTTCCACGTTCCCGGTACGCACTGCGGCGTGAAGTGCTGCCTCTTCTCTGTGGTCCTTAAGGTTTGGGTTTGCATGGTTGTGGAGGAGAAATTTTACGGTATTGACTTGTCCGGCTGATATTGCACAGTGTAAGGCTGTTTTACCATAACTGTCCTTTTTGTCGATGTCTGTTGAAAGTGAAGAATTTTTATCAAATTAATTTGATCAATCCTCATAAGATGGAAGTGTAATCGTTCACCACTAAGTTTTCGTAAACCAGGCCAAAGTACTGATTGAAAAAAGTAAGAGGCTATTAGCTATTTCTTGCATAAAGTTTAGATACTGTCAACTTTCTCTTTCTCCAATGATCATCGTTGCGCAGTCTCAAATGTCCCTTTCACCCGGAAGTCATCAACATGTAACTTCTCTCTTACTATTCATGCATTATTCAGCATGAGAATACTTATCAGGTGGAAGTTGCTGTTATGATCTGACAACAAATCTTCAAAACTAATGTACAACGAAAAGAGTAGCAGTGAGAGGAGAGAATTAAGAATCAAATCTTGAGAGATAAAGGGTTCAAATAAATAGATTCAGGTTTGTCATTTCACCATTATAATCTAATAGTTCAGGAATTAATGGATTGCAAATCACAGTAGTGTCCAAGCAAGTCTCATTAACCTTCATTCTGCTGAAGGAGTGCTCTGAGTTCTTCGGTGTTTCCTTTTCTGGATAAAGTGTGGAACGTTTCTCTCTCATTTTCTCCATAGTCACCTGACTAAAAACATCAAGAAAAAAAATTCATGTCATGCATGCAACACTCTGAATGTTTTTTTTCTCTATTAAGTTGTATCGGTATCAGCAATGATATCTCCTTTTGGGTGTTAAAGCACAGATCTTACTGTTTTCCTTCCTAACTAACTTTCCCTCTTTTGTTGTTATGGTCTCATGGCTAAAAATGAGTCCAGCTGTCTATTCAGTCTTCTTTACACAAAACAGTGTCAACCAAAAGGGCTTGCACCATGAGAAAAAAAGGACCTCAAGATGAGCTAGAAGTAACGTGTTCATGTCCGCACGGCTCATTTTCGAATGACCTAATTTGTCTTTATCTGTGTAAGCGTGGGTGCAGCCATTTCTATAAAAAGCCTTATTATCCTTAATTGTCCGGTTTTCATCGGCATGGAGCGTTTAGAAGAATTGTTCCTCGACTCATCTGAATCCCGTGAAAGTTTCCAATATGGTTATATATCTTATAAGTTGCCTGTAAATGTTTTTCCTTTCATACAATGTAGGAATGAAAACAAGCCCTACTCTGGAACCCAGGCACAAGACAAGTCGAAAATGATCAATCAGTCATGATAATCGTGATAATCCATGAATATTACGTATAACGTGACTCTTTTATTAACAGATGTCTTCTAAAAATTAATTACATAACCGAACTGAATCGGTCGAATATGTCTGTTTTCTTTATGATTTACGTAATATCTCACAGAAGGTCCTGGTATAAATGTTTTACTAAGTGTTTTATTGGTGCTTTTGACATAGATCTCCCTTTTCAACCAGTAAGGACCAACTGCATAACTGCATTGTCAGAAGTCGGGTCATTCAATTTCTTTGCACGTAACTTCCCTCAAGTGTTCCTAGTTACAGTGTATTGTTAAAGTGATCTTATCTTAGGATATTGACTTTTATGGCTAGGAAAAATATCACGAAAATTTTTTAACATTATAATTTAACTTAGTCCGACACGATTTTGCCAGGTAAGATGAAGGAAAATTAAACCGAATTTAGAAGGACAGCGAGATGAATAAAGAAGTCGAGTTTATTTAGCCGTCAAATGAATGGTTATCCAAAAGTGCAGACCTTTTTGTCTTATATTCTCGCGGAAGCGAGGAACTGCGATGAATTTTAGCAAAAACAACCACCCAAATAATGCAAAATTGTGCGAAAAAGGAAGTTGTCTAGATCGTGATTTGCCAGAAGTTCCAAATTATAACACCCAACCAATGTAAACTGCGAGGAAATTTTCTCCAATAAAAAAGCGATATTGTTTACCTTACATCTCCTTAGTACACAATTCATGATTTCTGCGGAAATCCAGGAGGATCATCATGAACAAGACAAAAAAATTTAACATGTCAGCTTTCAAGTTTTTGCTTTTGATTTAAACAGCAAACCAGCGAGAACATCTGCCGCAACATTTTAATAATTCAAACACTTTTTTTCAGATAACAAATGTTTTCTTCTAAACTGAGACGAAAACCATATAAGTGTTCTGGTGTCGGCCTTTATTCTAGAACAATATATCTGTTCCTTAATTTTCTCTCTTCATTTTTCTCCAAGAAACTTGATATAAACAAAAAAACATTTTTTTTTTTATGATCAAACTGATCATCAGACTGTGTCAGAATTGTGTATAGATTTAATAACAATGACCAAAACCGCAGATTCTAGGTAACTTACATTTAAATTGATTCATAATGATTTTGATGAAAGGTAATTGGCTAAAGGTAAAGAAACCCATATTAAGAGCCAATTAAACGTCTTAGGCACGAAAGCATCCCAATCACTGGCATTTGATGCAAAAGATTTCAATTTGACTTTGATACCGACCTTACCGAAAAAATGCACTCAAGATACAAACACTTGCTATTTCTGGAAATATTAACAGAACCATGTTAGTTGAAACAAAATCTTTGAGCTTTATCAAATTGAAAGCGTTCGGTTGTTTCATACTGAAAACAAAGCTTCATTTTCAATTCTGATAAGACAATATTCGCTATTGTCTGTGTGATTTATAATTATACAAATACAGTCTAAACGCGTTCAGGAGTATTTTAGAGTGGTGATCTATTCGACTTTCAGTGTGCGAGTGTGAACGAGATGTCTGTGGGTAAAAACTGCATTCATCAAAAATTTGAACATATTATGGCGTAATAAAACTTTTCGATCTCATGCTAAAAGCTAGATCATTATACTAGCTTTTTCCTGCCGATTTATAGATTTTAATGTCAGATATCAAGAAACAAGATTAATTAACGAAATGCACGCGATAAACGTTCGAAAACGGCATAAGACCGGGAAGAAAAAATCGACACATCACTTCAACAGTTCTTTGCGGCAGACCGCTTCAAGTGTACTGCTTCCAAAAAGTCGCTGCCACTGATTTTAGCGGAGCGACTTGTTGTGGAAACAAAAGTCTGTCAGAACGTCAAACTTACTATGCCTCGTGTGTTTCAGGCTTCCTAGATTTTGAAAAACGATAATTGCGCTTTTTCGTTTTAACTTTGAGTAATATTGAATTCAATTTTATCTCTTACTTCGACTGCGTTTCGAAAAGAGAGAGAATGGAATATTCACGCCTATCAAGAATGTCACATCTGAGCCTGACTGTAATACGAACAGCGGCTATTCAATGGGCACACATGCTCACAAAACTCCCACTCAAAATTGATGAAATGTCACGCTGTTGGGTTTGATCCGTCAACCAAGGGCTTCATTTTGTTTCCATAGAAACAGTAGGTAAGAACTCTTATCACTGATTACGAATAGAAACTTCAGTTTCTTTCACTTGTACATTCGTCGCTACATCAATTTTTGTTAGTTTTCCTTTTTCATTATTGTTTTAATTTTATTTATTATTTTTTATGTCTGCGGGAATTAAATGCGGTCTATCTTCTCAGCTCCCAATCAGAAATAACTCTTAAAATAACTTTACAATGAATTTAAACTACAGCAAATAGCAAAATTGAAAATTACAACATTTGGTGATTTAGAAAAGTTGAGCAGACATCTTCGCGATCATTCTGATTTTCTGGTCTGGGAAATCCTTCTTGAAACTTTCGTTTCTTCGATAGTATTAAGATCTTACGAAACCAATGAGCGATCCTTCAAACAATGTCTATAAGTTCTGAACTGATGAGTTACGCATATTTCAAAATAACTAAGATACTGCGTGAGACCCGATTGGTCATTGATTGTATCAGTAAAACCTAGGGAAATAGAAAGCTTTTACAGTTATGCGGTTAGTTTTTTGGAATAATCAGAGCTAATTTTCGGGCTTAAAATTGTCATCGATTTCGAATGTCATGTCAACACTAACCGTTATAAAAAATGGCGGATTGTTGTCTAAACATAGATCATTTTAAAGTTCAAAACTACCAAAACATTTGAACCGAGGGTTTTTATTCTTCGGAAATACCGTAACCTAATTTTATGACTAAAGCGTTTGCGTATTGTTTTGCCAATAGCCGTTACCTAGCTATGAATTGTCTCTTCTATCTTAAAAAAAATTTCCATTTCTCTTGGCTCTGAAACAAAAAACTATATAGAATATTATTTCTGTTATCATAGTGGCTCCCGTAAATTTGTTAATGCGAATGACAATTTCTTGAAATTTGTGAATATTATTTTTCATCTTCCACATGGCAATTCTGTGTGAATCGTTACACCGTAATTATATTTATAAAATTCATTCTAAACCGAAACCTGCTCAAAATATCTCGTCTGGTTGAAATTTTTAGAAATCAGGCCTGTTCAAAGCTGAAGCCTGGGCAAATGTACGTCTCTTCATAGAAATGAACAGACGAATCACGAAATCACTTTCACAGATGAATATAAATGTATCAGAAGTAACTAGAAAAGGAGAAATTTACATAGATTATGAAATGTGACCCCATTTACTACCCATCATGAAAAATGTTCGCTGAGCTTACCTTCAATTTGTAATAACTATCACCTTCTTCTTGTTTAAAAAACAAATCTTTTACGAAAGCCCGTCTGTTCGTTTTAACAAAAGGCTGTGGTCGCGCCAGAATATCCTCATTTAAATCGGAACCATACCGCGGCAACAAATTCATGCTTACGCTGGTCATTACAGAGGTTTTCTCAATGGCGACTTCGTTTGAGTTCTCCCGATGCAATCGCAAAATACTTCTTCTTCCGATGTCTTGTGGAACTGACAAGCATAATCCGTCGCGAGAACTGCGCTTTAAATTTGTTTGAAGATGAGTCGAAGACGGATGCAATCGATGAACAAGTGTTTCTGAGCCATTTTCGTTTGGTTCTCTCAATACCTCATTAATTTTTACTCGCACGTCGCATTCGTCTAACGAGTCGTTGCAGTCATCGAACAAACCATAATCAGAGTCTGGTCTCACACGGGAAATATACTTGACTTTATCCCAGTTTGTTGCCATTACAAGAACGTTAAGAATCCTTCAAGTGCTCTCTGATCAACTCATGAAATAGGTTTGCAGGTTGTTTCTTTAATCGTTAGCAAAAAAATAATAATATTCTCCATGGCTCAATTGAAAAACACCAATATGCTGATGATATTGATTTATACGAAGAGTGCTGTTCGATCGCTCTATGGTCGCTGATTCCCGGTAAAAATTACGACAAGAGTAATTTATCATTGTTCAGCTAGCTGGCACTTCGTCGAAATAGGATTAAAAAAGTTTTCATACTGTTGTCTATTGAGTAAGTTCATCTTTCATCAGTGCCAACAATAATGCAAGCCGCTCACTGAATAAATAATTTTAAAAAATGAATCTCTTCATACACTCGGCAATATCTGTTAAATAAAACACCACTGGAAATAAACCACAATTTGTCCAAGGCGAGGAAAACATTCAAACTTCTTATCAACGTTGCATCTATTAAGCTGAGTCTTCCCTCTAATGGCTTCAAAGAGTTACCGGATTTATCCGTCTGGCGAGCTATTGGCTGGAAAATACAAAGCACTCTTGCTCAGCTGTCACTTTTAACAATACTTCTTTCGCTCTCGTAGTGGGTAGTGAATAATTCATCGCCGAATTACCCTCCATTTAATACACCTACCAAAAGCTCTTGGTACTTTTTGGTATCAAGTTTGCGTGAATTCGCCACGGTTGTATCCAGTAATCCTTCGATTTAGTCCATACAGACAATGAAAATGTAAAGCTAACTCATATGTTTCAAAGATCTCAATTAATATCACAAGACAAGGGGGAGGGGATATCTACAAATGTGAAATTGCTTTTCAAAATTCTGGGGAATACTTTAAAAGTATGTCTTGCTTCCGTATCTTTTAAGATAAAAGCCGTCGTAGAGGAAAAGCCCCTAACTATTTACACTCTAACATCAGTATGCATATTCCCCATACTGCCATTTATACATTTTCTACGTTGTTGACGAGGATAATTTGTTTGAAAATTAAGAGCTGTTTTATTTTTGATCATTCCTTTATTCTCGTGACCTAAATATTTGCTCCAACGGTAATAATATCCACTGCCAAAAACCGAAGTTTTTTACTACTTGCCACAATTATATCAAGACAGCCACAACTTTGCATTAACAAAAATATCCCAATTATGATCAAGTTCTTTTAGTTTCAGTAACGTAAAGTACCACTGATGTTGCATGAAAGAGGTTTTCTTTGATTTTACCAAATTAGCCAGGGTTACGCGGATGCAGAAAAGAGAAACAACGTTCTCTCAAAATAAAATTGCCTGAAAAATAAACATCTGTCACTACACACAAAAGAAACTACGTGGACTCTATCGCCCTAACTTCACGCTAGTTAATTTGCTTTCTTTCCCCAATGCAGGAAGATCTTTAAAATCAAAATCAATCCTTTAATATTGTTGCTAAGTAATTCCCCTAAAGATCAATGATCCGCGCATTGTAGTATTATTTGCTTTTATCGGAGAGATTGACCCCCTACCCAATTCAACTAAATGTTTCCAGTCAAATTTGAAATTATCGACCTTGTGTAATTTCGTGGTTTTTACATAATTTAATCTTGTTTTGTTCCATTCTCGCTTTTAATTTAATTGAGCTTGATAATTCCGGCTTTTACGGTGCCAAAAATGTTTCAATTGGTAAGATACTTTCACTTCTCAAATAAGATATGATGATTCATAAAATCCTTAGGAAGCAACGAATATTTGCTTGGCATCAAGGGAAATGAGCTTGTTTCTGTGACTGCGAATTTAAAACTTATTTAGTTCTTATCAATGCATTTTTGTCGGAAACATTTCCGACGCATTCTGATCTATCCCCTAATCTATTCTTACTAACCACTGGTGAAGATTGGCCATGACATAACTGTCAAATCGTTTAGTTTCTTTGATAATCAACACATTGGAAATTTCCCTCTAGACACCCCTCGTCCACTAGCATCTGACTATTTGTGAAAGCAAACAAAAATGTGCTCCATTCTAATAAAATACGCGTCCTTGCTTTAATATCAGAATAATTTTCGTCCAGCCATGCATACGTTATTCGCGCTGTTCCAATCGATGTCATTGTATCAAAAACCCCTGTTCAGGTCACTCCACATGAAAACAATAAAGCGACACTGTCAAATGATTTAACGTGAAAATCGTCTTTTAAGAGCTTCGTTTTTCGGAGCCCAAAACGAACTTAGCATGCCGTTACAGAAGACGAGAATGACGAAGAAAACATCAATTTTCAAAGCAGAAGGCAAGAAAGTTCCTTCTCTCGGTTACCTTATTCTCCCCCTCCCCCTGAGAAAGCTCATCCTCCAATGTTTCGTGATGTATTGATATGAGACGAAGTCGAGACGGAAATGTACGTGTGTAGTTTTTATTCATTACACAACAACATACACCTGCAGACAAACGTGAAAGGTTTACAAAAATTCATCGCTAAAGAGAAAACTAGTTGTAATCTAAATAAAACTAAAAAGACATCTGTTAATAAAAGCTCGCTTAAAAATGAGATAAAATGTAGTTATAGCCGTGAGAACGGAGCGACCTTCCCCTCTGCATGAGAAGTAGGTCACGTAGACAATGGTCTTCTGAACATGGCTACTAATATCGCTGATGAAAACCACCTCATCAGATCACCTCTCTTGGTTAAGATAAGAAAATAATTGTAGCTTTCATGTTCCTCAGTAAAATGTTTGCGGTTTTACAATAATCATATTATTATTGTATTGGGTTTATTACAAGAGGAGTTGTTATCAGCCCGTGTCAAAAAGTAACCAACACACATTCTTCCTTCCCCCTCGGAATACACTCTTCACACGTTTTAAAACAATAGAAAATTATAAGAAATAAGGCTATTGCTCAAGTAGTAACTAAGATTCTACTCTATGGGGGTCCTTGCAGAACTGCAAAGGTTTTTATAAAGAGATGTAAACCATCAAAACGGGTCAGTTTAGTTTGGTTGTCAAATTCTCCCCGTATGTTTTTATTTGATTTATAATTCTCGCTTGATCTTTCATTCAGCAGAATCAGCTACAAGGTGGATTGTCCTTTCTCATGAAGGCAACCTTTGCCTAGCTACGCTACTTTTGGTACATTATTCTATCACTCAGTAATATCTTCCAATTGCAACTCGTCAGTTTTGTTATGAAACCCACGCCAGGAACACACGAATCAAGATGCCTCTCCTCAATGCCTCAAAGCCGCACACACGAAAGTAAATCGAATTTTCTCGAGTTCCGTTTCATACTTCATTGTTTTGAACAAAAGTTCACATCTCAGACTGCTTCCTTAACAATGCTTGCCATTAGAAAATGCAGTTATTCAAACGACGTCACTCAAGCTGCTGATTGTGAATGAAAAAGCGAAAGGTGGCAACTAAATGTGTTGTTAAGACGACGATATACACGCGATTTTATCCTTTGAGTTGTGCACGCATGGTCAAGCCGCATTTACATCTACAGACGATTTACTTTGTACAGTAATCTACACGAACCTCTTATCTTTGGCTTTTTAGGACTTTTTTTTATATTTTTAAAGAAGCGACAACTGTTAGAAATTCATTGAAAATAATTTCGTTCGAGAAAACATCTGCTTTTTTATCACCGTCGGTTTACAGTAGATGCAGCTAATGCAAACAATTCTGAACTATTTAAATGTGTATTGTTCCTTTACCACAGTAGCGAACACTTTAGCACAAACGGTGTCTCAGATCAGTAGCTATTTTTCATACCCGTCCAATTTGGCTTCTTTATCGCAGAGTTTGGAGCGCTCGTAAGTCCTTCCAAACTCGTCGCATTATCATATTGACCAAACGCGGTTTAAGGGTTATTCCAATTAGGTATAAATAAATTCCATATTTCGCTCGAGGTGAGGTTCTTTTTTCCCGGCGTTAGAAAGAAATTCATGAAATCACATTTAGTAAATTGATAGCAACCAGAAAAAATGAGTTCAAAGGCTATGTTGGTTGAAACCTCATTTCACTTCTTTGATGGCCTTATTAAAAAAGGGGGTTTTTAAGAAGTTTCATGAAATTAAATTCGGTTTTAGGGACCTGAAAATAAACCTTACCTTTTTCCGGAAGCTGAGTCTTTTTGAACGAAGGTATCGCGAAGCTCTCATGTTTTCATCTCAAGAAATTGACCTGTCATCTCTTTCAGTGAAGAATGACTGACAACATGGCGGCCTTAGAGGCTATTGGATATGAAATGAAAGGTTTCATCCATAAGAAATTAACCTCCCACCTCATAAAGTCAGGGTTGAGGAGATTCAAACCAATAGGATGGAAGCCACAGCAACACTTACGATTCAGTGGGTCGAGAATTTTGTACGTTTTTCGAAATAATCCAAAGGTAACTAGAAAAGTCAAAGGTGCTCTTCAGCCTCGATATAATTTACATTTTGTTTCTTCCTTTTTCATTCGCCAATTACGAAGGTAGTTTTGCGATAAAAAAGAAGATAAAGCAAGTTCGACAAAAATCTTCGTCAGAAATTAATGTCGTGTGCTTGTAAATGCAAATAATTATGGAAAAAATTGTATGCGAACCACACTAACCGGAAAAAGGCATTTTGCAAATTAGACAACCGCCCCCTGGCAATTGGCTAAGAACTGAGGGGAGCAAATATGACTAAATACTTAGAGCAGCTGAATACTTAGAGCTGCTAAAGGCAGTTCACAAATGAGGAACAGCGCTCCATCAGGAGCATTTATCGCTTGTCATGTTCTATTTTTTAGATGAATACCTGATTTACTTAGAGTCAAGTCTCTTAATAATTGAGGAAAACATTTCATAGGAGAAATGACACACTGTTAAGTTTACATCGCCGTAGTTTTTTTCAGTGAAAGGGTAGAGCTAGAAAATCCGGTAAAAAATACTCGATTCTCGATACTATCGAGAGGTCCCGAAAGCTTTGGTATACATGGTCAGGTGCCTGGGTAGTTTCAGTCGAGGTAACTGAGATAGTCATGCGAACAACTCTTAGTCCTTTGCCAAAAATGTGAGAGATGGCCATATAAACTGGTGATGATAAAGCAATTTTCAATTGATTGTACAAGGTAACCTACGCTTCTGATTGGTCCAGAAACTCCTGCTACCCTCTCGACCACCCAATGCAAGACTAAAATTAATTACGTGTTTACGTTAATTACTAACGTTTTCCCGTGCTATGATCTGTTTGCATATTTGGCTCTTAAGGTGTTATCCTTTACTGTTACTGGCCGATGTGATTTCTTCGTTTGGTTCTTACGACATTTAACGAGCTATTCCTGAGATGCCGAATACCTCTCCTTAAGAGATGGAAAATGGCGAGGCTGAGATAGAAATCCCTGCGAAACTAAGTTTGTAATGTCCAATATTTAAACTTTATTCCAGAGTCACAATCATGCAGTGACACAAGGTATTAAACTGGCGGTATCTATACTCAAGACAATTTGCATAGTACAAATTGAATGTAATAAATAATTAGCGTGGCACAGAATTTAAATAAGCTTTTAGAATAAGTCTAATTAATTGCCTTGTTTGTCATTATCTGAAGATAATTGGTATCAGTTAGGCAGTTTTGCAATGATTACCATCCTTAGCCTCGCCCTTTTTCCCATCGTTAATAGAAAATGTCGAATGCTCCTGGAATTTCGTCAAACCACTGATATAAAACGAGGGTGATTGCGAAGCTTTTGATGACTTTCTATTCTCGCGCAAACAAAAAAAAAAAAGAAAGGTTTTGCATCTAACCATGGTTTTGGGACTCGTACATGGCCCATTAAAGAAGGTATGTGTAGCTAGCACCTAGCACACGTCCTCAAGAAGCGCTAATGAGGAATGAGTATGACCAATAAAAAATGATCCCGAAAATAATGAATGACCCACTGGCTTGTAGATAACTCAGGTCTTTATTATTTTGTTCAAAATAATTGCCATGGGAGTTATAGCACAATACTTGCAATATCTCTAAAAATAAGCCAGGAGAGATATAGACAAGTGCTATAGTATTGATTTGATGAATATAAGTAACAGGCGTGCAAGGACCTTCCAAATGACTCATAACAGGATGGGTATTTTTTTTGTCTTCCATCATTACTACTATCGCTGACATCATTCAAAAAAAAGATCTGGAAATCCTTTTTTCTTTTCCTATTTTACAGCTGTGGTAAGAAAATAAACTGTAAAACAAGGAGCTTCATTTGCCAACAAAATAAAAAGATTTTCACTCAGTTTGCAAGAACACATCTTTACAATATTTGCATAGATGCTTGATAAGTTTCCCCCTAAACCTGTTTCAACACAATCACTGAACCATTAATTACAGCAGGAGCACAAGCAAACAAGAGCATGCTATCAGTACATCGACAAGTGATGAATATGAAATTTATGATCATTCTCTGACAGGCTTAAGTCCATACATATACCTATGCATTAAAGGAAATTTATTTGCTTAAAGAAGGTATACTTTGAAGATGAAATTTACTCCATTCAAATATTAAAGTTGAGGATTTACCCATCCTGCATTCACTGACATTTGATTAACACTAGTCAGAGGGAGTAGAACAATAAATGGTAAACTCATCAGCTTTGAAATGTGTAGTCTTTAGAACATGTACAAAATATCATGAATTAGAAATGCATGGAAAACAAAAAAAGAATAAATGTGCACAAGACTTGAGCCATACTACCATGCACTTTGCCAATTTAAATTGCATATTAATTTACACACACAGACAGAATTTCAGAGTTTCCTCAATTTTGAAACATATTGCCACCATTAAAATCAGTCAAAGTACATATACAATAAAGCTATACATTGAAGGTAACCTTTCCTTAACCAGCTTTTCAACAAGAATTAAACGATAATTTCTTCAGTCTTGTCCTGGACTATTTATTTCTAAAATTAATGTACTATGGAAATACATGTGTACGAAACACCTTTGAAAAGGTTTTGTTATGCTGTAAGTAAAGAGCAGGGCTTAAAGCCCAATGAGTATTTGGACAACAGTAGTCAACTCAGGTTTCTTCTTGACTAAGCATTACAACATTGAACTTTCTTTTTCTGAGCATCTTCATTCGTTGGATGTACGATAATGGGCTGCACATTATTACTTGGTTGGCTCCCATCACCACCAGGTGAATCATGAATTTGTTTTTGGGATACAATGTGGTAGATTTCTAAAAGGCAAAATAAATCATGATATTAATGGCAATATGAATGGGCAACTCAGCTCCAAAACTTTCAAGTAAATCATAGTTCTAAATTCTCTACAGTGCCATCTCATTACATCTGAACTTACCCTACTGTGTGATGATTGATCTATTACACTGATACCACCTTTTTCAAAATATGTTTTTTCAATTTTTTTAAAAGAGCTTAAATATAATTACAGCTTGCAAGAGAATGCTTTTGAAGAAACACTGTACTGACCTGTTAAAATGTTGTGAAATGCCACCTCTACATTTGTTGAGTCAAGAGCTGATGTCTCGATAAATGAAAGACTATTTTTCTCTAAAAAAAAAAAAAAATTACTCTCTCCACATGAAGAATAAAATAAAGGGGCAACATTCATAAAATCACTTTCACTTCTTCTTAGCAGTGTTAAAGTTTATACAAAATTGTGTGCCATGTAAATCATACTTTACACCAAAGACACTGTTACCATCAAGAAGAGAGCCCAATTGTTATTGACTACAACTATAACTACAGGTATTTCATAATTCTTCAGTCTAACAAGTACTTTCAGTTCATGATACATCAGGCTACCAATCAGTTTGAAAGTTGAGGGCATTAAAAAATAGTTGGCTGCAAGTTTGTTTTTTCAGATCATATGCAAGACTGGGAACTATTCAGATATAATGTCCACATGTGTTCCCCAAAATTCCCACAAACCCTTGAGCACACTCTGAACCTAAAATAAAATTATGCCCAATGCAGCTACTGGTAAAATGTACACTCAGTTCCACTAAACACGGGGAATTGGCCACTGTACAAAATATCTTAGATGTTATTTCAATAATTGTACTCCAGCAGTCATGGGAAAATGAGATGAAAGAGATGCCTGCTAGGATAGACTGGCCAGTTGTTTTGGCTGGCTGACAGCTTCTGTCACTATAAGTATTTACGGTCAGCAATAGCCAAGTAGGCACTTCAAGCTTCAAATTTAATAATTTCTAGTGTATAGCTGCAATGTGCAAAATGTTAACCAGCATGCAAGGTTACTTTCAAAGTAAACTGGTGGTTATTTCCAAATTACCTGCAAAGGCTTTTGCCTCATCAGTAGGGACTGCACGAAGATGACGAAGATCGCTCTTGTTTCCCACTAGCATTATAACAATATTACTGTCAGCATGATCCCGTAGTTCTTTCAGCCACCTTTCCACATTTTCATAGGTCAAGTGCTTCGCAATATCATACACCAAAAGGGCACCTACAGCTCCTCTGTAATACCTAGAGACAAAACAACTCAGTCAGTGCAGGATTACCCAAAACCCAGTAGAGGAAAGACCCACAGATGACATTATCATTAAAAGAACTTTGCTTTTAAATCACACAAAACAAATAAATTCCATGTTGCTGTGTGTCCGTACAGTTATAGATCACAAATGACATAAAAATGTTGTAAAAACATTAGTGTGTGCCACTTTTTTGGTTCCTACCACATTTTGACGTCATCTGTGATCTACGTGTTTTACTGAACAGACACGCAGCACCATGGAACTTAATAGCAATCAGGGCTAAGAAGAGAAAGGTGTACCATGTAGTGAGATATACAGAGGTTTCATTAACATTAAGAGCATGGGGCATTTGGATTTGGCTACCAGGCATACTTTACGTAAGCTTGAAGAACCTTTCCTCACCCCTAAAGTCATTTTGAGGCAATTCCTAGAAAATTCTGTAAGTTCAAATATGTATTTTTCAAAAAGTCATAGGAAGAAGATACAGAATCCCAGCTTGTACAGTATTTGTTCAGCTGAGAATTTGATGGCAGCTTGTGTTCCCAGCTGGTTAATTTTCCCTGTACTGGGCTTTTATGAAATCCCTTGATAGAACATTGGTATTACCTAAGCAATTAAGGTAGTACAGCATGTGTTTCTTGTATTTCAATACAAAATTGTGGTCAATATCACTTCAAAATTGTTTGAGTTGTTCTCTGTTTGGTTCCAGGTACAATACCATAGTACAAGAACAGAGGAAACTACAAATCAAAACTAGTATGAAATCATTTCAACCTAAAAGTATATGTTGAAGTGTAACATACACGTGTGCTGGATAATTATTTGACTACTTTTGTGCTGAAGTTGATTCCTAAGAAAAAGTCTTTAAAATAACTAGTAAGCTTCCATGATGGATAACAGAGAAAGAGAAAGAAAGATAAAAATGGCGAAATGAGCCAATTTTTTTAATCAGTCCAACATCAGTAATGTCATCGTTTATGAACACAATGATAGACTCCAGTGAGAAAAGTCTACCGACCACACTCACAATAACTTTCAGTATCAAAGTAAAAAAAAGATTTTCATTCATCCTTGATACAATGTTCAGAAAAATTTAGAGGAAATTGCTAGCGGGAAAGAAATAGTTCTCGCATGCAAGACTTCGGTATGACAGGAATATTGACAAGGTTTCTTCGCTAAATATTAGTTAACACCTTGATCTATTTTAAAATACCCAAATAGGCTCAAAAATAAACTGAATTTCAAACTAGCAAAATCAAAGGAACAACCTTTTGAAAATTCAAGCTACTTCTTAGATCATAATTTCCATAATTGTAATCTTACGCTATCAAACACTTTGGTAAATTATTGTGATACACACCAAAGCGTCGCTCAATTTTGATTGATAAAAACACCAATGATTAGTTAACTGCTATTTGCAATTCTATTATGAGTAAATTCAAGATTTTACTAACACTTACGCGCTTGTTATGGCTCTGTATCTTTCTTGTCCAGCTACGAAAAGTGAAACAAGTCAAGAGTCGATCGCGTCAATCTACGATCAATATTGAACACCTCTACAACAGCCGTTTCAACGAGATTTAAAAGTTTGCCATAATTTTTTGAAAACACAAAATGCAACATTAACATTACAACGCTTGAGCCCAACTCTTTGTTAAAATAATGGGTTTCTTCTGTGTCAAATAAAAATACTGTCAACCACATTTAAAACTAGCTTCCGGGAGGAGCGAAGAAAACAACTCCCCCTTGCTACGTAAACTTACACCAGTCCAAAAGATCGAGCGATTTACCTACCAAACAAACACGAAACTGGTTAACAAAATACCAAAGCTATCTTACCAGTGTCCCAGATTTGGGCTTTTATAGTTTTTCCATCCACTTGAATGCTTCTGGTAGCAAATTCTACACCAATGGTCGACTTTGACTCCAAATTAAATTCGTTTCTTGTGAACCTTGAGAGAAGATTTGACTTTCCAACCCCAGAGTCTCCTATTAGAACAACTAATGGAAACGTAACACAAAATTAAGAGTTATGCCACCACTTCAAAAGCAAATGAAGCCATGATTTAGCCACAAATACCTTTGAAAAGATAGTCATATTCGTCATCTTTCGTCCCCATTGTAGTATCCTTCGAGTAATCCTAGATAAATAATAACTTCTTTCAAATCCTGAGTCTGCTGATCACGGCCGCCTCCTCTAAATAGTGTTTTTGAAGCCAAAATGTTGGCAAAGAGTGAAAAAAAGGACTTTATCGATTTGAGATAACGAGAAAATTAAGAAATAGACCGAACGATGACGACGATTTTCAGGGGATTGCAGTTGTCACTAACGGGCGGAAGCAAAGCAAAATGGCCGCCCTTCAGGTCTAGGCCTATGCTTCCAAATTTGGGAATGATCTAAGTGCCTGGGAATGAGTCTCGTTGTCATGTCTTACGTAACCAGTGCAACGTCACACCTAAAATGTCACGCTTTCCACTCGACTATGAGCCATGCGGCAAAAAATTGAGGCTTTGATTACCTTGGACTAAAAAAACTGTTCGCGATTTTCACTCATTCCAAAAAAATTAAAAACTAAAATCTAATCGGCTGCAAAGATGATTTGTTTTCTCTCGTCGAACAAAAACTCACGGCAGGCTTTTTATTTCCGATTTTGTAGTTAAGATGTTCTTTAAAGAAATCATGGAATTCAGATAATTTTCTCCAATGAGTAAAGTTTACTGCAACTCAGTATCAAGGATAGAAATAGGAACCTGACGTTTACTTCCTTGTTTATATTTTCCCGCTTAAAAACAGAAAATTTAAAATAATTAGTTACCACCAGAAATGTCTGTTCTCGAAAAAGCAAAAGAAAAAAGAAAAACAGAAATGAAAAATCACCAATCCGTGAAACAAAACTCCAGCAAAATTTATGGCTACATAATTTCTCAAAAGATATATTGGCGACAGAAATCAGAACTTAACCTAAAGAGGAAATAAGCGGAAGATTATGCGCTTTGAAAGACAATTATTAACAGAAAAAATGACTTTATTTCATCTCTTTCCACGAGCAAAGGAAAATTGTCAGCTTTTGAGAGAGTAACATACCTCAATTGACAAATCAAAATGGTCTCACAATACATTTGAGGATGACGTTTATTTTTAAGTTACCATATACCATATAACCGATTTTGTAAACTCCCAGAATTCCTAAGCATAGTAAAAAGTGGTTCGATTTCCGCTGCTCTTTCGATTGCAGTCATCTTGGGCTCAATTCCCGAATAGTGACTGGTTATCGAGCCTGATGAAGTTAAAAGATAAAACTAAAGACTAATGAACATTATAAACTCAAAAAAACACATGAAAAAGAATGACGTATATATACCTTATGACATTAAAAAATGAATAAGGACGTAATGATGAATATGTCGCTCTTGTAGAGCGGCACATGATGTAAGCTTCCAAATATTGATAGCTGGAACTCGCGATTTTCATGTGACCGTCTGGTATTTTGTCCATGGTTTATAAATAGCACTACTACATTTTGAGTTAGGTGAAGCGATATGAAGTTTAAGCAGTGAAACGAGCTGAATCTATCACGGGTATATCTATTTTAATGTAACAGGGCATTATAGGGAAAAGTCCCATAAAAATCACGAGTTCTGAGGTCTGTGACTGTATGCCGCCTCCCGAGACTTTCAGGTTTTTTTTTTCTTGAAAGAAGAGAAGGGTAACTTGCACGAAAGATCACATCGGGTAGGTGACGTCCGATGATCTTAAACAATTTCCTTGAGTATAGGACGAACAGTAGAGGGCCAATAAAGGAACCCTGAGGTACACCGTATTTTGTATGGAATTTATCCGATGTTCCACAGTTGATGGAGACGGACTGGGATCTGTTGTGTAGATAGAACTCGAACCAGGAGTACACATTCCCCGTTATGCCGAAGTCCCTGGAGAAGCGATTGAGCAGAATTGTGTGGTCCACAGTATCAAAAGCTGCACTTAGGTCGAGAAGTACGAGCAAAGTGACACGTCGGTTCATGTTAAGTAAGATGTCATTTTTCACTCGTAGCAGAGCAGTTTCTGTACAGTGGAATTCACGGTACGCAGATTGTGCTTTAGGGTAAAGCTTGTTTGTAATGAGGTGATCATGTGTTTGGGCAAACACAGCTTGCTCGGTAAGTTTTGAAGCAAATGATAGATTGCTTTTGGGTCGAAGATTGGAAAACAATGCCTCGGCGTCAGTCTTCTTCAATCTCGGTTTAACATGAGCAAACTTCCAGTCATCAGGGAAGGTTCCGCATCGTAGAGAAAGGTTAATCATCATAGTGATCACTGGTAGGAGGGCGTCAAGACACTCAACCATCAGGGGAGTGGGCATAGGGTCATGGCGACAGGTCTCCTTTCTCGACTTCCCAATTAAACTCTTAACGTCCTCCTGACTCACGATTGTGAAGGAGGCTAGCCGAGTTTGAATGTGGTGGCTCAAACGATGGGTTAGAGTCTGTAGTAGCAGCTGTGTCGAGCTCGGTTCGAATGCGCTCAATTTTCTGTAGGAAAAACTTGCCGATATCGTTAGCTAATTTTGTGTCGTCTTGGTAACTCGTAAAATTCAGGTCCGCCCCCTAGTTAAACAGTGTTTTTGCAGACCTGAAGAGTTTGCGTGAGTCGCTGCAGTTTGCCTGTATAAAGTTTGATCGTGCTCTTTTAATAACACAGGTAGCTAGATTTTTCTTCGCCTTAAAATCTAACAGATCACTGTGTAGCCTTGTTCTGCGCCGTTTCCTCTCCGCGCGCCTCTTTTCCTTTTTTGCAGACTTTACTCCATCATTGAACCAGGGAACAGTTGGTCTTTTAACTACGGTCTTAGTGATGGCTGGTGCATGGTGGTCAAGGACTGATTTGAGTGTGTTGTTATAGGCATTAACCAGACTGTCGAGGTTGTATGAAAGTAGGTTTTTACAGAGATCGGTATTAGAAATCTCGTCGCGTAGGAGCTTCTTATTGATTGACCTAATTTTCCTGAAAGTTATATGCGATCTTTTAAGGGCAGGTTTGCACACTTGGAGTTTGGAATAGACTGGCATGTGGTCAGAAAATAGATAATCGGTCCTTGGGGTGGAAATATCAAGCTGGTCAGACAATCTTGTAAGAGTAAGATCAAGGGTGTGCCCGCTGATGTGAGTGGGAGCGGTAACATGTTAGTTTAGACCAGTACTCTCGAGTAATTCACGCAGTGTCAGCTTCCACGTCCATGTGTATGTTAAAGTCCCCAGTAATTAATAGAGCAAAAAACTGCAGATTCGAGAAATGCTGAGAACTCTTCGAAGAAGACACTTGTGGTGACGGGATGTGCGTCAGAGTATGGTGTTCTGTAGACGATAATTAGGTGGATCCGGTCGGTTTCAGACTTAATATTCCACTCAGAGTACTCAAATGATCGCAGTTCAGCGGTAGCTCCTTTTTTCACAGTAAGGTTGTCCCTGAACAGTACTCTAGTCCCTCCCCCTGTTCGACTAGTTCGTGGATAGTCTAGAAGTTTGTAGCCAACAGGCATACAGAGTGTTCGCGAGGCTGACTCCATCGGATCAAACCATGTTTCTGTTGGAGCAACCACATCTGGTTTGTACTCACAGACAAGATCGGTAAACTCGCCGGCTTTGTTATTCAAGGATTGTGTATTGAGTAAGCAAAAGTTCAAGTCGATAGAGTGATGATCTTGAGTAGCGTTGCTGTTAGATCCAGTTAGTGGCCTCAGAATGTTGTTATATGTGTATTACGTTGCCTAATAAGACGGATTCTAGGCGTTACCACAGGAATTCTAAACGTGGATGCGTTTTCTGTAAAGCTTGTGAAAACTGGTGTGTTGGAACGTTTTGTTAGTGGCGCTCTGTTAACTGTAATAAGATTCGAGAGGTTCCTTGTTCTAGTAGACAATGGAGTGCAACGACGCGTCACATGAGTGTAAATGGTTGATTGATCATTCGTGGGACCGGGGTTTAATTAATCGTGGGCTCAATTCTCGAATAACGACTGGTTATCCAGCCTAACGAAGTTAAAAAGAGAAATCTGAAGACTAATGAACATTATGCATTCTTGTATTACGCCTAGTGTGGCTGCATGTTTTTGGGCTCCGTTTAACTCCCCTTTAATACTCGTGCTAATGGCCTACAACCGCCTCAAAAGCTTTCGTAAATCCTTTCTAAACACCCTATGGCCTTCTTACCGTGGGAAACGTGCGGGTCACACGTAAGAGAGAGAGAAAGAGTCCCCATCAAACAGATTTCTATTTTTCAACACCGAAAGTTAGCGGCTGTCTTTGGTTTCAGCTCCGTTACGCTGTCACAACCTTGCGAACTGTATACAAATTACTCCAGCCCCTAAAGACGCAAAAAGGAAGGGTTCGCCGACGGCTTATGTACCATCTTTATTTGTCTCGAATGTAGTAGTCGTAGAAGTCTTTATTTCCTCACAAGATAAAAAATACATATCTCATGTCACAATATTTGAGTAAAAAGTATATATATCTAAGTTATTTACAATTAAAATACGCTCACATAGCTAAATTGTATTTAAAAATTAAGCGATTAATGTAAGAGTTCTTGAATCTATCTGTATTAACTTTCGGATACTGACTTGTTTGATTCCTTAAATTGTAAGTCGATTCTTTCTTCTTGGGTAATAGTCCCCTTAGAGGGTGTCGGTCTATGCCAGATACCTTACGAAATGTCATGTCCTTGGCTCCCAAAGTGGATGAACTGCGTCATGTTGTCAAGTATGCTGGTGAATAATAATAAAAGCTAAGTTTTTCGTTTGTCTCACGATGTAGTCACGTGTGATGGAGATCGCGACGTTTCGACTGCATACTGCTAGTCTTCTTTAGGCGATGAGGTCGACTGGTCATGCGTGATCTTATAAAGCATGATGCTCTGCTGTGATTAGTTGTTTTTCAACAGCTCTGATTGGTGCATTTCGATCCTTAGTGATCAGCGATTTGCTCCCTCGGCGGTCCGCTGTCGCACGGCTCTCCTGCTGTTGTGTTTTTTGATCGTGGGCATCCACGCTTCTGGAATTTCTATTCCACTATCCCTGTTGATGTTGTCAGGGTGAAGTCTTATATGAATTGCCTCTTTGACCCTGCGCGTGTAGTAATAAGGGTCACGATCAATAAACTTTACTTCGTTCCAGAGTGGCTTGTGTCCAGAGTTGTGGGCACGCTCTGAAACGGTGGAGGTCTCGGTACGGGCGAGTCGAATGTCTCGATCGTGCTCCTTAATTCTGTCTTGCATGGGTCTTCCAGTCTCTCCGATGTATACTTTGCCACATTCACAGGGAATCCTGTAAACTACGCCATCTTGTTTAGCCGGGTCGACAGCGTCTTTTGGTCTTACTAACTGAGATCTTAGCGTAGTCCCCGACTTGAAAATAGCGCGTACGCCTTGTTGTTGTAGGTAACGACGAAGCTGTTCAGACAGACCTTTGACATAAGGTAAAACTGCAGTAGCTTTAGACTCGTTGGCGGGTTCGGCGCTGTTGTTTGGTTTTCCGGTCTTGGTAAGTTTCTGCAAGAAAGAAAAAGGATAACCATTAGAAACCAGAACAGATGACAGATGTTTTATCTCCTAGGAGATGACAGAGGGTTTTGTTATGAGACGTTTGGCGCGCTCGTAAAGGCATTTAACAATACCGCGTTTTACTGATTGGGGGTGGTGTGAATCATACGCTAAGTATTGATCGGTGTGCGTGGGCTTCCTGTATACGCTGGTGGTGAGGCGGCCGTCAGGTTCTCTTAAAACTGCGGTGTCTAGGAAGGCGAGTTTGTTGTCTTTCTCTGTCTCCATGGTGAAGCGGATGGAAGGCTGCTGGTTGTTTAGATGCTGTAGTGCTGGTTGTTTAGATGCTTAGATCTCGAGTTTCTACAGTGCGGTTTGTACAGCCGCGTCGATAGGAACGTTGGTAAACAGCGATTCAACGTCGAAAGATACCATGATCTCGTTGTCTAAGATCGTCTCATCGCTGACGGTGGATACGAAGTGGGCTGAATTGGTCACCGCGTACTCTGACTTTCCTGTTAAAGGAGACAGGATGTTGGGATAGGTCTTAGCGGTACATCGGCAACGCTCATGTCGACGAATCAACCATAGGGCTGTGCGCCCATATATCCGGTTAATTTCGTAGAAAAGGTTGTGGTTATTCATCGTGGTGATGACCTTCACCGGAAATATGGGCGCACAGCTCCAAGGTTGATTCGTCGACATGAGCGTTGCTCGAGCAAGCTCGCACGCTACATCAACCATGTCACCTTTCTAACAAGGTGCATCAAGAACCGCGTTGTTCCCAAAGATCTACGAGTTCGACCGCCAGTTCCCACCAAAGGCGCACGCAGAGTCGCTGAACTCGCATCTATGAGATTCCTATGGGAACGGATCAGACTGATACAGAAGGCCAAGGGAGATGCAAAGAAGGATACAGAATCCACAGCACAGAGTATAACATCCGCTCTCTAGACAAACGACGCCAACAGGATACTGGAGCAGATTAAGATCAACACCCAACGAGTTTTCAACACCACCAAAGACTGACATAAGCAGAGGTTTGAAAAACTCATTCGAGAAAAAAAACAGGCGACTGTGTCGCCGGTTGACACACCGTATGTTGACAAAGCTAACTGGGTTGTTAATTTATCTTCTAGGTCCCTTAGCGATGCCGAGAAAGCCCTACTGAAGAAAGGACTGAACTTCGCCGTAACTCCTGCGAATATTCCTGCCACAGAGATCATCGCTAAGGTAAAAGCAGTCTATAGAAGTTCAACCGGAGGCGAGGATAAAGTCCAATAGCTCTACAACCACTCTTCAGTCGAGGGATATACGTCCCAGCAAGCGCCTAGCAATGCACACTAATCTAGAATCAGTGGATTTGGATACTATACTCAACTCCGCGGACAGTTGTGAAGACAAAACCTCGCTTTTGGAACAAATCATTAAGAATGGTCTTGGCCATGTTATGCTTATGTGCGCGCACAAAGTACATTCAACCGAACCACCTTGGATAACATCATCCTTGAAGAACTTGCTACAAAAGCAGCAAAGTGCCTTATCGCGTGGTGACGACCAAATGTTTCGTGAGTTGAGAAATCGCGTTAATCGCGAGCGAAAGATGTGCCGTGCAAATTATTACCAAGCCCAGGTGGAACATCTGAAGAAGTGTAAACCATCTGAGTGGTGAAAAGAAGTGAAAAAGCTTAGTGGGCGCCCGCTTGCCTCCACGGCGCAAAGTGACACCTTGAAAACGCTACAACATCTGCATGAGGGTATTGACCAAATCGGCTTAGCTAATATCATCAATGAGGGTTTCTTATCGCCAATGCACTACTTCACACCGCTCCCTGATGCTTTTCCGTGCACTACTTTCAGTAACTACTCCGAAAACTCCTTTGTTGTGTCGGTTGAGTCAGTCCGCAAGAAACTATCAACGTTGAACCCGTGCAAAGCTAACGGTCCAAACAACACCCCAGGATGGTTGTTAAAGGAACACGCAGACATTTTACCCGGTCCGGCATCTGACATCTTGAACTACTCGTACCGTGAAGGATGCTTGCCATCGACATGGAAGCACGCATATGTAGTCCCCGTGCCAAAGCAAAAGCCCTTCCGTGAAGTAAATAAGCACTTACGCCCTATTTCACTAACCCCCATTTTGTCAAAGATGTCTGAAGCTTGTGTGGTTGACACTAACGTCAAACCTGCTGTGCTGGAGAGGATTGATCCTCAACAATTTGGGGCCCTACTAAATCTTCTACTACGCATGCGCTTATCAGTATATTGCACTCCTGGTTGGAATCGACTGACGGAAATGGGCTACTACGAGAGCCCTACTGTTTGACTTTCGCAAAGCCTTTGACTTAATTGATCATCATGTCCTAGCCCAAAAGCTCTCCTCTTATGACTTGCCGGAATCGATCATGTGCTGGATCTTGGATTTCCTAACGAATAGAAGGCAAAGGGCCAAACTGAGTTGTGGTTGTGTATCGGAATGGCGTGCTGTACCAGCAGGAGTTCCTCAGAGGACTAAACTCGGCCCCTGGTTATTTTGTAATGATGATTAATGACCTGAGTGTGGCGAAGACGAACATCTGGAAGTATGAAGATGATACAACCCTCGCTGAGTGTGTGGAAAAGAACGGAACCAGCTCGATGCAGTCGCGCGTTGATGAATTTGTAACAAAGTCTCGTGCTGATGGTTTCCAGTTAAATGAATCAAAGTGCAAGGAACTTAGATTATCATTCACAAAGTCAGAGAATACTTTAGAGCCTGTTACTATCAAAAATACGAACATTGAGGTTGTTCCATCTGCTAAATTACTAGGTGTTATGATATCGAATGATTTGAAGTGGAATATGCACGTAGAAATGATATATAGGAAAGTCGCAGCGCGTCTCTACTTTCTTAGGCAATTAAAGCGCGCGAAAGTGCCAACTAATGACCTTCTAAGTTTATACACCACTTGCATACGCCCAGTTGCAGAGTACGCATGTCCAGTCTTTCATATCACTCTACCGCAGTATCTCTCCGATCAGTTAGAACGCCTGCAGAAGCGAGCACTACGCATAATAAGCACTAATGATTTATCTTCTAAACAGGCTTTAGAAGTTTTTAACATACCTACCTTGTATGACAGGAGAGAGGCGAATGGTAACTCAACGTTTCAAGAGATAAGTAATGACAATAATCACAAGCTTTATTCACTACTTCCACCACCTTAACTTAGCACGTTGCGAATACGGAAAAATCGCAAGGTCCAAGTCCCGCGTTTTAAAACCAATTGTTTTAGAGACAGTGTTATTGTAAGCCATTGCTGATAGCACATCCTTGTACAACTCATATATATTAATTGATCTGATTTCGAATAATTGTAGTCGTATCTTATATTTAGTGTTTACATAATGACATGCTTCATTATCGTAAAATTCTTATGAATTAACTTTCTTAATTTATCATTGTATAATTTATAGTTATTATTAATTTATGTTTTACATTTGTAAAAATTATCGTAATTCCGCCATCGGGCTGCTGGGGTAATTTTAATAAAACTATCTATCTATCTATCTATAAACTCAAACAAACACATGAAAAAGAGTGACGTATATATGCCTTACGACATTCAAAAATAAATAAGGATGTAATGATGAATCTGTCGCTCTTGTAGAGTGGCACATGATGTATGCTTCTAAATATTGACAACTGGACCTCGCGATTTTCATGTGACCGTCTGGTGTTTTTCTCATCGGTTTATAATTAGCTTTTGAGTCAAGTGAAGGGGTACGACGCTTAAGCGGTGAAACGATCTGAATCCATAGTATATCCATTTATGTAACGGCGCATTTCATCCCATGAAAGTCACGAGTTCTAAGAGGTCAACGATATTCATGTTCTGCTCCTGTGAGTTTCATAATATTTCTTATTGAAAGAAGCAGACTGGTAATTTGTGCGAAAGAGAAACCATAAGCAACGTAACAGTCATAGTCATAATTAATGTTACGAAACACGACGATATAAAAGAAGGAAAATGATTTGGCAGGAAATGCTTTGCTTATTCCTTGCATTTTCACTTCCGGCCTCGAAACTAATAGTCCGAGACAATTACGTCATGGTTTGTTTTTTTCGAATGCAAATTAATACTTCCGCCAAGTAAGACAAGTTGGTATCTTCGGAAGGCTATATAGGTAAGTTACTCGCTCATTAACGACAGAACAAGTAAGGGCTTGCTTCTGTGATCGTTTGGAAAGTGAAACATGGGAATCGTTATCCTAATCCAGGGCACTTGTATAATTCTTTCGCTTTTGATTGATTGTGGAAGAAGCGAACTGTATCCATCCATTCAATGGACAAGACATAATCCAAAGTAAGTACCCTTAGAAAAGTTTGCGTTTTGTGGCTATTCAACACCTCAGATAACACATAACAGCCAAATAGTTGACATCTACGGAATCTACTGTATAAGCAGCCACCGAGGAATATCGGTGATTCGTTTGTCACTGTCAAAATGTTACCAAAGTTCTCATTGTATTTTAGAGATAAGGGCAATTTTGCACCACGTGTTTTAATCAACAAAGACGTTACATCGTTATTCACTATGTCGGAAACAAATCTCACGAGAATCAAAAGGAGAGAAGAAAATTTACAGTTTAATAATTTCGATGACTAATTTATGGCTGTGTGCATATCTTTGAATAACGCTGAACCTCATGCAATGAGGAACAAGATCGATGTTTTCGCTTTCTTTAGCTGAATCTATGCTGTGATTTGAACGATAAGAGCAGTAACCGATGTTCTCTTTCTGTTCTCTGTCTAATACACTCTGTTTGTAAGAACAAAGAAAGATTATCATTTGCAAATACGACACAAGTTTATTAGGGTGGATTAGCGATAAACTTATGCGAATGAAATTTTAAGTTCCTGCCGCTTTGATATTGCCCACGAATGCCATCTTTTATGTTCATGCTTTCGGAAGCTCTTGGAAAACAACTTATAAACATCTAGTTTGAAGTACAGCGATGAAATTTTGGAGAAATAGTCGAAATTTACACTATGCCACAAGACAACTAATATTTGCTTCTACTGCAATTTTACTTTCTCAGCCGGAAAACCAGCTCCTTCTCACACCCTTTCCTGTTTCTTTGTCTACATTTCTACTGAAAGAAGACCGGTACGTTGCTTTGCTTAAGGCCAACCTGCCAAAATTCAGTCAATAATTTAAAAGCATATAGAAAGGAAACTCTCCAATGAATTTTGCGAGAACAAATGGACTTTCAAGGGCAGAATGATTCCCTTCTGCCACCACTCCTCAAAAACTTACTTCCATCTCGATATTTTATTTTCGTAATTAGCATTAGACCTGTTGTTATTACTTCTCTACCATTACAAGGGCTTGCACTAGATCTCAAAAATTGCTGGTATTAGTTTTTAATTTCTCTAATATGGTATTGAAGTTGGCCTGAGCTTCGCTTCGTCGGAGCAGAAAGTGAAAACATCACGTGAGTGCCAAAACAGTTGCTAGATATTTGTTGATGTTGATAGCTGCCATGTTGATGGGAGATCTTTTTAATCGGTTGCCGAGTAACAAGCTCAGGCAAAATGACAATTGCTGAAAGAACACCGATTATGAGAAAAATTTAGCCATTGGTTTTCCTTAATGCATGCAGGTTTCCCTTGTTATGGGTCTAAACAGGATATTTGTCTGACACAGATTTTGCTTACTCGTGATTGCCTTTGCATCACGCCAATTTGTAGCGATGATACCTGCTGCATGCATAGAATGACGTGCATTTTGTTTCTGCTGGTCACACTGATTCCCAGCTTACCGAACAAGCCTCGTACTTTTGTCTGCTCCGCTGAAAGACGTTAACTAAATAATAGAGCCCTTACTTCAGCTAAAAAGCTTTTGATATGATATAAGATGTTGACTATGATTATACAGCTTTTTGCTTATCTGTCTAAAGCTCTTACAAACATTACGGTATTTTGATACAAGAGAAAACACGAGTTAATAATGAACGACTATTCATCTAAGTGGAGGTGACAAGAGAACTCCTCACAGTTTTCCTTGAGCTTCGCTCCCGGAAAACTGTTTGCATCTTGGAGCAAATAATATCCACGGGCAAATATCTGTGCCTTTTTTTCGCGCCAAGTAGAGACTTTTGTTATCTCGCCACCGACACTGAGTTTATAATAAAACACTTAGATAATATGGCATGAAAAGAAGATTTTAATTTATTTATTCCTGCAATGATTACAATATCGCGCAAATTCTGCTTGAGTCGCTCGCGGGTGAATAGCAAAGGATATCCAGCTGTTTAGAGCCTAGAAAAGAACGGATAACGCTTTGCAGCTGATAAATCGCTCTCTGGGGAATAGGCGTTACCAAAAGATACTGCTCTTTCTACCGGATAGAGATCTATTCAGTGAATAACGAAAAACTGGAGCCTGGACGCGAATCCTCGACCTTATTAACAAATCAGACTCATTCGATCATTTCCATTTTCTTTTTGTAGATTCGCATCGAATAGGACACAATGCGTTCACCCAATGTCTAAAGTGATATTCGTGTGCCCAAACACAGCTACAATAGTAAAAAGACTCGTTCACAGTAGTTATGTAGATCCTCAGTACGAAAATCTGTGGCTGGTCAGCAAACAAAGCTACGAGCGATGTGTAATAGATACGACGACTGATACAAGACTATGGTTGTGCGATGAACCGCTTAAACTGAAATATTACACCGTGACTTTTAAAAGATTCAGCGCCAGCAAGGAGCCCGAATTTCAGCCAGGAAAATATTACTATTTTATAGGTAGGTCCCACCATTTCAAATTACACGATAAGCTGAATAACGCACGCTTTTTGATTGGTTCTCGTTTATGACCCTTTGGAGGAGAATGCGTCGATGACGTCACTATGACAAGTTTATGCTTTTTGTTGTTGTTTTAAATTATAGATTTCATTTTGCCATGAGTCTGTTTCGCAGTAACAGAGCACAGAAAAACGTGGAAAAATAATGATCACTTATCTTCCAAATTTTTTGTTTTGACCACATATTTGACATCATCTGTGATCTATTACTGAATAGACGCACGTAGCCTACGTGTAGCCGTAGCCTTCCCCCCCCCCAAGGTGAAACACGTAGGCTAAGACGCACGGTAATGACTTCCGATCAAAATGTGAATCACCAGTCCTTTTCCAGAACCCCGCTGACGCGGATGATCACACACGCACCGCCCCCGCCCTCTTCCCTCCACCTCCATACCTCGAACTATTTACACATACAGGTACGGTTGCGGAAAAAAAAGGAATTATTAAGACAGTCACTTTTCCCTGCCTTCTTTCAAAGTTATAAATTTTCCCTGACTCAAAGTTAAATTCCCTGTTTTTCCAAGACAATTGTGCCTAACATTATCAACTATGCCTAACATTATCATACTGGAAACTATGGAATCTATGACGTACGAAGCTGAAAAGGTCTATTGAGCGGGAAGGTTCAGGTTACTTGGTGAGGTGTATGAAGTTCTGTGAAAAAATTTTAACAGTTTTAAGTTTTTTTATCGACTAGCAACTTCAGATGGAAAAAAAGAGTCCCTCAACAGTTCGTCTGGTGGAAACTGTCGAACAAACAGAATGAAGCTGAAATTCTATGTTTGCACAAGCAAAGCAGGCAAGTCGCCGTTAAAACTTTCAAGAAGAAGCCCTCTCGTTTGGAAGAAGGAAAAAAAGAGGGCTGATTTACTATGCCACAACTGCTTCCGGGGTCACAAAATTAATTGATCACACCATAGGAAAGGAACGATGATTGAAGTGTTTACAACCAATGAAGCAAAGATGACATTGCATTATTTTAGATTAAATTCATTGCATGTTTATGGCAGTCAAATCATTGATTTTACCAAATCATTACGTGTTTTCACGGACACCTGCAAAGATAAATAAGTTTGGTCCGGTGCAATCTTGCGGCCTTTTATTTCTAATTTATTTTGCTTTTCGATGTTTCTGTCTGTAGATCCACGTTGCAAAAGTGAAGACGAGTGTAATAGGGTCTCTCCAACACAATCTGAATTTACATCCTCTAAGCTTGTCAGCCCGACAAAAACTGTTGAATCTCATTCAGATCTCAACTCGTCTCAGCCTACCAGCCCGACAAAAGCTATTGAATCTTGTTCAACTCTCAACTCGGACATATCATGTGTAAACAACACTCATCCCAAGATAAGAATCATCAGTCCTGGTAAGTGAAAGGGCTGACTCGTTCATAATCAGTTCAATGTTACTGGTATTCACTACAAAATGTCAACTGGAATGCTCATGTAACTCAAGCAGTTAAACAAACAGTAAATAATGCATAAATAAGTTGCAACTTGGAAGACGTTTTTTAAGCACCGTCCCTAAGGAATACTGTAACTCAGTTGTACCTCCGTGCTCCTCCATTGTCTCCATAGAGAATTTACACCTGTTTGTCCATGAGTACGACACCCAATCCCTTTCGGAGTGTCGTCAAGACGATTGAGTAAATTAATAACCCTTTGAAAGAATTGAAGAAATAACACGAAGACATAAATTTGAACTGTGAAATCATTCATCACTAACGAGTTTATTACAAAACAACAGAATGACAAGCTACCAGTTACCTAGTTAGCTCAGTTGATAGAGCACTGCACTGGTATGGCAGAGGTCACTGGGTTCAACTCCCGTAAAAGCCTGAATTTTTTTCAGGATTTATTTTCGCTATTGCTTATGTAGTGTTCATAACTGCGAAGGTTACTCTCATATTCATTTAATAGCCCTTTGCACCACTCCAGGAACCTCCCTGTCGTTCAGCTTGATAAAATTTGAATTTTTCAGTTCCTTTCATTTCATCACCCGTCCCCTCCCTTTGGGTGACCAAATCTGTGCGCGCCTCTTTGTTTATTGTGTATAAGCAGGCTATCCGCAGGTATCTCAGGACCCTCCCCTCTGTAAGCAAATTCCTTGGAAAGGAACGGTTCAGGGGTTACCCTCTTTGGGATTCTCTCTATCCAATGCGGTACCTATGTTCCTATTAAATTATGTTATCGCAACTGTAGTCAACCTTGTTTTCTAAGTCGCTGTGCTGATTCGAAAAAGCCTTGATCACTAGGCTCGCATTTTTTCCAAAAGAAAAAACTCTTTGAGGCTTTTTAACCAATGTCATGCGATAAAGTATTGAAAACTTGTTTTACAGGCGAAAATAGATTTTTTTCCAGTCAATAGAGAGATTACAAAAGTGTTTTCTTTTTGCAGATGATCCTGAAAAAGAAAAGGACGTATTGCTAAGTACATCAGGTCTTAAGATTTTTATCGGTATTCTCGGGACTTTTTGCTTTCTTCTGTCCGTTCTTTCCATTATCCTGATCTACAAGCTTCGCCGAAAAAAAAAACCTCCAGCTTCTTCGTCACGTAGCTGTGCTCTTTAGCTGAACGAAAGCAATAGTGGCAGCGCAAATGGAGACCCGGAATACTGTGTACAGCTCTGTTTGAGTTAGAAAGCAGCAGACTACTTCCACTCGATTTGAACTTTGGTTGGGTATATCTGCGCCAAGAATGACCATGATCGGGAAACAATTCTCGGACGATCCTACTGCGTCTTTTCAAAGTGTCTCAAAATGGTTTTGCTAACATGGGTTGACTATTTTCTGACATACCGGGTTCCCATGGCAACAGTAAACTTCAAGGAAGACTTTGCTTGGCTGTTATTCAAAAAGCAGTTTGATGTCCCCCATTTTTTATCATTTATTCGCAATCGGCATATCAATATTCATCTTTCTTTAGGTAATGGTAATAGGATTGAGTAGAGTCCAATTGGATCTTAAATCGCACGAATTTGATTATCACTATTATGATTACAGACCGAACGGGACAACACGAAGTCTTTTTATCAACTTATCAAAAACATTACAATTCCCGGGGCAAGAAGAATAGCCAAGTTTTCATTAAAGTTTTATTTAGTTGATTTTAATTAAATTAATTGAGTTTTAGTTAAAACAAATACACAATCGTCAAGAGGCCGTCCCACAAACACGCGCAGCAGAAAAGAAAAGATAGACAATCCTCGAAAGGACCCCTGAGTTTATTGATCCTATACAAGAATTTATTATTTCTAGTCCTTTGCCAATACATGCTAAAATTTACAGTTGGTAATTATGTAATTTTTTAATCATTTTTCAATGTCAGTTTAAGCAACGCTGTGAAAGAAGCTGAAAGGATGAGCAAAAAGATTTGATAAATTCTTTTCTCCAAGTCATTAATTGCGCCTAATTGGATCCACGCAGAAAATCAAGCAGGAAAACGCGTTTTTAGTAATTTTTAGCATTTTTATACATACACATCGTACGTACGGAGGTTAATTAGTTTATTTATAACCACACTTGAAAATTAAAAAATAATTTAAATGCCCATTCATGAACTTGTTGTGTTTTGATCATTACCTGATTTCTTGTGTAACTTAGTGACTAAGAAGAATTGATACTTAACGCTAAAGTTAACAGACCCTCTGAAAAAACCGCAGCTGGCGGCGTGTAACACAACCTACAGATCGACAAAAAGAAGTACAAGCAAACCAAGGTGCCTCGTTCGCATTCTACTTTCTTAGTTACTCCGGATTAAGCAAGTGAAATATTTGAAAAATATGACGAGGAACGTGTTGTTTACGAGCGTAAAAACGATTATAACAATCAGTTCGTGGTGACTTGAAAATTGGTTGTAGCGAAAACAAAAAACCCCCAAAAAGAGAATTTAAGAACTAGAACCCGAAAATAAAAACCCCTTCATTTTTTTTCTTTTTAGTATGATATTGTTATGGTTCCTCGACGGAAACATCCAGAATGAAACATTGGTTTTTCATGGGCATTTGTTCCCCCCGAACTAAGCGCCAATGACAACCTTGTGAGAACTGTTGGATTTTTTTTCCTTATTGCTTCCTAAACAGCCCTCATCAAACTTTGAGTGTGGTACTGTAATGGGAAATTTCCCAGCTGAACCAATGGGAAACGAAAACTCAAGGAAAAATCATCGTAGCTAGCATTGCAGATCAGTGTAAAGCTCTATCGCTTGTATCATCGATTATGGCCTGTTTTAGATCTCCTAATCCTGTTCAATAAGATCAACCATGCTTGTTCAAAATTCCGCACTTGCATACAGAATGAGCCTATATAAAGACTCCACCTAGCATTTTATTTGCTTTAATTTAAAGTCATTTCGGAGCAACGGCCTGCAATAGAAACTCTGCAGGGTTTTCATTTTAATTGCCGAGCCCTGTTCATTTATGTGGAAGTTAATAACCTCAAACACAATTAATACCAGCATCAATTTTCCCATACAATCTTTAGAGGAGTTTAAGATCCGTGTTGGCGACCATACACAGACTCCGCGTTGCGAACAGATCATGGTGAACACATCGCAAATTGATTCAGGAGTAACTCGCATGGTCCAATAATTCGAACGAGGCAAATAAAGATGTTTTGCTTGCCGCAGTCTTTACAACTGCCGAATTTGGGACGAATCTGGAGAGCTAGAGAGCACGCTCTTTCAAAGTTGACGTGGCAGTTTGAAAATATGAGGGTCTTAAAGTTTTCAGGTATTTGTTTTCATAACATTTGTCTCAGCCTAAAAAAAAATAAAAGTTCTATCTGACGAGCGCTTAGGCGCGAAACTCAGAGTCACAGAGAATCGATGCGTCCTCTTTAATTCTTTAACTTATGTATACTTAGCTCTGCTACCACAGCATTGAGCACTTTATGCCAAGGTAGATTCTACCCCCATATTCATTTATATATATATATATATATACATATATATATATATATATATATTTATATATAATGAACCTGTTATAAGGGCTAACTACCAAATCTTTCGAAAATTATGCTCATTATTGCTTAAAAATCGAATACGACCACCGCCGTCTGGAATATTGATTGGCAGCTTAGCCGCCTTCTTTTGGCGTAATAAAGGCTTATTATTCCTTTTTCAAAACTACGCTAAAATGGGGTCTTTGATTCTTTACTGATTATTCGATAACCGGAGCAGCTGCTGACTGTGAACCTCCCTTTGTGTTCGAGCGTAAACGGCCAGGTTTATCAGACTTTGTTCAAAACGACGACGTTCATGTACAGCTGCCTATAAAATTTTCGAAGGCCATTTTAGAAGAGTTGCCTATAGTTGAGTGACTCCCTTAGATCTCAAACCGTGATGAGGAGTGCATTTTTTTTTTTTACATGGAAGTAATAAAATTAAGTGGTTTCTCGAGTAATTCTCCTCGTGAAAGTGGCAGATGGTTGCATCACTTGGGCAATTTTGTCTCCATAATGAGTTACATGAAACGGGACCAAAAATTTCTCTAAATGCCGCTTTTCACAGGTGGACACTATTATTTATCACATGAGGTTCAAGGCGTATGTCTGTCAAGATAGGCAAGGTTGGTCAACAATAGATACCTATGGTTAAATCTCCGACCTGCGGGTCTTTAAATCATATAATTATTGTGATCCAATTCCTCTTCGCTCGTCCTCAACGATGTCTATGTCATCGTCGTCGGCAAATTCGTCTTTCACTTCGTGACATCTATCACCTCTCCTTCCTCTCCTATGTCCCTGCCTTTTCAAAACCCACCTCAACACACCCATTCCTTATTTCCTTTCCCAAGTTTTCCCCTCCTTCTCTTGCTCTATCTCTGTAGTTCAACAGCCTTACGTCCGCCACATTCTACTGAGTTACGAGTCTAGAGATAATCTTAACATGCAGCAAACACAGCAGACAAATGCATCATCATTTTGATAGATCATTTTTAAGGGATTTTATTGATTATAGTTCTCACCATAGACCTTTACAATGGCCCTATACAAATTAAAGAAAATGATAAATAAATATTTGTCGTTTGGACGGCTATTCCTTTTAGATACAAGATGCACGGAAAGTCAGCCGTGACAGCCGTCGAAGCAGAAAACAGCAACGGTATTCCAAGTGTTCTCTACAGACTCACTCAACGAACACACGAACAAGTGAAGTATCGTTAAAACTCTGCAATAACATAGCATCCTGTTAATAGAATTACTGAATAACTTTCATCCGAAAAAGCTATCCCGCGAAAGCATACCCTCTTTCTAACCTATATCAATGTGTCCCAAATATGCAGGGCAGGGAGTGTATTCTGGGGTACATGTTACTCCCCCCCCCCTACTTTGAAGCTGATCTTGCTTATGCCCTTGGTGTTCAGTGTTTCTAAACATAACGGGACGTCGAGGCTCACAAGGTAGAAAATTGAATGCCAGTAAACTGCCAATGAGGGAGGATCAAATGAAAATCACAGAGCCTTTAGCTTTGGAGGATCAGGTAATTTGTATCGTGACATAACAAAAAGACACTAGTCAAAATTAGGCCAAAATTTATGGTTAATGTCATTCTTTGTGCACAGCCACTTGATTCCGTGACATCATTTGCAAGAAAGTTGAGATACGATTCGGTGCGAGATATATATCCTAAACGCTGTGATCGGTGCAAGATATCCAAATGCTGTGATATGATTGGTGCGAGATATATACCCTAATGCTGCAATCTGATCGGTGCAAGAAACATAGATGTTATTTGCCGGCTGGGAGGTCCGTATGGTGAAAAACTGTGACCGAGGTCTTGAAAATGCTACCCGAGGCCGTTAAGGCCTCGGGCAGCATTTTCAAGACCGAGGACACAGTTTTCACCATACAGACCGACCGACCCTTAGCCGGTAAATAACATATTTATTTATTTTTTAAACTTAACGAAATTCTTTCCGAAAGAACCCGAATGATTTAGGGCTGTAAATGCGGCAAGATCTTCTATAAAAAGAAAAGTCTTTGAGCAAGTAAATGGTAGTTACAATAGAGATGATGCAAATTAAAGAGAGATGCTTCACCGAAACATTTTCATTTGCTTATTGATAAAGTTGATTTAAAAGGCTTCCAAACAAAACTTTGAATCACTATCTTTACAAGTATCTGTCACAATCTGACACCTGTCAATTAGAGAGCGCGTAAGAAAGAAAAAGCGCAGTTCGACGAAACTAGTTTAGCAAGGACTATCACAACAATGTTCTCTTCAAAAACAGTCAGTGATCTGACGGAAAGTATTTTTCACTCTCATCGACGATTAATTCATGTACGAAGATTTACCTTCGTTCATTAAGAAAACGGCGAGGAAAGTAATTGCAAGTAAATTCAAATTTTTTATTTTGAAGTTGTGAGAGTTTGCTCGTTTGCAGTTTGCTGCAATGGTGTGTGTAAATCTGGTCTTTCCCCTACAAAAACCAAATTCGAATGATACACTCCAACGAGACACAAAGGGATTAATGCGGCCTTTTCTCATTGAATTCCTTCAGTTTCTGTTGTGCAATTTACGGTACAAATGTTCAGATTGAAAGGACTTACAAAGACTCACCGAGAGCGTTTATTTGTTGTAGAACTGAAATTAAAACTTCGCTCGCTCTTTCACTACAACCAAATTGTTTGAGATAATTCAGATATTAAGTGAATGAAAGTTCCATCGATTATTTCAGCTGTAACCAAATACCTCACGTTTTAACTTTCTAGGTACTTTTTGTGAACGATCAAAATTAATTGCAGACGGTTTTTAGGCCGCTTGTCAACCAACGTAACGGACACTATTGCTTATATAAATTCATTCCGAAACCAATATTTTTCTGTCAACAAAAGTGATTTGAGAGAGAGAGAGAGAAGAGAGGATTCATAGGTTATTTATCGGCTTGGGGTAGTAACCGACGTCTTTGCTTCAAAATACTGCCCAGCCGGAAAAACGAGATATATTTATCAAAAATGGCAACGAAAGTTGGGATGTACGCGGTGACTCACGAAAGCGTTACCGTGGCAGAGATAGGAAAATACTGACCAGGTAAATAACCAATCAGATTGCAGGATTCGTTACCGTGCCCTCAGAAAAAAAAAATTATGAAAATTATGAACTCAAACAAACACATGAAACAGAACGACGTATAAATATCTTTGCGACATTCAAAAATAAAGAAGGACGTAATGATGCCGTACGTATTTCGTTCTTGCAGAGGGGTACATGATGTAGGCTCCTAAACATTGATAACTGAAACTCGCGATTTTCATGTGACCGTCTGGTATTTTTTCAATTGTTTATAAACAGCTTCACGGCAATTTGAGTTAAGTGAAGGGATACGACGCTTAAGCAGTGAAACGAGCTGAATCAAGAGTATATTTATTTATGTAACAGCGCATTATAGGGAAAAGTCCCATAAAAATCACGAGTCTTAGAGGTCTGTCATCATGTTCCGCCCCGCGAGAGTTTCATATTTTTTTTTCTTGAAAGAACCAGACCAGCAAATGATTAAGCGGGGAATTTTTTGTTTATTCCTTTCACTTTCACTTCTGGTCTCATGATTAATAACCCACGGAAATTACGTATGTTTATTTTGTTTCGAATGCAAATTAAGACTTCCGCTAAGAAGCATTTTAAGTATCTTCGCCAGCAAGTTACTTGCTCATTAAAGATTAGGAGACTCACTCTTTGAGTGTCTGGAAAGTGAAACATGGGAATCGTGAGTCTAATCCAGGGCGCTTGTATAATTCTTTCGCTTTTGATTGACTCTGGAGAAAGTGAACTGTATCCATCCATTCAATGGACGAGACATAATCCAAAGTAAGTGCTGCTGCAAACGTTTACATTTCGAGGCTTGTTAACACCTCAGATAACAACTTTAAAAACGTAAAGGAAAGGTTATAAATTTTTAACATCCACGGAATCTATTGTATAAGCAGCCACCGAGGAATATCAGATGATTCGACTGTCACTGTCAAAATAACAAAGTTCTCATTGTATTTTCGAGGTGAGGGCAAATTTGAACCAAGTGTTTCAAGCGACAAAGACGTTATATGTTTATGCACTTTGTTGGAAACAAATCTCATGTGAATCAAGAGGAGAGAAGAAAATTTATAGTTTAATAATTTCGATGGATAATTCTTTGCTGCGTGCAAATCTTTTAATAACCTTGAACCTAATGCAGTGAGGAACGTGTCCGACGCTTTCGCTTTCTTTAGCTGAAACTAATACACTCTGTTTGTGAGAACAGGGAAAGATTATCATTTGCAAATATGACACAAGTTCACTGAGGTGGATTAACAATATACTTATACAAATGAAAATTTAAGTTCCTGCCGCTTTCATATTGCCCTCTTATGCCATCTTTTATATTCATGCTTTCGGAAGCTCTTGGAAAACAACCACCCGGTTTGAAGTCCAGCGATGGAATTTTTAGAGATATTTTCGACATTAACGCAATGTCACGAGACATGTAATATCTGTGTCTAGTTCAATTTTATTTTGTTAGAAAACCAAGTACTTTTGACACCCTTTCCTGTTTCTTTGTCCACATTTCCGCTGGAGGTTTTCGCCGGTTGTCCGCTTGGCGAAGCTTAAAGAAGACCCATGAGTTGTCTTGTTCAAGGCCAACCTGTCATAATTTAGTAATTTAAAACGCTCCAGCGAATTTTACGAGAACAAATGGACTCTCCGGCAGGGGCAGAATGATTCCCTTATGCTATCATAATCTCCTCAGAAACTTACTTCCATCCCGATAAAAAAGGAAATAAAAGAATTGAGCTGATTTCGGTACATTAAATTTGCCATCTAGTACATCCTGCCCACAGGGTTTCGGTTGTACATGTATATCACGATTGTTACGCACCCTGCATCTTAGCGAAAATCACCCATGTACTCAAGGACGGTGAACTTCGATCATATCAATTAAGCTTTGCAAAGAATTTTCGACATTGCACAGCGGCGAAAAAATAAATTTGAAGTATTACACATTTTTTTTTTTATTTTTAGCAAGTTATTGTTTTGAGCATCATACTTATTTTATTCATTGCGTGAAAGCCATGAAGATCGACTTAAAGTACATATCTGTTTTGCAAAATGTTTATTTTTAGTCGATGACGGAATCAGCTTCGACTTGAATTTCGCTTTTACATAGGTCTCTACTTGGCAAGCCTAAGAAAGAACATTAAATTAAGATACAGTGAAAAAGCTTTCGCTTGCTATCAACATAAACCTGTTGCGAATCTGTTTTATGTGAATTTCTATACCTTTTTGTTATTTCAAACCATAATTATTCAAATTTCTGTCCTTTTTATAATTAGCTTCAGGCCATTTATTCCTTCTCTACCATTACAAGAGCTTGTCTTAGATCTAAAAAAAATGCTAGTGCCATATTTCTCCAATATGGAGTCGAATTTGGCCTTGGCTTCGCTTCGTTAGAGCAGAAAGTAGCCGGAGAGCATGAACTCGGTCGTGCTTCTTTGGCGAAAACATCACGTGAGGCGCAGTTGCGAAAACAGTTGCTAGATATTTGTTGATATTGATATCTGCCATGTTGATGGGAATTCTTTTTAATCGGTTGCCGAGTAACAAGCTCAGACCGAAAAGACAATTACTAAAAGAACACTGATAATGATAAACATTTAGCCTTTGGTTTTCCTTGATGCATGTTTCCCTTTATCTTGTCTGTTGTTATGGGTCTAAACAGTTTGAAACAGATTCAGCTTACTCGTGATTACATTTGCATCACGCCTATTTATGGCCGTGATACCTGCTGAAAGCATAGAATGACGTGCACTTTGTTTCTGCTGGTCACATTGATTCCCAGGTTACCGAACAAACCTCGTACTTTTATCTGCTCCACTGAAAAACGTTAACTAAACGTTCATTAATTACGCTTGTTTTTCAAGCCATTTTATTCCAAATTTAACACTGTACGAAATACAAACATTGTACGAAAGCAGCGTGCACATTATATCGACAAAACGACTACAAAAACTGTTCTGACGTAAATATCCAGTAATATCCAGTCTCTTTTAGTGTCCGCCATCTATAACCTGCTGCCATCTATGAAGTTCACGAACAGAAAGCTAGGTTTTTGCGACACTGAAAAGACATGATTCAGTGATAACTTAGATTCAAATTCGAAATCAATTCTAGGACATTTGCGGCGTGACTTATCATAACTGTTTTCGTTTTGGGAAAAATCAAAATCAAAGGTAATTCTCAACCTAGTGTATAGTGTCTTCATTGAATCATCATAAACTAACTGCGATCAAATGCAAGTGTCATGAAACCATTAAAATCAATTTATATACACTCCGCCATTTCACAGCTGTCTTCATTTTATTGCAACTTTTTCTTCATGATTCCATTCGTGCCCACCGACTTCGTATTTTGTGATACGTTTGTCTGTTACTCAAATAGAGATTTTATGAAATCATATATTAATCCTGAGTCCCAAAAAGTCTCACAAAGGGTACATGAGAAATCGTGCTGAAGTAACGTGAGAAAATTATGCATCTATATTTGATAATCATGGAGCCCTTACTTCAGCCAAAAAGCTTTTGATGTGATATAAGATTTTGACTATGATTATACAGCTTTTTGCTTATCAGTCTAAAGCTCTTACAAACACTACGGTATTTTGACACAAGATAAAATAATGAACGACTATTCATCTAAGAGGTGACAAGACACCTCACAGTTTTCCTTGAGCTTCGCCCTCGGAAGACTGTTCGCATCTTGGAACAGATTATGTCCACGAACAAACATCTGTGCCTCTTTTTCGCGTCATGTAGAGGCTTTTGTTCATCTAGCCACCGACACTGAGTTTATGATGAGACACTCAGATAATATGACACACAAAAAAAAATGATTTTAACTCATTTATTCCTGCAAAGATTACAATATTGCGCAAATTCCGCTCGAGTTGCTCGCAGGTGAATAGCAAAGGATATCCAGCCGTTCAGAGCCCAGAAAAGAATCGAAAACGCTTTGCAGCCGATAAATCGTTCTCTGGGGAATAAGCGTTACCAAAACATGCACTTTCCACCGGATAGAGATCCATCCAGTGAGTAACAAAAAACTGGTGCCTGGACACGAGCCGTCGACCTTATTAGCAGATCAGTCTAGATCTCATTTAGATCATTTCCATTGTTTGTTGTAGATTTGCATCGAATAGGACACAATGCGTTCACCCAATGTCTAAAGTGATCTTCGTGTGCCCAAACACAGCTACAATAGTAAAAAGACTCGCTCACAGTAGTTATGTAGATCCTCAGTACGAAAATCTGTGGCTGGTCAGCAAACAAAGTTACGAGCGGTGTGTAATAAATACGACGACTGATACGAGACTATGGTTGTGCGACGAGCCACTTAAACTGAAATATTACACCGTAACTTTTAAAAGATTCAGCGCCAGCAAGGAGCCCGAATTTCAGCCAGGAAAAGATTACTATTTTATAGGTAGGTCCCACCATTTAAATTATACGATAAGCTGAATTACGCTTTTTGATTGGTTCCTGTTTATGACCTATTAGAGGGGAATACATCGATGACGTCACCATAACAAGTTTATGCTTTTTTGTTGTATTAAACTATAGATTTCATTTTGCCATGAGTCTGTTTCGCAGTAACAGAGCACAGAAAAATGTGGAAAAATAATGATCACCTATCTTCCAAATTTTTTTTCTGACCACAAATTTGACGTTGTCTGTGATCTGCTACTGAATAGACGCACGTAGCCTACGTGTAGCCTCCCCCCCTGCCCCCCAAGGTGAAACACGTAGGCTAAGACGCACGGCAACACGGAATCTATTTGTTAAATTGACAATAACTGGCTTCAAACCGGAATTCAGAGACTTAACGAAAGCCATCATTATCAGAGTTAAGTCAAGTCAAGTCAAATCACCATGACTTCCGCTCAAAATGTCAATCACTGACATCATAAACAGTCCTTTTCCAGAACCCCGCTGACGTGGATGATCACACACGCACAAACACCCCCCCCTTTCCCTCCCTCCTCCTCCTCCATACCTCGAGCTATTCACACATACAGGTACGGTAGCGAAAAAAAAAAAGAAATTATTTAGACAGTCACTTTTCCCTGCCTTCTTTCAAAGTTATAAATTTTTCCTGACTTGAAGTTAAATTCCTTGACCTTTCCAAGACAACTATGCCTAACATGCTGGAAACGAAACACTAGTTTTAAATAGTTTCCTATTGACCATAAAAACAATGACGGACAAGCGCCATCCGCTTTCAGTCTCTTAGTTCGGCTGTCTGCAAACCTAAAATCCTCGTCTTCGAAATGTTCTGTACACTTTGGTACGCGATGTTACTTATTTTATTCTAAAATTTCACAGTCTATGTTTTCAAAGAAACTGAAAAACAACCATGACATCTAAAAATCGAGACGAGACGAGACAAAATGATTTGTCAGACAATTTACTGTGATAATAATAATAGTAATCTTTAATGAGGATGCCAACGTCACGAAGTGGTTTACAGAAGGGTCCTCAGAAGAATACTAAGTTTAGATTAAGAACTAGTTAAACATACAAAAATGTAAAAGATTAAAAGGAGTATATACAATCATCAAGCATCAAATATAACCAGTTAAAAATACAGGAATGTAAAAGATAAAAAGAATATACAAAGGGTAAAAAGCAAAGAATGTCGTTAAGAATCAAAGATAACTTTGGACAGGCCACGTTTAAAAGCAGGCAGTGACTCTGCATTCCTTAATGAGGTGTGTAACCCGTTCCATATATCAGCGCTAAAATTTACTGACGACCAATGACCCCGTCTTCCTGTGGCACTGGATTTGCGAATGTCATCTCTCGATCTTGTGTAGTTACTATGAAATCACCATTGAATGTGACAGGGATAGAGTGACAGAAATGGTTGTTAATCAATTTATACATAAAAATAGCATGATGTTCTTTTCTACGTCGCAATAATGGCTTCCAGCCAAGTCTCTTTAGCGCCTCAGCTGCAGAAAAATGCGCAGGAAGGTCTAAAATGAGGCGAGCGGTCTTATTCTGTAACACTTGTAGCTCAGACATTAAGGAGGCATTCCCGCGATCTCCCCAAATGATATCCCCATAGTCAAAAAGAGGTAAAATGAAACTATTAAAAAACATAATTCTAGCATTGAGGGGGAGGTAAGATTTAATACGCCTTAAGAGACTTAACTTTTCACTGATCTTACCACGAATATAATCAATGCAGTCAGTCCAGGAAAACCGGTCATTAATCACAATCCCCAAGTACGTATAAGAATCTACATTATCGAGAGGGATATCATCAGCAGAAATAAGGATGAACCCAACTTTGCTTAAGCGGGAACTACTACCAATAAGTAAAAATTTGGATTTCTTAACATTCAGAGTAAGTTGGTTAGCCGGAAGCCATTTACATATACGTCTTAAGTCAGCATAAATCTTGCTTTGTAAATCCACAGTAGATTTGGAGGCGAGATATAGAACAGTGTCATCTGCATTTAAGGTGACCTGACAGAACTGCAAAGCGTCAGGTAGATCATTAATGTAAATTATAAATAGAAGCGGGCCCAATATAGAGCCTTGAGCGACGCCAATCGAAACAGGGGCAACTTTGGAGCATACATCATTACAGTTGGTCACTTGTTTTCTGTTCGTAAAGAATGAAGTAAACCAGGCTTTTGGCAGCATGATCAACACCATAATTTGAGAGCTTCTGGAGTAGTATTTTGTGATTGACAGTGTCAAACGCTTTGGCGAGGTCTAAGAATACAGCACCGGTCAGGCAACCATTGTCCGTGGAGTAGAGGATCTGATCAGAAAGCTGAGAGGCGGCAGTAACAATAGATGATTTTAACCTAATTCCAAACTGGTTGGGTGAAATTAAATTATTCTCAGTTATATATGCATAAAACCTAAGTATGAACCACCTTCTCCAAGATCTTGCTTATAGTCGGCAGAATGGGAAATTGGCCTGTAATTAGAAGCGTTCTGTTTATCATCCTTTTTAAACAAGGGTATAACCTTTGCTATTTTCCATTTAGAAGGAAAAGATCTTGTTTGAAGGGATAGATTAATAAGGCCGTTAAAGAAGGAGTAATAACGTCCACAGCATCTTTTAGCGGACGCACGCTAATTTTGTCGAGACCAACGGCCTTATTAGTTTTCAATAAACTGATGGATCTTGAAACAAAATCTTCACTTATCGGTTGTAACATAAAGGTAGAATGGCAGACCATAGCTTTAGCTGTGTACGTCTCAGGAACGATCTTTTCCACAAGGAATTTTCTCACACCCACGAAGTTTGTATTAAAAGCCGAGGCAATAGATTGAGCTGAGGTGAGAAGGACGCCCTCAGCTAACAGACTGGTAATTCTGGAGGACGTTTTAGAAGAGGGTAGAGTTTATTTGAAGCTCTCCAGAAGTCTTTAGCGCTTGATTTGCTACTGTCAATTATCAGGTTAGTGTAAAAATTGGATTTGGCTTTCTTGATGCTATGGCTGACTTTGTTCCTCAGATCACGGTACAGACGCCAATGAATACTGCATTTATTTCCCTTGGCTTTCTTCAGGTGGTAATCGCGCTTATTCATAAGATCTGTAACGTGAGAGTTCAACCAAGGAATAGAAAGCCTCTGACTCGGCTTGTTCTTTTAGGAGCATGGGATTCGGCAACCTCTGAGAATAGTTTACTCCAGGTGTTAATGCAGTCATCGATATCTTCATGGTTGTTTACAGCCACATGCCAAGGTACTTGGCGGAGTTCAGATACAAAGGAATCTCTATTGTAGATACGAGCGAAATTGAATCGTGTTTGGTGGAGCTCGATAACGACCGCTCTTCATTGCGCAGTAAACTAAAGAATGATCGCTCAAACCAGGATCTATAACGTCGGACTCGGTAATTTTTCGTTGAGCATTGGTAAAGCACAAGTCGATGAGAGATTCAGAGTGTTCCGTGACGCGTGTTGGAGATTCAATCACTTGCTTGAGATCGTGAAGCTCAGTAATTCCCTTGAGCAATCGTTTCTGAGACGAATTTGCATTTCTCCTTCCAACTGGAAAATCAATGTCAAAGTCACCAAGCACGACCTTGTCAAAGCCAGAGTCAATCTTAGACAGTGACTCACTGAAGTTATCAATAAAATGGTCTTTAGGTTGATCTGGTGGTCTGTAGATACAACCAACCGACAAGAGGTGTACAGATTTTTCGGTTAACTTGAATCCAAACAGCTTCATTTTAATTATTTAGATCTTCGCGAACAGTAAAATTTATAGAATCGCGGCAATAAATTGCCACTCCTCCACCAGCCTTTCTTTGGCGATCCCGCCTCACACAGCTATAGCCAGGCATAAGAATCTCGTCATCAGTCATCATATCATTTCGCCAAGTCTCCGAGAATTATAATATATGAAACAACTTTGCACCGCCCATGACGAGATTCACTTGATCCATCTTGTGTAGCAGAGTACGAATATTAAGATGAGCTAGAGCTAATCCTCTACTTTTGGGGCCAAACGATGATCCAGAACTGTTTAATTGAAATGTAGGACCAGGTTAAGGACAGATATCACCAGCTAATAGTATAAGACCAGCCAACCGTGCAGATTGAAACACAAATTCGTGGGACCACAGGTTGAAGACTTGAAATATAGCATGGATATTTTACTTTTGAAGCTTATAATCTTGAAGGTATTTATGAAAAGACAAATCAGAATTTGTGGAATATTGTGACAGTTACAAACGCAACACTAGTGGACCATTCTCTACGCTTCGCAGTTAATTGAGTATGGCCGCGACTGTTGTTTACCCATGTCGGACCACGTGACCAATCTATGACGTATGAAGCTGAAAAGGTCTATTAAGCAGGAAGGTTCAGGTTACTTAGTGAGGTGTATGAATTTCTTTGAAAAAATTTTAATAGTTTAAGTTTTTTTTATCGACTAGCAACTTCAGATGGAAGAAAAGAGTCCCTCAACAGTACGTCTGGTGGAAACTGTCGAACAAACAGAATGAAGCTGAAATTCTATGTTTGCACAAGCAATGCAGGCAAGTAGCCGTTAAAAGTTTCAAGGAGAAGCCCTTTCATTTGGAAAACGGAAAAAAGAGGGCTGATTTACAGTGTCACAACTGCTTCCAGGGTCACAAAATTAATTGATCACACTACAGGAAAGGAACGATGATTAAAGTGTTTACAACCAGTGAAAGGAAGGATGACATCGTATTATTTTAGATTAAATTCATTTCATGTTTATGGCAGTCAAATCATTGATTTTACCAAATCATTACGCGTTTTCACAGAAACCTGTAAAAATAAATAAGTTTGGTCCGGTGCAATCTTGCGACCTTTTATTTCTAATTTATTTTAATTTTCGATGTTTCTGTCTTTGTAGATCCACGTTGCAAAAGTGAAGACGAGTGTAATAGGGTCTCTCCAACACAATCTGAATTTACCTCCTCTGACCCTACCAGCCCGACAAAAACTGTTGAATCTCATTCAACTCTCAACTCGTCTCAGCCTACCAGCCGGACAAAAACTGTTGAATCTCATGCAACTCTCAACTCGAACATATCATGTGTAAACAATACTCACCCCACGATAAGAATCATCAATCCTGGTAAGTGAAAGGGCTGACTCGTTCATAATCAGTTCAATGTTACTGGTATTCACTACAAAATGTCACCTGGAATGCTCATGTAACTCAAGCAGTTAAACAAGCAGTAAATAGTAATCCATAAATAAGTTGCAACTTGGAAGACGTTTTATAAGCACCGTCCCTAAGGAATACTGTAACTCAGTTGTACCTCCGTGCTCCTCCACTGTCTCGATAGAGAATGTACACCTGTTTGTCCATGAGTACAACACCCAATCCCTTTCGGAGTGTCGTCAAGAAGATTGAGTGAATTAATAACCCTTTGAACGACTTGAAGAAATGACACGAAGACATAAATTCGAACTATGGAATCATTCATCACTCACGGGTTTATTACGAAACAACAGAATGAAAAGCTACCAGTTGCCTAGTTAGCTCAGTTGATAGAGCACTGCACTGGTATGGCAGAGGTCATTGGGTTCAACTCCCGTAAAAGCCTGAATTTTTTTCAGGATTTATTTCCACTATTGCTTAGGTAGTGTTCATAATTGCGAAGGTTACTCTCATATTCATTTAATAGCCCTTTGCACCACTCCAGGAACCTCCCTGTAAGCTTGATGAAATTTGAATTTTCCAGTCCCTTTCATTTCATCACCCATCCCCTCCCTTGACACTTCGTGGCCGGGATTTCTGAAGGTGGAAGGGGGGTGACCAAATTTGTGCGCGCCACTTTGTTCATTGTGTATAAGCTGGCTATCTGCAGGTATCTCAGGATCCTCCTCTCTGTAAGTGCATTCTTTGGAAAGGAACGGTTCAGGGTTTACCTTCAGGGAGATTCTTTCTTGCCAGTGTGGTAACTATGTTCCTATTAAATCATTTTATCGCAACTGTAGCAAACCTTGTTTTCTAAGTCGCTGTGCTGATTCGGAAAAGCCCTGGTCACCAGGCTCGCATTTTTCTCCAAAGAAAAAACTCTTCGAGGCTTTTTAACCAATGTCATGCGATAATGTATTGAAAAACTGTTCTAAAGGCGAAGACAGTTTTTTTCCAGTCAATAGAGAGATTACAAAAGTGTATTCTTTTTACAGATGATCCTGAAAAAGAAAAGGACGTGTTATCAAGTACATCAGGTTATAAGATTTCTATTGGTTTTCTTGGGGTTATGATCTTTCTTCTGCTAGTTCTTTCCACTATCCTGATGTACAAGCTTCACCTTAAAAGAAAAGTTCCGGCTTCTTCGTCACGTAGCAGTGCGCTTTTGATGAACGAAACGAAAACGAAAGCAGTAATGGCAGCGCAAATGGAGACTCGGAATACCGTGCATAGTTCTGTTTGATTTTGAAAGCGGCCGACTACTTCCACTCGATTTGAGCTTTGGTTGGCTATATCTGCGCTAAGAATGACCAAGATCGGGTGATAATTCTCGGACGATCCTATTGCGTCTTTTCAAGGTGTTTCAAAATGGTTTTGCTAACATGGGTTGACTATTTTCTGACATACCGGGTTTCCATGGCAACAGTAGACTTCAAGAAAGACTTTGCTCGGCTGTTGATAATAATAATAATAATAACTTTATTTAAGTGTCAGTGTATTTTAGCACTGCTGTGCTAATTGGGGACACTGTTAATAAGGAAACAAATATCGTAAATGAACAGAAACTCGTTAAAAACCCCAACTGGTAGGAGGCAGACCAGTTGGTTATTTACAAAGCGTGCAGGAGTTGAATTCGGGGCCACCGAAGACAAATCCATCCAGTGGCAGGGAGGAGGACTTGAACCCGGGACCTCCGGCTTACAAGTGCAGCGCCCTAACCACTAGGCCACGCTCGCCTCCTCCCTGTTACTCAAAAAGCAGTTTGATGTCCCTCATTTTTATCATTTATTCGCAATCAGCATATCAATATTCATCTTTCTTTAGGTAATGGTAATAGGACTAAGTAGAGTCCAATTCGGTCTTAAATCGTACGAGTTTGATTATCCTGACTATTATGATTACAGACCGAACTGGACAACGCGAAGAAACATTACAATTTCCGGGGCAAGACGAATAGCCAAGTTTTAATTAAAGTTTTATTTAATTAGTTGATTTTAATTAAATTAATTGAGTTTTAGTTAAAACAAATACATATAATCGTCAAGAGGCCGTCCCACAAACACGCACAGCAGAAAAGAAAAGATAGACAATCCTCGAAAGGACCCCTGAGTTTATTGATCCTATACAAGAATTTAACATTTCTAGTCCTTTGCCAATATGTGCTAAAATTTACAGTTGGTAATTGTATAATTTTTTATTATCATTTTTCAATGTCAGTTTAAGCAACGCTGTGAAAGAAGCTGAAAGGATGAGCAAAAAGATTTGATAAATTCTTTTCTCCAAGTCATTAATTGGGCCTAATTAGATCCACGCAGAAAATCAAGCAGGAAAACGCGTTTTTAGTAATTTTTAGCATTTTTATACATACACATCGTACGTACGGAGGTTAATTAGTTTATTTATAACCACACTTTTGAAAATTAAAAAATAATTTAAATGCCCATTCATGAACTTGTTGTGTTTTGATCCTTACCTGATTTCTTGTGTAACTAGTTAGTGACTAAGAAGAATTGATACCTAACGTTAAAGTTAACAGACCCACTGAAAAAACTTCGGCTGGCCGCGTGTAACACAACCTACAGATCGACAAAAAGAAGTATAAGCAAACTAAGGTGCCTCGTTCACATTCTACCTTCTTAGTTACTCCGGATTAAGCAAGTGAAATGTTTGAAAAATATGACGAGGAACGCGTTATTTACGAGCGTAAAAGCGATTATGACACCCAGTTCGTGGTCACTTGAAAATTGGTTGTAGCGAAAACAAAAACCTCCGAAAAGAGAATTTAAGAACTAGAACCCGAAAACAAGAACCCCTTCATTTTTTTTTCTTTTCAGTATGATATTGTTATGGTTCCTCGACGGAAACATCCAGAATGAAACACTGGTTTTTCATGGGCATTTGTTCCCCCCGAACTAAGTGCCAGTGACAACCGTGTGAGAACTGTTGGATTTTCAGTTCCTTATTGCTTCCTAAACAGCCCTCATCAAACTTTGAGTGTGGTACTGTAATGGGAAATTTCCCAGCTGAACCAATATGAAACGAAAACTCGAGGTAAAAGCATCGTAGCTGGCATTGCAGATCAGTGTAAAGCTCGATCGATTGTATCATCGATTATGGCCTGTTTTAGATCGTCCTAATCCTGTTCAATAAGATCGACCGTGCTTATTCAAAATTCCACACTTGCATACAGACCCCATCTAACATTTTATTGGCTTTAATTTAAAGTCATTTCGGAGTAACGGGCTGCAATAGAAACTCCGCACGGTTTTCATTTAAATTTAATGAAGTTTCGGATTTACAAGTAGAATGACAAATCTGAGGTAGGCTTAAAACAGAATGCAAGACTCCCTAAAAATAAGCCACCTATTATTACATCTACAGAATCAATTAAGTAATAAAATTATCTAAAAATTCGTTAGTGTAACATGTCAGTTATAAAAGACATGCGAAATGAACGCTTGTCAATAAAATTATTGTAAATAGACTAATGATTTAGTAAAGTACAGTGTGAAATTAAAAAAAATCTACATTGAACTTATCATGATAAAAGGCCATCAAATTCTTACGAAAGATCGACAAGGTGTTTGACTCTCTTATACTAAGATGTAGTTCATTCCACAGGCGACAGATTCGAACAAAAAAAGAATTCTTAAAGACGTCAGTCTTAGTCGAAGGGCTAACGCTCGAAACGTCAGCATTTTTACCTTTTACGGTGGCTAATTTACGTTTTCAACCCAGTTGTTAACACTAAATTACTTGCTGAAAGGGACATCAAGCGTTAAATGATCAAAGTTTCTCAACGGTTTGATACAAGAGCGAAACAATACATAATCGAAGATATTTAACTTGCATATATTCTTAAAACACTTAAAAAAGTGAACTGAATCATTAATTTCTCTACGATACTGCAAAAGTAATAAATTTAATTTACCGAGGCGCTCTTGCTCCGAATAATCCCTACCAAGAATCTCGTAGCCCTGCGTTGGACCTGTTCCAAATTGTTGATGTTTCGTTTGGTATGAGGTGACCATACCACGCTAGCATATTCAAGTCGCGACCGAATCCAAGCAATATAAAGCAATTTCTTTGTACCTATATCAGTTATGTCCCTGCTCGTACGGTAAAGGAGATTAAGCATTCTTTGAGCTTTCGAAGAGATGAGATCAACGTGATTATTCCAGCTCAAATCGTGGCTAACCAAACCCAAGGTAATAGCCTTTATCAATGATTGATCCTATACGAGCCACCCTTAGAACCTTCTACTTCTTGCCATGAAACTCCATTCCCCAGATACGAGACCACTGAAATGTTTGATTCAAGTCATCTTGCAATTTGTCACCGTCATCCCGCCCAAGAATTAAGCGAAAACACTTAGAGTCATCGGCAAAGAGGTGTAACGATGTTTCCTTAGACATTACATTGGGCATATCATTGATAAAAATCAATAAAAAATCAATTGCCGAGCCCTGTTCATTTATGTGGAACTTAATAACCTCAAACAATTTATACCAGCATCAATTTTCCCATACAAGCTTTAAAGGAGTTTAAAGATAACTTAACTGCTACGCAGCTTGCGGTTTTCAGTTGAGGTCCGATGAAATTGAACCGCCTGTCACCACTCCGCTTCCTTCATGTCTTCTAAGCTTCAGAACGCGCACAAACAATTATCAGCTACGCAGGCTACCACCCACTATCAGAGTAATGCTGAAATACGGAATATGGTTACTGATTTCCTCTCGGTGTGACCTCTTTCTATTTCCTAACCAGTTCTGGGGGGTCGATTTATGTTTTGATTGACTTACTTTATGAGATAATGATCAAACGGATCTTTAAATCCTCTCCAGGCACTGTCACATATAACTAAAACAAGTAAATCCAAGTTTCATCGTGTAGACCTCTTCTACTTGGTTCCTTTTACGGGCAGGTCCATTTATTGCTTTGGATAGACGATTTTAGTCAGAGATTTGCAGTTTTATTAGTACAATGTCAGTTATTGAGATCGTGAGCCTCGTCTGTCTCTTTATTTTGTTCTTAATAATGTTTTTCGTCGTCAAGAACTGCTTAGTCTTGATGCATTTGTGGCGGCAACGAGCGGAACGGGACGGTGCCGTGATGGATGTTCAAGACAGAGAGAACCCGACACTTGATACGCCTCTACAGCCTAGAGTGGGTGAGATGGCTCCCATGGGAATGCATCTTATACCGCGTCAGAAGGGTGTTCAGGAGTCAGGAGGAAACTACATCGACACAGCGATCGGTATACAGCGTATCGCTATGGAGCCAGGTACATTTTTCCATCAAAGAATTGTAAGGCGCCCACTTCCTCGAGAAAACGATGAATAACTCTTCAAAAAAGGTAAGAGAAATTAATCAATAAGTTTTACACTCCTTTTCTCCGATTTCCCTCGCTGCTCTTTCAAGCTACTCCTACAGCCAGTTTTTAGATGTTAAAAATGACTTATTTTATCGCTCGATAAAATGTTTACATTTTCAATCACTGCTTTTAATATGCGCAATCTAAAGCAAGCAGAAATAAACAGCACACAAAAAAGGCAGAGAGATCATACAATAATTTTAATCGCACATTTTCATCCCAACAGGTCTTTTCCGGAGCTGACTCTTTTACACCATGCATCTGTTGCTTTTTTAACATTCACCATTTCAGAGAGGAGAAAAAAAATTGAAGACATCAACAAAATACTATATAAAAATAGATTTGAGCGCGCTCGGTCGAGTTGCTATCCGCTCATGTCAATCAGGGTCTCAAAGTCTTTCAAGGGCATCTCAGTTTGTATTCTTTGAGTTTCAATATAGTTCCATAATCATTAAATTGTTTTAGATATCTGTAATGTATCCATTAAATTTTATTTGACGAAAATGTTGGCTTACGCCCTTGGTATTCATTGTTTAAAAATTATAATTAGTGGGAATAAGTTAAGGTATCGATCAGGCACATTGACGACGTACAATGATGACTACTAAGTTTCGTCGAAAATAAATTTCCCGATTAATAGATAAGTCTTTAAAATTTAAGATCCGTGTTGGCGACCATTTACAGACAAAGCGTTGCTAACAGATCATAGAGAACACATCGCAAATTGATTCAGGAGTAACTCGTATGGTCCAATAATTCAAATGAGGCGAATAAAGATGTTTTGCTAGCCGCAATCTTTACAACTGCCGAATTTGGAACGAATCTGGAGAGCTAGAGAGCACGCTCTTTTCAAAGTTGGCGTGGTAGTTTAAAAATATGGGGGTCTTAAAGTTTTCGGGTATTTGTTTTCGTAACATTCGTCTCCGCCAAAAAAAAAAAATATATATATATATATATGTATATATATAATGAACCTGTTATAAGGAAAAACTACCAAATCTTTCGAAAATTGTGCTCATTAGTGCTTAAAAATCAAATACGGCCACCGCCATCTTGAATATTGATTGGCAACTTAGTTGCCTTCCTTTGGCGTAACAAAGGCTTATTGTTCCTTTTTCAGAACTACGCTAAAAAGGTGTCTCTGATTCTTTACTGATTATTCGATAACCAGAGCAGCTGCTGACTGTGAACCTCCCTTTGTGTTCGACCGTAAACGGCCAGGTTTATCAGACGATGTTCGAAACGACAGCGTCAATATACGCCCATGACTATTTTAGAAGAGTTGCCTATTGTTGAGTGACTCACTTAAATCTCTAACCTCGATGAGGAGTGAATTCTCTTTTACCTGGTGGTAATAAAATTAAGTGGTTTCTCGAGTAATTCTCCTTGTGAAAGTGGCCGATGGTTGCATTATTTGGGCAATTTTGTCTCCATAATGAGCTACATGAAATGTGACCAAAAATTTCCCTAAATGCCACTTTTCACAAGTGGACACCATTATTTATCACATGAGGTTCAAGGTGTATGTCTGTCGAGATAGGCAAGGTTGGTCAACAATAGATAACTATAGTTAAATCTCCGACCTGCGGGTCTTTAAATCATTTAATTATTGTGGTCCAATTCCTCTTCGCTCGTCCGTCAACGATGTCTATGTCATCGTCGTCGGCAAATTCGTCCTTCACTTCGTGATATCTACCACCTCTCCTTCCTCTCCTCTGTCTCTGTCTTTTCAAAACCCACCTCAACCCACCCATTCCTTATTTCCTTTTCCAATTTTTCCCCTCCTTCTCTTGCTCTATCTCTGTAATTCAACAGCCTTACGTCCGCTACATTCTACTGAGTTGCGAGTCAAGAGATAATCTTAACATGAAGCAAACACAGCAGATAAATGCATCATTATGATAGATCATTTTAAGGGATTTTATTGTTTATAGTTCTCATCATAGACCTTTACAATGGCTTTATACAAATTAAGGAAAATGATAAATAAATATTTGTCGCTTGGACGGCTATTCCTTTCAGATGCAAGATGCACGGAAAGCCAGCCGTGACAGTCGTCGAAGCAGAAAACAGGAACGGTGTTCCAAATGTTCTCTACACGGACTCACTCAACAAACACACGAACAACTGAAGTATCGTTAAAACTCTGCAATAACACAGCATGATATGATTACTGAATAACTTTTCATCCGAAAAAGGGATCCCGCGGAAGCATACCCTCTTTCTAACCTATATCAATGTGTCCCAAATATGCAGGGCAGGGAGTGTATCCTGGGGTACATGTTACTCCCCCCCCCACTTTGAAGCTGATCTTGCTTACGCCCTTGGCATTCAGTGTTTCTAAACATAACGGGAAGTCGCGGCTCACCAAGTCTCTATAGAAAATTGGCTGCCAATAAACTGCCAATGAGGGAGGATCAAATGAAAATCACAGAGCCTTAGCTTTGGAGGATCAGGTAATTTGTATCGTGACATAACAAAAATCCTCCAAGCTCCCGACCTCCTTGAGATAATCATGACCATTGCACTTAAATTCGTCAAACATTTTGCTACGATGAAATCTGCCAAATGGCTTCCTCTTTCTAAATTGAATTTCGTCCAATTTCCGGTACACAATAGAGAACATTGGACAAAACCTTGATTTTAGTATGTATCTAAAAAGGACGAGGATTTTACGAGGAATTCATGATTGGCTCTAGAGAAGGTATTATTGTAGGTAAATTAGAACGGGGTGTCCCGAATATTTATTTGGGGGGTTATAGTTCCTTTTAATAAAATAACCTCGTAATTGAGGTTTGCTCATTAAATCCTCAGAGCAGTTTTTTTAGCGGAATTAGCTAAATACGAATAACAATCCTAAACGTTTAGGGAAATTTGATTACAGATGTTCTAACAAGAAAGAAGATTGACACAAAAACACACTCACGGCTAAGCATCACTTTTTGGATTTATCGTCGGTATCTTAGCAACTGTGGCGGTGTTGTTCATAACCAAAAATGCCTACCTGGTATGGCACATACACAAGAACAAAAATGAAAGCCATGTTAGAAGCAGCCTTTGCCCTTATTGCTTCAGTCGGAGGTTATTTGCCAAAAGATAATGCAGTTTATCATGACATAAATCGTTAGTGAAGCTGTACATGTCCAAGATGTTTATGGGCAAGAAAACTGGGCCGAGTTCATGAAAACTTCGAAGTGGTCTTCCGCGGTTTGAATTGCTTCAATTGGGTTTTCTCTTTTTGTTGTTGCTGATGTTGTTATCTCTTTGTTTTTATTATTAATTTCTAGTTCTCACCAAAAATTTCCAACGATTTCCTTGTTATAATTTGTTAAAACAACTATCGACAAAAGACAAAATTTCTCACCATATTCTCAACCATGTTAACCATGCACCTTTGTTATTCTAAAGCTTTTCTCACATATCGCTTTCTGCAAGCTACTGATCTAAAAGCTCTGAAACTCTTTACCATCCTTTATGCGGAATTGGAAGCTTTATAAATTGAGTTCGCTTCTTCAAAGGGTTCACGTGAACTTTGTCTTGATTTCAAAAGTTATCGTTTTGATACTTAAGAAAACAAACCCAGATATATCTAATTCGGCGAACTTTGCGATAACTTTTAATCAGAGGTTTGTACTGAAACGGAAGTAAACAGAGTACAATTTGTGATAAAACAAAGTAAGAATATAGAATTCTAATAAAAATAAGGGATTAATTTACAATATTGTGTGTACTGAGGAATCATCGTAACCTTTATTCATTCCCAGTATCTTTTATTTTCACTGGTGATAATTTAGGAAGGTACACGTATCAATCGTAATGAATGTCTATCCCGGCTCTTTTGTCGAGTCCCAACGTGGAAACAGTGTACAATGATACAATTATCATATTGTTTTCATTTTGTCTGTTGTTCTCGTCGTTGTTATTGTTTCTGCTGCTTTTTTTTTCTCTTGTTATTGTAACCGTTTTACATATTCACAGCAACAGTGATATGCTTGTTCACTAACATTGACCTCTGTTATTTTGTTAAACAAATACGGATTCAGGGGGACCTCCAGGGAAATACCAGCAGGGAAACACAAGAGAGTCCTTTAGCAAAATTTGAAAATCCTCAGAAGTTGCACCGAAATGCACCATAAATGTAGGTTGTGATTCTAATGGATTTTAACCGTAGAAATCATTAATGATTCAGCTTTCTCGAGTTCCACCTGAAACAAGAACATTTGCGTGGATATCAACGCAATCGGACCGCAGTGAGGTGCCTCCTGAGTTCGTGCCTTCACCTCAGCGGAAACCTGCGTACATGCGTCACTGGACAAGCCTTCATTGCCGAAATTTTAGATGTGCTTCAACGCTGGCTCTTGAAATACGTTTTCCACTTCAAACTAACTGATGCATGAACTTACACATTCCGGGTTTTTGAGGGTTTTCTCTGGCCATTAAGACCGTTACGTACAACTTGTGCGAATAAGCAGGTGTCTCTGTTGGTGTGGTCGTTCATAGTATTATTTTTGGTTACTTCTTTGTATGGACTAATTCATTGCAGAAATCGTGACCATGTTAGCTTTCCCTTAGGCAATGATAGTGTGTCAGTTCAGCTCGAAAAGACTGGAAGAATTGGGGCGCCTGGGTCGTCGAGGCAGCCGTTCTAACTTTGAGCATGCTTCAGTTTTCACGTGCCTCACGAAAAGAGTTTAGATCGGAGTTTTTTAAGATATTTGTTCAAATAATTTGGATGAGCTCTACTACGGATAAAAATTAAATCAAAACTGCTCAACAAATCATTTATCACGTCCTCTTCCAACCTGCCATGAATGACATGATTATTACACATCGCATGACATGACTATCAATCATAATTTTTTAATGAAAACATTAAAGCCAAACCGTTCTAATTAACTAATTCAAAACACAGTGGGGAGCAAGAAAGCATGCAGAGAACTGCTTAAGTTTATTTATAAGATCAATTTTCCCTTTCCCCTCGATTGCCTAAGAATAAAAACGAGCGCCAAACGTTTCTAAGATGTAGGATGTTTTAATACGAGCAATATGAGTTGCCTGTGGCTTTTTAGGAAAACAAATGTTTCGTTATTTGGGTTGTAACATGAGTTTGTCATTCTCATTATGATAAGTTTTGGCAGCCCCCTGGCCTTGCAAAGATGTTTTAACAACCAAAACTTCCATTTGCTGAGTTAATTTTCTAATTTAGAATATTCTTGCAAATGTTAATGGATACTTTCTCGTATTGGCCTATTTTTACAGTCACATAGTAAACAAGGGTAATAAACTTCGGTCTTCTCATTTAGACTAACTTTTTTCGAACAAACCTTCATTGATTTGAGTATTCCTTTGTCACTTCAGTGAGTAATAGAAACCATCCGATACATTCCGTGGTCTTCGTGGGCAATAATGTAATGTTTTTACGGCAGGGGGCACAAAAATCATAAATAAAATTGTTTAGCTTAATGAACACCAAATGAAACAACTCGATATACAAATGATTTGGCTTAAAAAGGTCATCTTAAGATCGCCAGCAGGCACTTGTACTCGCTAATCTTGAACATATGTTACTCTAATACCTAACCAAACAACAAAATTTCCTCTTCGGCTTAAGATGTTCGGGAACATGAATTGCAAAGTTAATATAAGTTGGCGAAATTTGTTTTAGCAACAATTCTTAGCACACAGCTAGGGGAGGGTACGGACAAAACGGTACTTACTAAGGGTGGGAAGTGGGTTTGTCCTAAATCAGCACTCCACTTTTCAACGCCTATCATGCGTACGAATAAATGAGAGGTCAGTTCCGTTTCGAGTGTCGGTGTTCCCAAGAGCATTTAAGAATTAGAGGGGTTAAGATATAGCCATAAAGCCTTTACCAGCGTCTGATCCTTGTGAGGGAAAGTTATAAGATTGGAATTTCACATTGCTGTTTTGCGAGGCGAGAGGACTTGTACCCGCGAAAGTGTTAATACTGTGTGGGACTCAATCTGTCAACAGCTGTACACTCAGTATTCTCACCATATTGGTTTGCCGTGGGCTAAAATGACAGTCTGATATTCGTCGATGAAAACATTTGTTATTTGTGGCTGAAGGATTAAGGAGAACCAAAGCGTTTCCGGTGCGTTTAAAGACTTCGCTGGAGAGGAAGCTGTGAAATATTCTTCTCTCCAACTGTGGTGAACGGAACTGAGGGAAAAACCACAGCAAGAAAACTCGCCTCACTTCACATGACTTGCGTCGTTTAACGAGAACCTACACGATGCCGCGACGAACGTATTCCTTCTTATTACTTTTAGCTCAGATCGTCGCTCTTTTCGATGTTTTGAAGGGTGCTGTTTATCCATCGATTCACTGGTCTCCGCAAAATCCTCTGTAAGTCAAACATTTTCTTTACTCATTTGTGTGTAATGATTTAATAAGATTAAGCACGCAGAATCATTGGCTCTTCTTGAATATCACTCGCTGCCTTGTGGAGTTTCATGTCCTTGCGCCATGTCCGCGTTTCATTTTCGTGTTTCTGTGATTACATTTTGACGGTTTGAGCCTCTGACACTAGTTGATTGCACTCCCTATAGAAATAGCTCAATTTTCTATTGTCTTGTTCCATAATTACCTGTTTTGTGCGGTGCTTTTATGCTGTTCGATCGTAGGACAATCAACGTTATCAGATCGATTGCGTTCGAGGCAACTACTTCGTAAATTTATTGGCGGTTTCCCTTATCTTCATATGTGTCGAAAGTTGCTGATAACACAATGGGGAAACTTGAAACTAGCGCTATCGCGATTGTATTTCTTCAGCGTGAATTGGGAATGTCTCATCTTTGTTTTACTTGCGAATGGACATGATTCACACTGCATTTGTTTAGTATTTTTGTTGAAATAATAATTTAGCATTGCGAGAATCCGCTCCTACATGGTTTTATCTCAGATTGCCAAACAGAGCTGTCGTAAATCTTTATTGTTATTTCAATCCCTAGCTATCCTTGTTAGCTTTTGTTTGGTTTCGCTCATGTCGCGCGTTGTTTACATTAGCCTTGCGTTCGGTTTTGCGTCCGCGGTGCAATATGTGCTTTGTCAAAATAGAGTACACGAAACTTAACGCATGATATAGTTTACTACTCTTTTTAGACAAGCATAATAAAAGTCTGACACGTTGTTAATCAATATAAGACCGATGACCTTTCCAAGTTCATGGAACAGCGCTAACCCAGTGTGTTCAAGACGAGAGCAAGAAGAAGATTTAATAAATTTGGCATTCCTAAATAATGGATGTGTACACAGTTTGTGCTGCACTAGAAATTCTTAATTTGCAAGATATTTTCATTCAGTGGATACCGCATAATAAAAGTCGTGTTTTGGTTATAAACGTATTCAAAAGTCATGGCAGTTTCAAATAAAACAGCTGGGTAAACTAGAATTCAGTTTAACAGTGAGGAAGGCAGGACACAAACGTATCTATTCATGTTCAAACCAAGAATAAACGCTGTTTAAGTTTCACAATACTAAGAACACAAACCGGAAACTCTATTTGCTTATTTCATATCCTTAAATCAATTTTACTTTAGCTGCTTGACATAAATTTCCCTGGTCGGTTTTGGCTGTGTGATTTCAAACAAAGACGGATGACCTATTGAATTGTGCGAGATGACCCAGTGCAAATTAAGTTTAATAAAAATGCGGTCCCTCAGAACAAAAGAAGATATGGCGGTTTAATTTGGCCAACGGTGCGCTCAATACGAAGACGGTTGATTAACTCAGCAGATGCGAGACAAAGGCGAAACAATTTTCACGTTGGACTTTTAGGGATCTTTCTTAGGGGTAATCCTGTTTGCGGAGAAAATTACTTAGTCTGCAAACTCTAGGAATTTCAAATCCCCACATGTTTTTTCAGTTATTCCGTTACTGCAAAGGATAACAACGTTGACTTGTCGACATAACTCGATTATCACACGAAGAAGATCAGATCCACAGCCAAAAATCACATTATAAAACTACAAAATTGCGCTCAACATTAGAGGAGAGATGGCAAGGATTGCCATAACTTTTATTGTAAGCAGATCACCAAGAGAGAACAAGTCGCCATATTGATAGCAGCACTTAATATACTAATACGTACAACTTACATGTATTTCTCCCAAAAAAGGGGACATTTGATAGTTATAGTTATCGAAATTGCCCAAAAAAGAATTTGACATAAAATTAGAACGTGATGAAATGATATATGTTGATGTTAGTAACCTAATATTGTAATTCACCTCAAACCCCAGTCAACATTTGTCAAAATACGCGCGGAGATATAAGCTTGTTTGCTTTTTCCAAGTTCACTCTTGTCAGACCTTTGAGAAAAACATCCTTGAATATGGCGTCATTAGACAGATTTAAGATTTTTTAGGAGTTTTCGAGCTAAATTTGACACAGCGAGTACGTGTGAAAATGCGAATACGATATAATTGTGAACACTCTGAACACCTTATTGGGGTAATCGATCTGAATTTTCTTTTTCTCGTCACTCAACGAAATCCAAACAGTTAGCAACCAGCTGACAAGAAGTACTTCTTAAAAATTTTTCTCCGAAAGAACTGACCTAATTTTAAGGAAACTGAGGAGATAGATGAGAGACAGAGAGACTGAACAATTCAAAATAAACCCCTGTCTAGCACGTCCAAATCACAACCTAAAATGTTTACGATATGAATGTCGGATTGTTCTGTCGAACTAATGTTGTCTGAGCTGACGTCTCGGCCGGAGTTCCGGCAGTCCGACTGTTACGAAATGGATGAACATTTGTCGTTGGTGAGGTCATGAGCAGGTTGTTGTACGGGGCTAAATTACAGAAATATCTTCACGAATGAGATAGTAGATTCGCAGCGTTCGTTTGTTCAATGAAACGACACTCTTTCAGGATAATTTTAACTTAGACCCTCTCGAACTTAGCGCGCAATCTTTTTAATCTCGCGTGTACTTTGCGCATCCCTATTAAAGGATTACAAATAAAGGTTCTTTGAAAGGGATAGTGTAGGTCATGTATCCGATATAATTCAAGTTTTACGTCTAAGACAACTTTCCAGTGTAAGATACGTGATGGACAGTTGGAAGGTTTCCTACGCAATAGAGAATGTCTCTTTTTCCACTGGAGAAAAAGGTTCTTGATTTTTATGTACTAAACTTTGAACGCTAATGTTTCTCAAAGTTTTTTTTTTCCTTTTTTTTTTCACTCATTTAACCCACAAACAAAATATAGTAAAGTTTCCTTTAATGATCGCTGGGTGGAGTGATATTATCGACATGAGCACTGCACATCCATATCTGTGGAAAGCTGAACCTTGTTGAGGCTTTTAGCCCGAGTAATAACATGCATCTGTTTTTTTTCTTCCTCTAGATTTATCAGTCCTCTTTCATTCCAATATGCATCGTTTTCTTTTCACGGAAATAAGTTGTAGCTCCAAATATCTCGCCAATGGTAGGAAAAAGGGGGCTTCGCTGTTTTCAATTCGTGCAAGTCGAGTGTGCATCGTTTTCCTGTCACTCATGAATTAAAACATGTCACATTTTAAGTTAGAAACTTGAATACGTTCTTGAAAGCGAATGACCTTACCCTTTCGGAGAGCCATAAAGGAGCAAGAGATAAAATCACATGATAATTATGTGTTTTGGAAGATATCTGTCAAGACAGGATTAACGAGGAATACAGACTATTTTCGGCTGAAGGGATCTGATTTCGCGCATATGGTTTCAATTTGTCGGAGAATTTCACAAATTTGTAACCCCTCGGGTTGGAGCGAAGATTCCAGGGATGACCTTAAACTACAGTAATTTCTATTTATGCATCCATTCCGAGTGATTTTTTTCCTTAAAAAAAGGCATTCTCCGCAATGATTAAAAAAGCAGAAAGATACCGATATAACAAGTTTGGCCATGTTCCTCTTTCGATCATAAGTGTTTATGCGGTGGATTTCACTTAAGATTTCTCGCACAATTTAGCCCCACTTCAAAGGTAGCAAAGTAGCCAAAAGACATTCAATATCAGTTGTTTTTCCTTTTCGGCAAAATATTCCCAACCTTATTTGTCAAGAAACATCAATATATTTACGAAGATAAAATGTTTTCGCGTCATATCTACAGGTGTGACTATATAAGTACGGCGGCGGATTTGGTCACGCATATAGTCACAATCTTGATTTTCTTTCGATCCGAGCTAAACAATATCGCTGGCGGTCTCTTTCTCTCCATATTACTAGTTTTGAATGTTTCAACTTAACGTTCTCTTAAAAGTTAAACAAATTCCGAGGTCTGTCTCGTTTAGACCACCAGCGCCTATGTTTACACAGTTTTCAGTCTAGCAGGATGTTTTTGCGGCCAATTTGGAAAACATTGTCGGTGTATTATTTGCGAATATAAGATTAAAAAAAATATTATAATTGAATGAATGTAATCAATTCAATCTCAGTTTCCTATATTTGTTTTGGTTTCTTCAGTTATGTCTGATTTTGGTGGCATTGCGGTTTTCATTGCTAGGGGTACGGATAAATTTCGGTCTTCAAACCTTATAAGATACCTGCCCGTGAGGAAGGCTGTTTTACTGGTCCAGAAGAAATTTCCAGACCTCGCAGGTTCTCCTAGATGTTAATTACATCAATTGATTTTCTCGCGTGATTTTCATGGAAAGAAGTAATTAGTTATCATGGTTATCTCATATCACGCCCATAAAAGGGGTTTCGGGAAAGCATAGGAAAACTTTTAGGATTTGTTCTGGTTTGGTGTTTTTTCTCACGTGTAAACAAAAAAAAACCGACAATAATAACGCGCCTTGTCGGAAAATTGGATCCTGCCCCCTTAAAACCACATCTGTTTTTCCATCAAAATCCTCGATGGGGCCTAATTAATTTGCAGAATACGAAATATTTTATGTTTTTGGAATAGCAGACAAATTAGTCTTTCTTTGCTCTCCCGCAAAGGGTTTTCAACGCCAGCGAGTAATTGAGTTAAGTGGCACAGGCATATGGCATATACGTTACACTTCTGTCATTCATGCGCATATCACAATATTATTGTGAAAGACTCGACATGCCCCCTCATTGGTCGGAAATTATGTTCAAGAAAAGGAAAGAAAGCGTGTGAAAAACAAATGGCTCATTAAACTCTCCCTACAGCAAATGCCTTGAACTTTTCGGCGCACTTTATAAATTTTGATTTGTAACCATTTCGTAACGTAAAAGTGGAAGCATGTTTGACGCATTTAATAAGTTGTTAGCGTCATAATACGTACAGTAAAGGATAGAGAGAGCGCAACAAACAAATGGTTTCTCAATTCCCCCATCATTCCACTCTACAGTCCCTTTCAATAAGCACTTCAAAAAATTACAAAATTTCAGAGTGTACTCTTTTTAATAAGATCGTCCGACCTCATTTCCTCCGCTCACCCATGAGTTACACCAGTTTACCTTGAGAAGAAAAATTTTTGTTCTCCAATTTGTCGTAACCTATAAAGCACTCTATATTTCGGGCCCTCATATAGAGACATCGTCCGTCCGCCTTTTTAATACGTAGAGAACAAAACATACTATACAAAACTTATATTAGGGAATAGAACTTAATTATGTTCCTCACCAATTTCTTGACGTAGTTTTCTTGTCTCAATAATTTCTAAGTAGTTTTTTTCGCATTAGACTAATTTATACTTTCAAACCAAAACCACAGTTTTCGAATTTGATCCACTTTTTTTAAACGTACGTGGCTCTTAGAGGTTCTAGGAACTGCTTTCTTTCTGTTTGCATTTTCTTTTTGTCGTTGCCTGAAGAACTGATGTATGTGCGTGTTGTCAGTTGTTTATTTTTCTGATCATTCTCCTCAAGGGTTCTTGAATATAAAGCTCATTTCCGTTGATTTTCTTATTTTGCCAATATTGTCTAGTCATTTGGATAGCTCATAAGTATGAGCACCACCTTGATAAAGTTTCTTGCATTTCATTATAATTCTAATTGTTTAAACATTTTTGTTTAACCCTCTTTTAGGTTTGGCAATGGTGACAGCGTTCTCAATGTCCTTCCGATGTCCAAGCTTCACATCGTTTGTCCAAATCCGTCCACAATCTTGAAAATGGTTCGAGACAATACGCCCAAAGACAAACTTTATGAAAATGTTTGGATTGTGTCACGCGACAATTATGACAGCTGTAGTACAGACTCTTCTAAGGGGAGTAGGCTTCTTCAACGATGTACCACCCCCCTGGCGCTGAAGTATTACACTCTGGTGTTTCAGAGGTTCAGCGCTGTGTCAAGCCAGGTGTTCAATCCAGGCCGAGAATATTATCTTATAGGTATGTTTTCCATCGAATAACACAATTTTTAGGTACTTTTTTCACGCCTCAGTCAGTGGAGGTTAGGGTTAGCGTTAGGGTTAGTGTAAGGGTTTCTTGAGTTAGACTAGCAGCCCTTCCAGGCAGAATTGCATTACTCTTTATTGCATTATTATGCGGAAATCGGAAAAAAGCTTCGATGGAATGGAAAAGTTCATAGCAATATTAACTGCTACAATACTCTGTAGTTTCGTGATTTACCTTTATTCTACGAAATCAAACTCCTGGCAGTGGAAGACTTTTAACACCGGTAAAAAAACCAATAATTTTTTCAAAATGCCTTTTTTGTTTTGTTTTTTACTTTAAATCATCGCTGAAGACATTTGCAATGTTATGCTGTTCACATTTCAGCGACTTCAGATGGCACGCAAGGTTCAATAGACAGTCGATCAGGAGGAAACTGTAAACACAACAAAATGAAACTACGGATATATGTTTGTAAAAACACTAAAGGTGAGAACCTGTAGTTAGTGAAAAGTACGGTAGAATAAGAGACAGACCAGTGGCGTATGTGGGCAAGCCTCAGTAATGTTTTAAATGACCTAAAACTTTATTTTCAACATGCTGATACGTTCATGCAGAAATTTTCTTTTTCCTTAAAACGCAACGTTCCTGGCCAATATGTTTTCACCTTTCAGAATGTGATATTTGATTTGATGAAAAGATATATGCTAATTTGGATATCGTTTATTAAACGTCTGACGAAGTTTAAAGTGGAACAATAGAACGGGGAGTTGCGTTTCTGACATGAAGGGTGACGAGATTCTTAAAAATTGTAGCGTCCGAAGATGACTTTTGCTGTGATAGCCGAAATTTCTAGACCTTTTTTTACTGGTAGTTTACCAAGTTTGTATGGTGTCCATCGCACCAGCTATACGTTACTAATGTTGTTATCGTTTTTCTTTTTTTTCTTTCTTAAGATCCCCGATGCAACCGAAAACCTACAACCACTGCTACTAAAGCTCCAACGACTTCAACTACAACTTTAAAATCTACCATTCCATCTACGACTACAAGCTCCACAACCACTTTTCAAACTACTAATTCAACCACTACGAATGCACCCACTGAGAAGGTCACGTTGTCAACAAGAACAACAAGCACCAGCGAATCGTCCACAAGAACAAAAGCTGCTGAAGAACTGGCCACGACTACAGACGCAGATGTAGTTGGTCGCCCAGTGAATGCTGAATTGAGCAGTCCTATAAAACCAGGTAAAAGACAGGGCTCTCCAATAAGTGCTTCATTGCCAAGCTTCGTCGCCAGAAATATAACCTTCCGATTACTGGTGCGGATGTCCCAGTATCTAAACTGTAATGAACTTCCTTCAGACTGTTGCCATGATGCAATTATACCCCAAAAAATTGAGAGGATCCGTTCAGTTCAAATGGTTAGACGTTTTGTCGAGATTAAAATTCCCCCAACTAGTCGCATATCTGGCTCTCTTAATGACAAATCTTAGCACTCTTCGTACGGTTTCACACCTATTCCGCATCTACTTTCGTATACACGTGAAAGGCACGTGAAAATCATTTGGAAAAAAGAAAAGGGAAAGTATTAATCCTTTCACACAGTGTTCTCACATGCCTTTCAATCAGTTCTTGAGGGCGTACATGTGATAAACTTGCACTCGCGTGAGCACCGCAGAGCGTTGGCAGTGATTTGCGGCTGAACCAAACCCGAATTTTTAAACGGAGGCCTCCCACAGAGTACGTGCATAAACACCATTCACACGTGAGGTCTGACCAATGTTATATTTGTTCAGTTTCAGAACTTAATTGGACGATCATGATTCCTTTAATGGCCTGCCTTCTGCTGTCGATCATGGTGAACATTATTTTGTTTTGCCGTCTGAAAAAACGAAAACAGGGATATGATTTAGAAGAGAGGAAACCTAAAATGATTGAAACAACTTCAGTAAAACACCAGGAGAAGGACAGAATAGAACCACGAGTGGAAAGAACTTGGCTACTATGCAGACGATCGGCAGACGTCACAGACGTGTGAGATATTTAAGTTGTTGAAGAAAAGGTGCAGAAAATGGAGCGAAAATGCCTCGATGTAGGCGATTCAGCCGTAACTGGTGATGATATGATCAGATGTTGTCCAGTTCAAAGATGACAACTAAGACGGGAGGAGTTTCCACCAATCACTGCTTGGCAGCTGGTAGGCAGTAGAAAACGCCAAAATAGAATCAGCTGTTGTGTTCATCTGTCCAGATTAGTTATTGGGTTCTTTGGTATTTCACATCTACGTTATATTCTTGTCTGACTGTTCATCGTGAACTGACCATGGTCGAAACCATGAAAATTGTGAGGTAGTTTTCTTTTCATCTCAGTAGGTGTTTTTTATTTGTTTTAACATTGCTTTCGAAGCCACCCTTCGTTAGCTCTCTTGTGAACTCTTGATTATTATATTCTGTGATAGCTTTATTGCCAATCATTAGAGTTATCTGTAAGGCTTGAGTAACAGCTTCTGACACAAAGACTCCTAGGAGCACTTCGGGAACCATCAACCTCTACCATTAAATTTTGGCCCGAAATGATGGTGTCTAGCCCCTGAACGATATTTAGGATTCAGTAGAGCGCTTCAGTAGCTTTCAGAATTGGTTTTATTTGAAGGAGAAGTTGTTTTACAGTGATAAAAGATAAAAACGCATCTTTTTTTTGGCCACTAAAGAGAAAAGTTGATGGTCACAGTTTCACTAAATTCAACTTCTGTCAGTCATGGCGTATTTGATCGCACTACAACAAAAAATCAACAAAAAATTAAAAAAAAAATTAAGAAGCCACAAAACAGCAATAGAACTAATATACAAAATTTGTTTTTGAAAAAAAGAAAGAAAACACCACCAGCTCTAAACATCCATCGTTTACTTTGTTTGTCGCAATATTAGCCCGCCCTCCTGTAGTGATTGATGATTGTCGAGATGCAGCCATTGTTGCGTCGTAGTGAGGCTGAGTAAGCCTTCCCAGAAGATATGTCACTGCTTTGACCGATAAGCCTCCGCGTTGGTCCTCATTATAAGCACTTCGGTGCGAGTGTTTCCGCCGAAAGTACGCTAGGAACGCGAGCCGACGAAGGGTTTGCCGTGGTCTTGCACTGATAATTAGTGCTAATTAAAAGTAATTTCTCCCCAACTTGTCTTGAATCTTCCCGCGGGCGGAGAAACGCGCTTCCTGCAGCGCTTATAATAAGGGGTTGATCGCAAGCTATTGAACAATGAAATGTCCCAACTGTAGCGTTGGTTATCGCGTTTATCTCCTCTTTTGTGGTTTTTGTTTTGTGGCTCGTTTTATTATTTTTATACACATGATATATATATATATATATATATATGTATATATATATAACAGATATTTGCCAATTATGATGGTGTAAATAGTTTGTATTTAATGAAGAATATTTTGAAGAAAGACATTTGAATGACATGTAAAAAGACTTAAGCACATGCCAACCGGAAATAAAGTCGAGTTAAAATTTTATTCTGGCTGTAATGCAGAATCAAATCGTTCTTTTTATACACACGTTAAATCCATTTACGTGTTAATATAATTATCATTACTTTGGTAGAGATATTTAGGATGTTATTTCGCTGAAGATTATTTCTGTCTTGTGTTGCGTGTCACACTCCGTAAGTGAACGTATCTTAGTTTCTCACCCCTTGCTTTTTGTAACCCTGATTTTAGTTAAATTTTTATTCGAAAGTCGTTATCTTTCAAAAGGTCCATCTTTTATTTAACAAATAAAGAAGGCTGGACTGTGTTCTATTCTGTTGTAAAGCACGCTGGAAGCGGCTAGAGCACGGAAGAAGAGTAGTCTCCCTGCGAGCGAAGAAACACTCGTGCGGCAGCGCTGATAAGGAGCAACTGTTACAAGTTACATCAGATAAGTGCCTAGATTTTTTCTGAGCAAATGCAGTCTACGTTAATCTAGTCTACTCACGTGATAGCAATCATTTTTCTTAGCCACTAAAGCGTTGTAATTAATACAGGATACACCGTTTTATTCTTTGCTTTGATTCGCATTACCTATTGCAAGGAAAATTTTCCTCCACAAAGGAAAACAAATTGATTCTGACCTTTTGAGCCTAATCGGCACCTGGTTCAATAAAAATTCCTTTAAGCATGACTATCAGACCTTATACATATACGCACTTATTTGAGATCTCGCGGTTATCTTCCTATATTATTAATCAAATAAAATGAGGTTTTTGCTTCAGCGTCAGGGTGTCGTCATCAGGCTTCTCCATCGTTGACCTCTGTGATATTTGTATATGTCCTCTGAATTAAATCATTAGAATAAATTAGTCACAAAAAAATTTGAATAATGATAGAAACAACGTATAAGAACTAAATCTAATCGAGAATGGACTTAGGAACAAGCAAAAGAAGGAACGGACGAAAAATAAGGTCATATAGATAGACGGGAAAGGATGACTATGTGTACGAATGGATGGGTGGATAGCTGCAGTTGACGATAAAAGATTTATCAGAAGGACTGATAGGGTGACAGAGGGATTCATGAAAGGGTGAAGGGAAGCAAAGATGAATAAATGGAAGGAGGAAGAAGAGGGCAGATATAATTTTTAGAACAGCGAAAGGAAGGGAAGAAACCTTCTAAATACAACCATTAATTACCTTCACTTCTCGCAAAAAATTCTTCAGCTGTTGAGCGATCTGCGAAAAGGCTGGTCTCATCAAAGGATTTTCTTTCCAACAAGAACTCATGAGTTCATATCTAAAAAATTCAATACAGTATTAGCTAACATTGTCTTGCAACTGATACTCTCAACATCTGAATTGACCATACCAAGCGTTGAAAGGGGTGCAAAGAGGGGATTTTGAACTCATGACAATGATCATCAAAAAGATCACATATTGGCCGAATGTGACATTTGATTTGAAGTACAAATTGTCAAATCACGACTGATTCAATGCATCGTTTTGATTTTCAACGAGAAATATTGAGTGTCAGCGGATCTTGCGAGACTTTGCTCGAAAGGTAAAACGCTTTTCAATTACTTTTAGAAAAATCCGGGAGATAAACGTCCATTTTTTAAAGCCTTCTTGATATTCAATGATTCAACTGAATTTTACTAGCATTATTTAGGACTTTATAGCTTACAGTTCTTCCGAACATCGATCGGGACGAGGCATCCGGTATCCCGAAGCAAGTCGAGTTACTAAGGCAATTGGTGATGTGATGTCAGGGTACGGCAACTCACCTGTTTGGCGGAAATAAGATATGATTTAACGATTTCAGTTTTTAAAGAATACCATTTAAGACAATAAGTATTTCAGCAATAACTTTGTGAATAAATAGAGACTTGCAAAGACTTTATGTGGATGATTTAGGTAGATAAAATTAAGTGCAGCACTGTGACAAATAAGATATAGCACGTATAAAATGTTTGACACGAGCACAACCTATACCTGGAAGCGGTCTTCTCATCTTGTTTAGTTTCGTCTGACTGGCAATAGTCATTTTCAAAATGAAGATACTAGTGTCTATATTGTTAGCTTTACAGAAGAGCCTTGCTAACTTTGGGTTGCTTTACGGATTGGAGCCTCATGACGAGAATATGATTTGTAGTTCATAAGATGTCGTTTAAGTCGCACATAGTAACACATCACACTTACCATAAGTGGTGATTTCCCATAGAACGATACCAAATGACCACCTGCAAATAAGTATCAAGGCCTTAGCCCAAAACAGAATTTCTCCTTACAATATCAATACAATATCAAGCAGGCAAGTGATGTGATTTAAAAGGAGACGGTTTAATTTTTAAAAAAATTACCAATAAAGAGATTATTATAGTTGAGCCCATACCAAATTCTCCGAATAGAAGCTAAAGAATTGTGTGGCAGACAGTAAGGAGAATTAACAATGAGATCTTGGGAATGAAAGGGTTAATAACTTCAGCGAGTAAAGAATTCGAACGATAAGCGCTGAATTGATTAAAGATCGAGTCTCGTTGTATTCTTTTAGTGTTTAATGGATATTTACATCACTCAAAACTTCGTTGAGTCTTTCCTTTTATGTGGACCTTGCCTCTGGTATTAATTTCAATCAGGTAATATGTGCATATGATGCTCGATTTGAAGGAAGGAATTTCTTAAGTCACACTAAGTTCCCATGGTGTGTCCATAAATGCAAATAGGTATAGATACACCATGCATGTACATGTACATGAAGACAAACAAAAAACGTAAAAGAAAGCCTAGATGTAACCATGACAATGCTCCAAGAGATATAATCGAGCGCACGGCAGAAGTTTTTTTTTTCGGAAATCCTTTCAACTAGGCAATACTTTCGACTCGAAGTCAAGAGACAGAAAACTGACAAAGACAAAATGAAACTTACACATCACTCATGGATGTAAAATGCAGATCTCGTAGAGATTCTAACGACGACCATCTCCACGGAACCTTGCCCTGTTGAAAAGATAGATTCATGTGAGCAAGTTACTGTTTGTAGTGCAGGCAATGCCCTTTGAAACTGTGAAGCGGATAACTTATGAAACGGAAGGATGCATTCATTATAGTAAGCGAGTTCTTTTTCGACGTTAAGATATATAATGGTTTGTAATTATAACTGATTTCCAGTAAAAAACCAGAGTAATAGTTAGCGTGCCCATTATTTTAATTGTTATTAATATTATCCTAGGTTCAGACACTATCCCATAATTAATAATGGTAATAAGACCGAATGGAGTCCAATTCGGTCTTTAATTATACGAGTGATTAACAAATCGACGGCCACGAAGCGGGAGTCCGATTTGTTTGTCACGAAACTCCCCAGTTTTTTTGGGTAAAATGGTTGTTTCTATAGTTAATGTAATCAATTCTGTGTTCGGTGGATTTGGCTGGGTAGAATTGGCTGCTTAAACTGTCCGATTACAGGTGTCCAATTACAGCTAACTGTCCGATTACAAATCTACGGAAAAAATTTGTGAAATATAAAGCGCCTTGTGCATCAATCACATTTGAAGAAATTGTAATTGTTATGATTAATTAAGTAAACGTGTCACATAATACACTGTTCATTGAGAGTTTCAATGTAAATTATATCGTTAGAATAAATTCATTTATTCTGCTCGATTGTACCAAGGAAGAGTATCAATTTAAATGCATTTCAGTTTCTTTCATTTTTCTGTTTAGTTGTTGATTTTGATTGAAAAGCGTACTTACGTTGGAGGTTATGGTGTATATACCAGCAGCGGATATGTCCCTGGCTAATCCAAAGTCTCCAACTTTAGCCACCAAGTTGGCATCAACTAAAATATTCCTCGCTGCTAAGTCGCGATGGACAAACTGTGAGAGAAGACAATGTATAATTTTTTTGCTTAGAGACGCTCAAGGATGGAGTGGCCTATACGAAAGTGCGAAAGATCCTCAAGGTGTCCTGAAGAAAATTTACAAACTGGGATTGCCTGCGTTATAAATATTTGCTTAACAGAGGCTCACGAATGATTGGATGGCCTAAACCAAAATGCCAGAGATCGCCAATATGTCTTTAAGCCACTTCAAAACCTCGAACTGCCCGCGTTATATTTAGTGCAGCAAGAGATTATCAACTGTCTCTAATCTCTTGAGAACAGTCATCTCTAATGGAAGGTTGGAAAATTTACCTCTACACCTCTACACACTGCCAGCCGGTCTTACCTTTCTCTCCTCTAAGTGCTGCATTCCCATGGCGATTTGAAATGCAATTGTGACCAGTTGCCGGTCATTCAGCTTACAGCAGACATTATGATAATTGCTCCTTTCCCCTGGCGCCCTTAAAAGATTTTCCAGACTGCCACCATGAATCAATTCAGTGACCACAAGAACGTTTCCTTGAGAGAGTAGAGCAAACACATTAGAGTTGAAAAGAGAAAGAAATTAGACATTATTGGCACCTTGGGTTGATCAAAAGATGATTCGTCGGTAATTTAGGTTTAGTTGGTGCCCAAAAAAAAACAGGAAAAAAATTTCATATGAACTTCCCTGAAATTAGCCCAGAAAAAAATGTTTTCCGATCAAGAAGCACAGATTTTAACAGTTAAGTGTACTCATCTGTCTTTAATCATAAGGTCAGTACATGCACTGTTCTAACTGATCTTACACACGGCTGGAACGTTACCATGTTACTGTCAATCACTAAGAAAACACGCATATTTCTAAGACGGCATTGCATCGTCGAAAACTGACTTACCTTCCTCTATCCTTGTGCCAATCAAAGTGACAATATTAGGATGTTTCCCAGCTTGCTTTAAGGTCCTTATCTCATTAAGCAGGGTTTCTTTGGCAATGGCACTAGGGTCTACAATGACGTAGAGAAAAAAAAAAAACAAGGGCATTTCTTAAATTGCTTCATTTTACGTAGTTCGCTCATCGTATCTGGCTATGGTAACAAAATTACGTATGGAAAAAACTGGCTTGGTTAAGGCTACAGAAAGCGTTCAGAGGAGGCAATAGCAGACTTTATGGGTGTTTTCCACCAAAAGGAAAATGATGAAAAAAATCAAGATGGTGCATAGCTTCGAAAAAGAAAAAATCAGTTTAGAGGTATACCACTGTACTCAGGAATTAACAAATAGACATTTCGATTTCGTGTACCTACCTTTTAGCTTTTTCACAGCTACATCTGTTATGTTTCCGTCTTTCCCACCATAGCGACCTTTGTAGACGATTCCAAACTCGCCTTCTCCGAGTATTTCATCAAACACTTCAAGATTTTCCAAGTTTTCAGATTCTTCCTCGGTCCCTTGAGATATCTCTCCACAATCCCGCTGTTCGTCGACACCTAAGTGTTTATCAGCTGTGAAAATGTGACCACCAGCAATCCCCTCACCCGACTCTAATCTCTCTTGACCTCTTTCTTTTATTCCTTGCACCGAATCATCCTGCTCGCTTCCGTCTGGAGGCAGTCTGTCCCCTACTCCATCCCCCACTAACGGGAGCCTTTCCTCGGGGGTTTCGATGGTTTGGCTATTGGGCGACCGATTGTTTTCAAGGTCCTGTATCCCATTTTTCAACTGTTGGCCTTTTTCCAGATACACCTTTATTGCACGTTTTGGTCCCTGTCATATGATTTAAGAGAATAGGCAATTGTGATATCTATCCAAGATTTATCATCATCATCACTTGTTTGAGTCCCCTTCATAATCATGAATTTAAACTGGACGAACTGAAATCTCTCGCACTCTGATTTACTAGTCGTATGCGATTTAAATAGCGTTTTTTTGATAAAAAAGCAAACAAATTTAGCTGAAATAGACGCACCATCTTTCACAACGATAATCCTCAAATGTGATAATTCTAAGGTATGTAAGTAAGGAATATAGCTTTTTTTCAGATTGAACTGCTTCATAAACCCCCTAAATATGGGTCGCGCAAGCCCTTGCTTGTTTCTGCATGAGGTATTTACAGACCCAAAGTGGAGGAAAGGACAATTTGGAGTAGACCAAGTAGGGACAGAAATGGGCATTTTCCAAAGCCTTGACTCATTTTAAAGGCCGAATTTTGCCAAATAAAGCCAAACTGACGGAAATCACCATGAAAGGGAAAACAGCTCATAATAATAATACCAACAATAATAATGATAATAATCAGTTGAATTTGGGAAGTTTTTCTCGACTCTGCATCTTAACCCCTGAGAAAACTGCATGGTTCTTGGCTGGTCAATCCCAGTATTCGTCTAGACGCCAGCACAAGCAAAGTCGCATGACGGACAGAGGAGATCATTACTCTGTGTGGGGATGTCACGTAACGCATTATTTACCTCCTTATCACGATTTCTACGCCGATTCCACACAAACCCAGTGACTACACAAATAACTACAGCTGCCAAAGTGCATGATACAGCGACTATAGTTGTCTGAGATGCTGAATTTTCTGGCTCTCTTTTCACGTGGGTGAGAGTAGGAGTTGCTGTGGATAAATTATAAAAAATACGTTGTTCTTAAGAACAGCACTTGTAGTTAAGAAGGACCCCTCTCACCCTATTTTTTTCCCTTCCATTTAAAAAAAACCTAACCTTTGTTCAAGACAGCTACTCCTGATCGGCTTCTTCCAATGCTATTATTTGCAATGCATTGATATTTTCCATAGTCTTCCATCTGTACTCTCGTTATAAAAAGCTGGCTGCGATTAGTTGGCCCGTCTGGAATGACACGTGCTCTGAGATTAGACTGTAAAGGGTATGAAGAATTGTCCTTTATCCAGCGGATTGTTGGCCTTGGGAGACCCCTAACAGTGCAGCTTAAGGTAGCATTGGAACCGATCAGGACACTTTGGTTCTTTGGACCCTCAACGATCTCAGGTTTCTGGTCATCTAGCAAATTGAAACAAAATTAAGTAATATGAATGAATGGGACGTTATGAATTGTCTCATTTGTGATCTTTCTTTGGGATGTCGGGGCCCAAGGCTTTTTTGCCGCTCGAATGACCCGGTTTGAAGAGAATTGAACTTAAAGGGGAGTCTTGATGATAGGAAGACTGAGGAGGTACAGTGACCGGGTGAAACTGAAGTGACAACTTAAAAAATTTGTATAAACATTTCACAGAAAACTGCTCATTTTCTAGCTCTTGATACTCTAGTGACACTCCGAGAGTTTTTACAATCTACGGAAATGTACACCAAGAGGCAATCATCCAAAAGCCGAGCTTTTCTCGCTTACTTGGTGTTGGGGAAATTTCAACTGGGAGACTGAGTTGACATGCAACGGGAAGACTTCGTGGGTTTTCAACTTTGAAGTGATAGGGAGGACAAACATACACTAATGCATATTCATGTCTAACCTGAATCTTTCAAGGTTAAGAAAGCTGGCAGCGACAAATTTTTACCAGCACTGTTTTTGGCCTCACATTGATATTTGCCAAAATCTTCTTTCTTCGCTCCTGTAATAAACAGCTGGCTTTGCATGGTTTTGTGGTTTTTTGATGAACTTGAATTGTTATAACTTGAACTGAATGTCACCCTTGAGTTGGTTTGTAAGGCAGATGAATCACTGTTTTTGATCCATGAGATGCTTGGCTTAAGAAGACCTGTGGCGGTGCAGTTGAAAGTTACATTGGCCCCTATATCAATGCTTTGGTTCCGAGGAACTTCTACTAACTCTGGCGCAAGACCTGTAGGGAAAAAATATATTGTAATAAATATCCCCTTTTATTACTGAGATAATCTGGTATGAAGTTAATTTCATAAGCAAATGACGGCAGAACGAGAGGATATTTTCACTATCATACTCTTATGCCACACAAGAAGATGAACTGCTAATACAGGTACCCAGAAGGAACTATTTCAGGCCAACTCTCCCTTGCCGGGGTATGAACCTCTTCCCTTTTTCATTTTAATTATCATCATTCCTTTTTTTTTTTTTTCACAAAATAATTCTTTTCTCATCTTCCAAGGAATATGTAGGTTTTTTTTCTTCTACAGCATCACCGGCACCGTATTTAGCGACTACCCTGTGTTAAGCAGTCGATTGCATTAGTGTTTGTCGGTTGCCAAAGTCTCCAGTTTGTCTCCTCTTAATCACCATAATTTTTACCGGTAATACGCGGTTACCTCTACTTAGCGGTCGTAGTCAACCTTTACAAAGTCCCAACGGCCTCTTTGTATTGCCCTCCACCTGTTTTTAACAGCCACCTATAGCCCAACCACTCGAATGAAAATAAGTATGATCCTTCAAATAATTTTTTTTATTTATGCTTCTCTCCCAAAATCGAAGATAATAGTATCTTTGATCGAGATTCTGTACATAAAGTGGTCAATTTTAATAGTGGCGTTGTGTTTGTTTCAATTTTGTTTTTGTTTTTTTGGTTTTTTATCTTTTTTTTTTAATAATACTCCTTATCCGTGGAGCCTGTATTAAGAGGTCAACCTAAATTAAGCGGTCACCACCGTTCCCGGTGAATGGCCGCTTAATACAGGTTCCACTGTACCAAGTAATATGATATGCATTAGGACAGGTCAATCGAATTGCTCCTGATTCAAATTTAATCGTTATCAGCGTGAAGAATTTCGTTCTTTGAACAGTGCATTTCGGGCCTTGTTAGCCAATGACCACAGCGGAATTTTCCTTTTGCAATGAATTATGAATTGGACTTGCCTGTCCATACATTCCAAGGGTTTCTTAGAAGCTGATTATTCGAGGCCCCTTATTCCTGAATTAAACAAATGATGAGTCTACTTTCATATGTTTAAAACTGGATCATTGGATAATGCAATTCAAGAGTTTTCATTGGATTAGCAATTATGGGCTATGGGTCATTTTACCATGTGCAAGCATGAAGACGAATCAAACCGGAAGTGTTTTGGTACATTGTAACGTTCCGTTTGTTCATGCAAAATAAAGTTGGGAAGATTTTTGTATATATGTTTTGAGGCGTTTTCTATAAAACAATTATTCTATTCGCGTTTGTTGGATACGAGATGATTATAGCCAATTCGGCCCTATAAGCCTCTTGGCCATCCATCATCGCTTATCCAACAAGCACGAGTAGAATAATTATTTACTAAGGGTATGATAAGCCTGGTTTGCTTACCTTGAATCACTACTTCAAATGATTTCCTTGTGCAGTGCTTTATGTAACCATTGCCGGCTTGGCAGGTGTAGCGGCCAAATTTGTCAACAGTCAGATTTTTAAGCACTAATGGGCAGCTTAAATGTTTTATTTTTTCTCCTTTTAAAGGCTGTTCGCACTTAGCTACAACTTTGTTACCCTGTAGATCGTACCACTCGATATACTCGACCCATCTATCCATATATCCAATATCTATCGCTCTGGGCTGCGCTGTACAATTCAGGGTAATGGAGGCACCAATGGGTAATGTGCTGTTTTCTGGACGTGAAGAGATGTCCACAACAGGTCTGACTGGGTTGGAGAGATTGAATAATAATAAAAGAAAATGAATAATGCACAATCTCTTTGTATATGAGAAAGATTATCAATAAATCTATCTTACAAATTTAGCAAGTTTAGTTGACAAACTCTTGACCGAACAAGAGTTTTAAAGCAGCTTTTTAATGTTAATATTGAATTTTGAATGCAGCTTTTTAATGTTAATTTTTAATTTTTTATGTTCCACCCGAAGTAGGCCCAAGGCCGAGACGTCGTCTATTTAAACGTTGGATCAGTCAAGAGTTTATCTTCGTCCTTTCTTATCTACACATGCTAAACATTTTGATGAAGATACTTTTGGATCCTCTGACTGAGAGCTGTTTTTTTGGTAGCCATTTTACACTTTCTGTACATACACGCATTCATTTAATGCGCATACAAGAAAAACATAGGCATATACATGCTCTTTGACCAGGACGTTTAAAAGAAGTAAACACTACTTACTCTTAATTTTGGAATTGCATGTTTCACCTCTGACCAATGGGAGATTCCATAAAGCGCTGGTAAGAGTTAATAGTGCCAAACACGTTGACGCTTCTCGAAGACAAAAGTTACCCATCATCATGACACGTTGACAAATTTGTTGTTTGGATGTTTGAAGTGGCCTGCAAATGGGATTGTTTATTCAAAATTAAATAAGTTGTTTTCTAGATTTTACACAAAACTTCCGCTAAAATGTATAGGATTTCATTGTTTTCTTTCACTTATCCGCATACTCTCGTTTTAACCCGAATACATGATTCATAAAAAAATATATTTTTCACCGAATACATGTAGTTTTAATTTTGTCTCTTAACTACTCAGTAACTAAATGGCATCTTTTGTTTTGCTACTTTTTCGAAATTGCCAATAGAGACAAACAAAATCTAAAATGAACAGCACTAAAATTGCTCGTAAATTTACCAAAAAAAATTAGACCTTACTTTTTCGTTGGCAAGGAAATGCAATCTACTTCAAAAAGAAAATGAATTTTCCTTGTTATAAAGACCTCCTGCGATGAGAAAGCGAAGTTACTATACATCAGTGCCTATCATTAAAAAATGGATTGTTCAGCTTAACAAGAACTTTGTATCAATGTATCGCCGATACATTGATACAAAGGGTGAAACTACTTTTGGGGTTGTGAACTTAAATAAGTAAGGCAGCCTACCAAAGGAAACCATGTACTCTTATAATGAACGAAAATAACGAACAATCACACCAGGATTAATTTGAAAAAAATTCAAAATTTCTTGTAGTTTAACATTTACAGATCTAAAACAGTACTTTCTCAAGAATCCTTCGTAACATTTTATAATTTTACAGCGACATCCTGCTGCGTTTCTTTTCGATTCGAATAATACGATTACTATTGTCATCACAATAATTTATATTTTTGTCATTATCATTATCAGTGTTGTTCTTATTGATAATTTTTCTTCTAATTCTTATTCACTGTTTGCTTTGGCATCATATTAACCGCTTTTGTTTAATGACAAAGTGTATAGCTCACATGTAGCATATGTTTAAGATAGGTGAGTTCGGTCATATTTTATGTTATTTTCTCCGCCCAAGAAGGACTATATCTGAAGGAAGAGACATCTAGGTTAGGTTAATCGGCTCATGGAAAATGTAACTTCACTGGCCAAAATACACCTGTTAACAGAGAGATATCCGGCCGCGAAACTGGTCCTGAAAGCGGACAAGTGCCTAAGAACTCTTGTTTTTAGAAGATCGAGTTGACACTGAATAGATGCGATTGTCATCGAGATGCGACCAACAGACAATGTGCATTTGTAAACTAACTTTAGAGAACGAAAATGATTCACTTGACGATGGCGCAGTATACAATTGAACATTCGTGGTAGTAACATCACCAAATGCAAATTGGATAAAGTTTAGACAATGTCTTCGTTTTAGCTCGATTAAGTATAATCGCTTCGTTTCTAAGCAGCATTTTAATACAAGTTGCAGTTCTCTCCGAGTTTGCTTATCACTGTGATTATTATTCATTGCCGGACTTGCCAACCAAGCGTTTTCCTGAACGGGTGTTTCAACTTTCTTTGTGTGAAATTTTGTTTCTTTTAAGGCTTTTGTCTATACATCCAAAGCTTAAGAACGAAATCGCCAAATGTGAGGTCCAAACAGGCGAACGGCAGCATCAAAATTATGCAAGCAGCTTTAATATTTCATATTAACGTTGGATTGATTATATCACGATACGAGGCAAAAGTCACGATTGACGAAATTTATGCATCGCGGAGGGAGTTTGTAGAAGATTGACCGCATGTTTATTTATTAACGGACGAATAAGTATTTAACTTGTTTAGTTCAATGAGCTCTACGTGCACTAAAGAAATATAAAAAAGGATTGCAATAATAATATACGATTTGCCTCGTTGAAAAATGTCAGAGGAAATGTTTTTAATGGAGTGTCAAACGTGAGAATATCGGCCAGAACTGAGACCTAAAGATTCACTGTCCATTCTTTAGGATCGTGTTGAAGCAGATGCTTACGGAACTTTTAGACCGTGGACGGAAGTTGTATTCCGTAGACGGAAGTTGCATTGTGTACCGTGAACGGAAGCATGCTACTCCTCCCCACTTAGTGAAAGTCAAAAGCACGTAGCGGGTTCATTCCAACACACGCAGTGACCACGAGGAAGAGCATCAGAGGCAGCCAGACTGGTAAACCGCGCATTTGCGTTCGTCTTCAGTTGGTATAAAGTAATCATTGCTCTAAGATTGTGCTTTTCTACGGGAGCTCTTCAACATACAGTCCACATTTGTGATACAAAATGAGCTTGAATGAGCTAAAAATGAGATTAGCTAGTGGCCTTTTTATAATCAATCATGGCGGCCAAGATAGTCTCACTAAAATGGTTTTTTCGAGCTCCAATATTTCGGTCTAGGCTTGAGGCTCGCTCGAAAAAAAAACAGCAATACCAATCCGGTCAGTACCAAATGCAGACTGCAGATCGGGTACAAAATGCAGACTAGGTACAAAATGCAGACTGCAGGCTGGGTACAAATTGCAGACTGAGAATTTATACTAATTTTTGTCTGATACGTGATAACATGTCATCTTACAACTTACTGAGGGTCACGCAATTGCTTTTCCGCCATCATCTTTCACAATTATTTGCACTAATGTGGAATATTCCTTGCCCGTTTTGTCGTGATATTGCGTTACACGGTCACGCCACTGGGCCGATGAACATCTTTATATTTAGAAGACTTAGGAGACAACGAATACACACGTGGCGGCAGTCGAGTTCGCACAATAAACAACCCTTTTGAGTTCACAGAATCGTGACATGGTGTCAGAAGTGGGATCTGTTCACCCCTAAAGATGACAGAAGCAGCTGAAGCATCCATAGTTGTGCCACCAGCGCCGACTCAAGTTTTTATTCCCCCGTCAAATTTGCCCCCGCCGAAAGCGCTTAATTTTGACGACAATTTAGCCACCGCATGGAAATCGTGGAAAGCAGCGTGGCAGCGCTACGAAATCGCTACTGGTGTATATAAACAAGAGGGCATAGTTCGTGTGTCGACATTACTAAGCATTATAGGCGAGGATGGCGTCAGAGCCCACGACACCTTTATTTGGAACGAAGACGAAAACGCAGACGACATTTCACAAGTCCTGAAGAAGTTCGACGAATTCTGCATTCCTAGGACACAGGTCATATATGAACGCTATAGGTTCAACAACCGAAACCAGGAACCAGGCGAAAACATCTCGACGTATCTTACGGAGCTTCGAACGATCGCAAAAAACTGTGCACACGATACAATCACACCAGATGAAATTTTGTGTGACCGCCTCGTGCTAGGCATACGGGATGATCGCGTCCGCGAGAGACTTCTCCGTTTGAATGATTTATCTCTCCTACAAGCAGTTGACATTATTAAGTCGTCAGAACAGACCCAACAGCAAGTAAAGCTAATGGCTGGAGGAGACACTGCAGTTCATGCGTTACGGAAGGCGGGATCGGCAGAAAAACCTGAAGAAGAACGACAACTTAAGTCACAAGCATTTAGAAGACCGTCTAAAGAATGTGGAAATTGCGGAATGGTGCATGGACGTCATTGTCCCGCGTATGGAAGAACATGTTTTAACTGTGGGAGTATGAATCATTTTGCGAATAAATGTCGCGCTAATCCCCGAGGAGTGAAAAGTAGAGTTTCGGCGGTCCACGAAGCCGTCGACATGGGAAACGACCCCTACTACATTGGTGCTACTACTAGTAAGAGCAAAGGCCAGGAAAAATTGGCAGTGGTCAAACTCCACATTTATGGGCCAGATCCCAAGACAGAAGTCCAGTTTCAAATAGATACTGGGTCGCAGTGCGACATTCTCCCGGCCCAATTATACAAGCAAATCACTGGGGACACCCTCCTTCATCGCCTCAAACCATGCCAAAAGGAAATAGTCTCGTACACAGGGGATCGCCGCAAAATTGCTGGTAAAGCTACCCTGCCTGTGTGGTCCCGTGGACAGCGGAGGTCAATGGAGTTTAACATCTTAGACGGAGACTATCAACCGATTTTATCATTGAACACCAGCCTCAATCTTGGCTTTGTGAGTTTGCATAATTGTGACGTCCTAGCATTACACGTCAAGTGTCCCAAAGCCTCCTTGCTCGAAGAGTATGAGGACGTATTCGACGGATTAGGGGCCCTACCGGGAACATACAAAATAGCCATAGACGAACAGGCGCAACCAGTTGTCCACGCACCGAGGCGAGTGCCAGTAGCCTTGCGTCCATGCATCAAAAACAAGCTGGACGAACTTGTTGATCGTAAAGTTATTATTCCAGTAACAGAACCGACGCAGTGGGTATCCAGCATGTTGGCCATAGTGAAGCCAAACAAAGTACGCATCTGTATTGACCCGAGAGATTTAAATCGTGCCATTCGGCGAGAGCATTACCAGTTGCCGACTATCGATGAAGTGGCCTCCCGCTTAACAGGTGCCAAGAAATTTACTCTTTGTGACGCCAAGGATGGTTTCCACCAAATCCTCTTAGACGATGCTTCTAGTTTCCTGACAACGTTCAATACGCCTTTTGGGCGTTATAGATGGGCCCGCATGCCTTTTGGTATCTCAAGTGCGCCTGAAGTTTGGCCGCGACGCATGCATGAATTCGTAGAAAATTTAGAAGGAGTTGAAGTTATCGCTGACGACTTCCTCATCGCTGGATTTGGCGAAACTGACGCAGAGGTCAACTCGAGCCTTGAAAAGAACGAACGTGCGTTCTTCAAGAAATGCCGGGAGTGGAACCTCAAGCTCAACAAACTCAAGCTGAAAAGATCTCAAACCGAAGTGCGTTTCATGGGCCACCTCTTGACTCCTGATGGTCTAAAGGCAGACCCAGCCAAAGTTGAAGCTATTTTGGATATGCCACCGCCGACTGATGTGAAAGGCCTGAAGAGGTTTTTGGGGATGGTCAATTATCTGGCCAAATTCTTGCCACTCCTGTCCGACATGACAGAACCTTTGCGAAGGCTTGAGGACAAGGACGTCGAGTGGTGTTGGCTTGCACAGCATGAGAAAGCATTTACCACAGTCAAAGAATACTTGGCCAAGGCCCCGGTACTGAAATACTATGATGCTACTGAAGAAGTGACAATCCAATGCGATGCCAGCATAACGGGTCTAGGTGCAGTACTGATGCAAAAGGGTCAGCCCGTTGCCTTTGCCTCGCGAGCTCTGACCGACACCGAAACGCGTTACGCTCAAATCGAGAAAGAGCTCCTCGCCATAGTGTGGTCAACCGACAAGTTCAATCAATACATACTGGGACGCGAAGTTGTACACATCGAGTCTGACCACGAACCACTAAGGGCAGTTTTTACCAAGCCAATACACAACTCACCAAAGAGAATCCAGAGAATGCTGATGGCCCTTCAGAATTACTCCCTGGATGTGCAGTATAAAAAAGGGGAACTTATGTGGGTATCAGATGCACTGAGTCGAGCATACCGCAACACCACCGAAGCCTCCAAGCACGATACAAGTCTGATCTGTACACTTGCCGAGATAGATCATTCAGAAAACCTCTCGATTGCACCATACAGGCTCGCTGAATTCAGAAACGAGATTGCCAGGGACCCAGTGATGCAAAAGCTAATCGGAGCAATCAAGGGTGAATGGCCAGTGTCAAGGAAGTCCTGTACCCCTGAGCTGACGCCTTACTATGACAAACGAAGTTAGCTTATAGAAGACAAGGGACTAGTATTCCTAGGGGAGCGATTGCTGGTACCCCCTTCCCTGAGAAAAGAAATGTTGAAGCAAATTCACCGATCACATATTGGAATCGAAGGGTGTTTACGTCGCGCTAGGGAGGTCCTCTATTGGCCCCTCATGAATTCGGAAGTAAAGGACTTTGTTTCCAAATGCTCAATCTGCCAGTCGTACCAGCCAGATCAGTGCCGCGAGGAATTGCAACCGTATCCGATCCCGTCGCGTCCCTGGTCGATGCTAGGTGCCGATTTTTTTTACCTTGGGCAACAACATTTCTTTGTCCTAGTCGACTACTGGAGTGGGTTCTTTGAAGTCCAGGAGGTTAAGGTGGCCACATCTGCTAGCGTGATAGCTGCGTGTAAAGTACAATTCGCCCGCCATGGGATACCAGACGTGCTTATTACCGACAACGGACCTCAGTTTACGTCATCGGTGTTCAGTGCATTCGTGAGAGAATGGCAGTTTGAACATAGAACTTCGAGCCCCCGTTACCCCCAGTCAAATGGCCGCGCCGAGAATGCCGTGAAGACCTGCAAGAACTTGATGACGAAAGCGAAAGCGGATGGGCAAGACCCGCTGTTAGCCCTTCTTGATTGGCGCAACACCCCAACAGAGGGTCTAGGAACATCACCCGTACAGAGACTGATGGGACGCCGCACACGCACTTTCTTACCAACCCATGAAACGCTCCTGCGGCAGCCATCACACCAGGAAACAGCCACCAAATTAGCTGAGCGCAAGAAAAGACAAGCTCAACAATACAACAAAAAGTTTCGCCCTTTAAAGGCACTAAAGTGTGGACAGGCCATTAGGATGCGGCTTCCCGGAAGGGAGGAATGGAGTCTGGGGACCTGCATGAAAGCCTTGGGGAACAGGTCTTATGAAGTTGAAGTTTGCGGCAGGCGATACCGACGCAACCGTCGGCAACTGCGCCTGACCCCGGAAACAGCACCACCTATGAGTCTGGTAGAACTAACTCCGCCCGAGTCTACCCTCAAACCGGCGCCAAATCTGACAGAGCCAGGACCTCCTCCACCGGAGTTCCACGGCGAGACCAAAACAGAGAGAATGCCACCTGAAAATGAGATGGGAACTGAGCTTGAGCCACAAAGGATTGAAACTCGTCGATCAGAACGCAGACGTCGACCGCCTTTGTGGCATCAGGATTACCATATGAACTGAACATTCAGTGATTGAGCCGCTAAATAGTTGTTGGGTTCTGTTTCTATCTTTTTATGATTTCAATGAAGAACAATGTTTTATCGATTTTATGTGATTTGAACAGTGATCGAAACCGAACATTAAGTATTAATTAACTTTTGAAGATAAACTTTGTAAAAAGGGGAAGATGTCGTGATATTGCGTTACACGGTCACGTCACTGGGCCGATGAACATCTTTATATTTAGAAGACTTAGGAGACAACGAATACACACGTGGCGGCAGTCGAGTTCGCACAATAAACAACCCTTTTGAGTTCACAGAATCGTGACACGTTTCTTAATCAAAATCATTCTTAATATCATTTCAAGCTTTCACGTAGTCTTCTCACTTTGCGCGCGAGTTGGTTGGTGTGATGTCTGTACAGATTTTACCGACTTAATGAAAGTAGGTATAGATGTAAATGAGATGTCACAATTGAATATTTAACATGTGCAATATCCAAGAAACAATTGACAGCTTTGCATGTGGTCCGTACGTTTCATCTTTTTAACCGATATGTGTTCATTTTGTTGACAAAAATGTGGACCGAGAACAAAACTGTCCCTTCGACTTGATATATTTTCAACGTTCAGGGGCGTACACACATTGATTTTCACATATGTGCCTTACATTGTTTTTGGCTTACATGAGGAACTGGCGAGTTTTTATAGGGAAAGGGTCATCCGCACTGGCGACAAAACTGTTTATTTAGACAAATTTTCCATCATCACCAACACTTTACTAATGTGGATGGTTTGTCGCGGCTTGACAATTTTTTGCCGAAGCGGACAAATTTTCGAACGCTCCGCCGACAAAATTTGTCCCGGGTAAAAGCTTAGCAAAATCTACTAAATTAACAAAACCGTGATGAACTTGTCTATCATATGTCGTAAACGCTACCATTAGAGTGGTAATTGAACTGGGTTCAGTTTACCAAAAGATTGCAATAGTTGTCCTTCGCAGCGAAACTCGCAGATTTTACAACTTTAACTTAAGATGAATCCCGGTAATTGGAGTTTTGATCCATAGGCAAATTATAGCGACCAGTCGTATGAGCAAATAAGGCCCTCGAATGTGCCACCCTATGAAGAACAACAAGGAAACAATTTTCATTCAGCTGGGGCAACCTACAAAAGTGGAGTAATTTTCCAGTCGCCGCTTCATCAGACTAATAATGAAGTTGTAGATGTGGCCGCCCAAGATCCAGTTGTTATTGGCTTACATAAGGAACCGGCGAATTTTTATAGGGGAAAAAAAGCGAAGCGTTGCTTTCGTGACTGGCCATTTGTTTACTTTTCTAATGGTTTTATCTCTCATCTGTTTGGTGACAACGCAAATATTAATATGTGAACATCAGACTATATGAAGGCTCGAAATTCTTTTTAGAACGATTGTGGCCGCTTTGTTAGAAACCAAATGGAATAGCCGCTTTGTTTAACACAAAACATTTCGAGGAATATTTCACAATAGTGCAAATGATCGTGAAAGATGAGGGTAACTGATATTTTGCTGTCTTGAAAGTTCACATAAACCGAATCCAATTATACCTATATTCAATGAGTCCAAGAAATCAATACAAACTTAAGCCATAACATGAATGAGCTGGTTCCAAGAGCCCTTTGATCCATTCTATTTTTTCCTTTTTCGATATGTGAATGATGGTGACTAAACATGACATTTCGAAATCCGTGGCAGAACATGAGAGACTCCCTATAGTCTGTACTAAGATAAGATATGTCATAACGTAAGGCCCAGTGTGTCCATTTTTTCCTACCTGCGACAACTGTTTGTGAAAAATATCCTATTCTTTACATGTAACGTTATTAGTCACTAGACTAAAAAGATCATCTCAATGCAAGCGATCAAATGTGCCCTAATGCAGAACAGGTGCATCATGCTTCAACTCAAATTCACACACGTTAATTATCAGTAGCTAGACTAAAAATTTACCCCAGTGCAAGCGGTCGAATGTGCCCTAATGGTTACCTGGCGGAGGACAGAACAGGTACATCATATTTCAGCTCAAATTCACATAGCTGGTAGACTTCCAATGACGTAACAGATAATGAGATCGATCTTCCTCTCTATCAATGAAGGAAATTTGAATAAACGCGTTTTGCATCAACTCCATATTTTATACAAATATTTTCCATGAGCGCTTAATAAAAGTACAAAATACGAAGATTGCCTTAAATTAAAGTTAGCTCTGTATAAAACCCTGATCATTGTAGATTAAGGAAACAATTATGAATAAACGTTAGGTCAAGTTGTCTCAAAACAATTGGGCGATTACACATCACGTATAAATCTTGCCTGATAAATATATCTTATAAGACGTTTTGGTGTGTGGTATCGCTGAGTATTTTTACTTGTTGTGCCGTAATTTGAATCGCCCTTCGGGCTCGTCAAAATATCACAGGGCATTTGTACTCTATTCACGCGTTATTTGTACTCTACTTTGTTCTGTGTGATAATAATAATACGTATTATACCAAACAATTTTGTTGTGCAACGATAAATTGTTCTGAAAATCGTTTTTGAAAATAGCTTTTTGGCATGTAGGTCTTCGTCATTGCTATTTACAATATCACGATCGGAATAAATATTTGATTCATTTCCTTTTCATTATTAAGACATCATTTTATTTGGCAGAAAAATGCAAAAGAAATCATCATTTGAAAGAGAAATTGTGAGAAAAAATGCATAAACTTACCTTATGGTTTCGCCGTGCGTCTTGTTAATGTACCACTTAAAAGATGATAGCGGAATTAATCATAAGCTGTCGTACAACACGAGATCAGATAGGAAGTTATGTGCACTTTACTTAGTCACAAAATAAACCGTCACTCGAAACGACCTTTTTTGTAATAAAATACGACTCAGCAGATGTTGTATGACGAAATTGAAAGTTGGAGCGAAAAGTTCCTGATGAGCCAAAAGTTCACGATGGTCGGTTGCCATGGGTTTTCCTCCCGCAACTCTGATGCGCGCTGGCGCAGAAATCGTCAGCGGCAGTTGGCACGAAAAGTAAAGGCCTATTCAAAAATGGCGGCAAATAATAACAGCGCGAGCACATCAGACAAACTCTGTTTAAGGCACTTCGGCATGGAGGATGAAACAGAGAGAGGAGACCGGTTTTGGAATACCAACTCCGTAGAGATGAAGTTCTCTACGGAGAAAGAATGGTTGAGGAGGGTTCGTTTCGCAGAAAATAAACCTAATTACGGGATGAGAGACCTTGATCCCGTGTTGGAAGAACTCACAGGCAACAAGCTGGAGCTTGTAGGTCCCCTGGTGGATGGCTTCCTAAAGGAGATCGGGCTCTCTATAAATGCGAAGCTCGCTCGCTCTAGAATGACCGGTCTTATGGCGCCCATCACTCTCTTTATGCCATTTCAAATCTTTAAACATATCTGGGTTTTAGTACAAGACTACGGGGGAAGCGCGGACACAACCAAGAATGGTGAGAGAATAACGCTAACTTTCCAAAGGCTCGACACTGCAGAAAAAATTTGGTCTCCCGCGAGATTTAAAGGAGAGAATTTTCTCAAGAAGCGGCACTTCGAGAAAATCCCCGAGGATGGTCACGTGCTTCAAAGTTACAACGGCAAGTCAATTGTTGTTGTAACACAAACTACGCCGCTGCAAATGGTTTATTCAACAAAACAACAAAGGGTAGTAACCACATTTTGCGTGCAGCGCTATGATCGAGAAGGATTTTCAGGGACTCAAATTTGCAAAAGCTATTGAATTTGAAAACTATCTGGCTTGACAGTTAATTAACAGTAGGACTTGCTAATGTTTTGTTAGACCTTGTCACGAAACTTCATACATCAAAAGAATGACAACCTTGAATGTAATCTGAAACAAAATTCTAAAGGAAACATGTTATTAATACAATCAGATATTTTAAAATTTTATCTTCGTATCTTGTAGACTGTAATACATTGGAGTGAATAAATAGAATTATGGTTTTACCTAAACACGATAGCTGAAAGCTTTTTTATTATTTGACTAACAATGATGTCTGACTCATTTATGAAATTATCTATCAGTATACAGAATTACTCCTTTTAGATACAAATTTCATTTATCTGTGTATACTTCATCTTACTATTAAAACTATCAAGCTGCAAATTCATGTACCTTTTATTTAAGACAAATCCATTACTAAAACAAATGTATTGTGTCCACATAGGCAAAATGCTGGGTCACTAGTTATTGACCCTTTGACCCCTTACAATATCTAGCATCTAATTTCTTCTTACAATATTAACCCCAAATTAAACATAAGGTCACAAGAATGAGGGAAATAATTATTAACTAATGAAGCTCTTGATTATTTAGCAAATTCTCCTTGTCAACACCTTGTAAAATATATTGAGAACAGTATAGAGAATATTCATGCTGTTGTTGGCATGTAAAGGGTTAAGTGGCCAAACCTTTAAGTACAAAATTCCATAAATTCATTAGAGCAGAAACCCTGCCTCTAAAATGCAAGTTAGTAAAAAAATAATGGGTTAATAAAGTTTTAAATGTAATATATCAGTGCATACCAAGTGATATCAGTGACAACAGTACTTTTGCATTTGGACAGGTTTAACCTCTCTGACAAACATAGCTAATTTAAAAAATTTTGCACCAATTTAAATATATTTTTCTTATGAAGTAGGTATATTACTCACATTACTGGTACACAGAATTTGTTGAGAGCCTAGTTATCATTCTCATAACAAGTATGCCTTACTGTGCACCAACTTGGCCAAGAAAAATAACTTTCAATTCAAATATTTTGGGAGATTTAAACTGTTGATTAAAAAATAATTCAACTACCCCTCCCCAGCCAATGCACCTTCAAGGCACTTAATTAGAATTTCCTTAGTACCTGCAGTGCTTAATCCTCTACTTTGTAAAGCTTCCTTTAAACTAGGTACTGTCATCAAAGTTGGCTTGATAGCTACCTTCCTTACCTCAGTGGCA